CGAGGTTTGGCAATCTTTCCATCTCTGCCGATGGGTGTGTTCGTGCGGCGCAGGTGAGACAATGAGGAGGCAAATGTATAACGACTCAGCACCTGGGACACACCAGCCTTGGCGGAAGCCGCCTTCTTCTGCTCGCCCCAGTTACCAGTAGCAAGAGCATACTTCAATCCACCAGTCAGTGTGCTGGCCTTGATACCAATGTTGAGATAAATTTCGCGGTTAGTCTCAACACATCGCTGCACGTAACGCTGGAGATCCTTTGTGACTCGGGTGAAAAGAGTCCGGAAAAGACTGGCCAAAAGGGGACCAGCCAAATCGAGCCGCTTCTTTCCGAAGTGATCACGGTCATCCACATCGCGGCGACCGAGAGCACACTGAAGAAGTCTGTGCACCATATATCCAAGGAAGAACGCTTTGCGGGTTTCACTGCCCTCGCTCTGCGAAATGTGAGGCAGCAATTCTTTCTGCATAATATCCCGGGCGTAGCGCACACGACGATCGTGGTTCAGGTTCGTCTGTGACGATCCACGCTTAGCAATGAAATCCAGAGCAACTTCACGGTCCTGGATGACGAAACCCTCCTCAATACATGGCTTCAACATCTCCAACATGGGGGTATCGTTGCGGTCGTAGCAAATGTGGTTGAGAATATCTTCATCGGAAACGACGCCCAGCGCACGGAAAACGACGACGATTGGGATATCGGCCTTAACGTATGGAAGTGTGGAGCGAATAGTCGGGCCAAATCCTCCTTTGGCGCTGTCACCCTTGGCGAATAGCTTTAAAGTAAGCGACGAAAGCATGCGCGAGCCCTTCTCAACTGCACTTCGAATTTCGGCGATGTATGGTGTCGGGCTGGGGGGTGCCTTCTTGAAGACTTGAACGATGTTGCCCGCACTGCGTTCCTGTGCGATCAAAACCTTCTCACTGCCGTTAATGACGAAATAACCACCGGAGTCGTAGGGGCACTCGTTCCAAGCATAAAGTGAAGATTCGTTCAAATCCTTGAGGATACAGTATTTAGATTTCAGCATGATGGGCATCTTTCCAATGAAGACTGTTTCCTCCTTCATCTGCTCCTGGGGCAGCTGCTTCGTTTCCCAATCGAGGTATGTGCCTTGGGGCTTATCGTTGTCGCCCTCATCCTCATCGTCATTGTTCGGCTTGCCCATCTTCTCACGACCCTCCATAATCTTCTTTGTAACACCGAGGTAAAGTGGCGAAGCGTAAGTGAGGTTTCGTAGACGAGCTTCCTGGGGCAACATTATCGTGGTAGCGCCATCGCCTTCAGTAACGGATGGGCGCGAAAGCATCACTGTGCCAAATTTGAGCTCATACCGGCGCACGACGATCGGCTCGATTTCGTCTTCGGAGGGAGGGAGAGTCTGATCGAGAACCACCTGGCCTTGTTCTTCCACAAGCTCCTGCATGGTCGAGGAGATAAACTCATCGAACGAGTCCAGCTGCTGAGAAACGAGACCCTTCGAGTCGAAAAACGACGAAATCACCGTCCAGCAGTCCTCGGAGGTGATGCCCTCATCCGCATCATCGTAAAAATCCTCATCGTATGTCTCGTCGTAGTCCGCCATGGTTGCGGTAAAGTGATGTTAGATATCGATTGAGGCGATGAGGAGAAGAATAGGAAACAAGAGAAGCGCAAGGCGCGTCGGCGTGGGAGCAGGTCTCCGCGAGAATCGCCCAACGCGCTGCAACACCTGCCTGTCAGATTCTGAAAGGTGGGGGGTATTTAAAAAGTCAAGAAGTCAGAGGCAAATGCAAAAAGCAAGGCTGACAAACTTGGGGGGATGAATGAGAGGCTCCCCGACAATATTCCGATGAAGGGACTGATCTCCAGACGTTTCGATGCTTCTCAGCCATGCGCTAGTCTCGATGGGGCAGTCTGCACGTGATATATATCTCACCGCCTGGCAATATGGCGGTCAAGACTGCACGTGAGTCTGTCAGGACCGCCAAACAAACATGATCAACTGGACGAGCACATACCAATTTGAGATAATCGAGATCTTCATGATTGATATATTATCATATATGACCATTGAGCCACAGGTTGTGCTCTGTTGAATCGAGATTGTCGCGAGATTGTCGCAAAAGTTGAGTTGTATCTACCCATACAAGCATCTATATGGTGACGAACGCATTCCAAGCGCGTTGCCCGTCAACCTTGCTTTATAACCCAATCTACTTCTCCGTCTCGTGCAGCAGCCATAATGGCAGGTTCCAATTAAGCTCTATTGGATGTGCTGGCTTGTACGTTAGACTTCGAAACTTACCGTCGATATCATTACCTCGTTGGAATCACCTGGTACCTATATATCTATAGACTAGGATCTTCCAACTTTTGGTCATAATTGGCGGAAAAGCTATGCTTAAAGTACAAAACCTTGTGATTGGTTTATTGATAGCATTGATATTATGATACAGTACAGTTCCGTTGTTCAAACAAACTGCAGAAGTGTGCTCAGCATGTCCTCCAAGTCTTTATGGCCTGGTTCATCCTCGCCAAGATCTTTGATTTGTTCTACTCGAGTTAGCTGCGACAATTCAAGCGATATGGGTTACGTACCTTGCAAAGTACCCCGGACCAGGGATAGATCTTCGTCACGGTCCGCAAGAAGTGAGATAATCTTCCTTTTCGCTCCATCGTCTTCGGCAATGAGCCACGCCAGAATAACATCAATTGTCTAGGGTAATTAGCAAAGAGGGTTGCCAGTGTAGAAGAGGAACCGTACCTGCAATGAGAACAGACCCGCATCCAACCGCCTCGACAGCCATTCGCCAGCCATAAGTTCTTGCTCCTCCTTATCAAATGTTCTGCGCTCTTTCTCAATGGCTTGGTCAACGGGTAAGATGCGCGCAGCATAGTCACGTCGGAGATTGATGAGCTTCTCGATCCTCGCATAGTCTTTCTCCATAAACTTGGCCAAGGTTCGAATGCGAGGAGCAGAACCACCAGGGAGAAGACGGAGAAGGGAGGCAAAAATCCCCAAGAAGTGTTCAATGTTTTGACCCTCTTGCTAGATGGACGTTAGCACAACGCAATTTGAGTGTAAGAAACCAAGCTTGCCTTCTTCAAGAACATTCCGAAGACAGTCTTCAGGCCAGCTGCCTCCACCAACCTCTCGCAGGCCGGGGCACCTCCGGCTCCACCCAAGGCGTGGTCAAGAACTCTCAAAGCACGTGGCTTACTGAACTTGCCTTCCTTGAGCATGATCAGCGCAAGCTCAACTCCTTCGGCCTCCACAAATTTCTCTTTTCCTGTATCTTCTTCGACAAGGCAGATGAGAGCGTCAAATAGATTCTCCACATATTCTTCCTCGTCAGAGTCCTTCGCTGGGTCGCGTTTGCGGTACGCACTGAGCAGCTGGAGGAGGATATCGATGCCGTCGAGCTCAATAAACTTCGTGCGGTTCTTTGTGGTAGACTGTAGAAGGATTGCCAGGATTTCTGCGGCATATTGTTTGTTCTGGCTGACAGCCGCTTCTTTGCGCTGAATACGAGACAGGATCCAAGGCAAAATTGCAGCATCCTGTCCAATTGCCTCCGCATGAGATGTCTGAGAGGCAAGGTTTTCCATTACACCTATATTGAATGAGCAAAGTTCCATGTTCTTTGTTGAGAATAAGATACTCACCCAGCGCATAGTACACTCCCGCTCGATCGGTTTCAGACCCTTCATCGAGTCGGGAGAGATTTTGAGCTAATAATTCTATGAGGTCGGCCTCCATCTGGTCATGTTTAGCAGGTGCTATTCGTAGAATCGCGTCTCAACATACCATTGCGTTAACAAGAGCATCCCATTGCTCTTGCTCTGCCTCCACATCCTGGTCTGTCAATTCGCCGATTATCTGGATAACATCAATTGCAATGTCGGCATTTTCATGCGACAAGAGAGAGGTTAGGGATGCGACACAGCCCATCTTGGCAAACTCCTCGTATAGCTCAGAATGCTCAGACAGGATTGATAAGCCTTTGATTTCAGTGTCCAAGTCGGCCTCGGAAGCCATAAACCTGCAGCATCTTTAGCATCTGCTACATACAGCTGTTCCGGCGTCCACATACTTTTGCGGGTCACTCTCAAACTTCGCTCGTAGTTCGGCGTTCTTGGAGATTTTCTTCTCGAAATTCAATGCGAAGCGGCGCACCCACGCAGAGTCGAACTTCTCGGGCTAGACGAGCATGCTGTCAGCACCTGGAAAAATATCCCGTGTACTATAGGTACTATAGATTTCATACCGCAGTCTCGTCTTCTTCTTGCTGGTCAATGTATTCCATTGCTTGGGCTGTCTTTTGCTCCATTCCACCACCAAAGAAGCGACCTTCCTCGTCGTCTGGGATATCTTCCTCAAAGTCTGGGGGAAGTTCGGGTCCCGCTTCACCATCGTCCATCTCATCCTCCACCATTGGTGCTTTCCCCTTTGATCTCACATCACCACTCGGGGCTAGCTTTGCTGATTTGTAGAGCTCATCTGTTGGATATCATCAGGATTTGCGAACGGCGCATCTGCGGGGAAAGAGCGCACTTGGATCTTGGACAGGCTCGAATTTGCGCTTAACGCTTCCTGTGGCAGATGGTTTCTTTGCGCGTTAGATGTGCCATCCATCAGTATATAGGCCTGGGACTCACTTTAAAGAGCTCGTCGACATTCGTCATGGTTGCTGCGGCCAAGACGCCCGTTCAGTGGACAATGTGAAGGCAACCAATCTCTAGGATGAGAAAATATCAATAACAAGATAGATTGCTTGAGTGAGATGTCAAAACAGTAGTGAAGATAATAATATAAATATAAAGGAAAAGCCAGACGACGCTGTCGCACCTCCCTTCACTACTGCGCGGGCAAAAGAAATACGGTCGCGCATAAAAGCTAAAGACGCAGTAACGCCAAGCGTTCCGAGGCCGCAGATTTCTCGATGTCCGATCATCACTCCAACACCAACATCAACATACGTCCTCTACTTCCGTCTCTCACATCATATACAAAATGGCCCCCAACCAGCGCATCGTTCCCTCCGGCTCTCGGCCCCAGAAGGGATTCGTCAGCACCATCTACGACGAGGCCACCAGCCCCGAGAACAAGACCATTGTCCGCAGCATCGTGATCTTCGGTGTATGTGGCTAATCATCAATTCCACCATCTCAATGTGATTCATTGAACTGACAAAATCCGTTATAGGCCGGCATTGCATTCCTCCACTCCAGCTTCGGAGAGTTCCTTCTTCCTCCGTAAGTCCAGCCAACCCAACACGTTTCCACGAGATCAACTGAATGAGCATCCTCTAACTTTATGCAGTATGTAAAATTATCACGCTTTCTATTCCTCCGGTGACACGACTCGGAATCCCTCTTTTGAACCTGTGGAAGCATATCGGCGTCGGTCAAAGGAAAACATGATGATGCATAGGCATCTTTCGTTTGGTGGTTTTTCGATTGGATAATTTGTACAATATGTTTTATTGGCAGGGCATGTACTATCCGGCATGCTGTGTCCTGTTTTGAGATTCATGAATATCAGGAAATTTGCCACTGGCTGGATATCCAGCGGTGTGGTACAATCCACTTTTGGTCCAGGATAATTACACCTACGTTGTAGTTCCTTAAGACTTCAAACTTGTTGGATTTCGGTGTCTAGGCCACTGTCCAGATCATATCGTGCTTGATAGCGACATAGGATACCTTTGTGTGTCGGAGTATGGCTTCTGATGATTATCTTGGCAACGCACGAGAGTGAATATATAATATGTATCAGGCTATCACAAGAGATGTCTGTCTTCTATAAAGCTTTGTTATAATCTCAAGGGGTATATCTACAAATCCTCATTCGTGAATAGATATCACAAAATGAGTGATGTGGTATCAAAACAGAACTAACAACAAGTTATCGTCCGGATTTGATCTAGAGGTCGATAAGACAAGACGAGATGGTTACCATGCCCAACTAGTCCTCTAGCCTTAATCATGGTACAGTATGTTGGTACGACATTGGGATTGAGTGGATATGCCAGAAATTTACCTCGCACATGTTCAGACCAACTGTATATCGAAACTGGACTTCATCGCAGTGTATGGACGTAACCGTAGGGTGTATAGCCTTCAACATCCGATGTTACAGAGCTCCCAAACATTGAAGCCAATGCTAATAGGTATCAGATTGTTTTATTACGAAGCTCACTTTTATATAAAAACTGTGCGCCAAATGTTGACTCTTCTCAAACCGGGGAAAAATCAAATCTACTCCGACATCATACCTTTCTACACTTGATGTGAAGTAATGTTCAAAATAGTCAAGGTAATCTATATAAGAACTGCAGATCTTTCCAAATATATCCAATCATGTTGAATATAAAAAGCCCATAGTACCTCAGTATCAACCGAAGATATCAAAAGCGGCAATTTCCCCAGGTGCCAAGACCCCGCAATACCCACATTGCCCCAGTTCCGAACACCGCCTTGTTACGGGCTTGGCCATCGGCTTATGAATTTGCGGCAAATGTGCAGATTCTCTATTTTGTACTCCCAAAGGACATATGACACACCGTGAGAGGTCATGTCTTCAAGCCCCGCGCTCAAGCGCAAGTCGGCTGAATCTCACCTAGATCCCAAGGCCAAACGCCATTTGCATGGATATGATCCGCAGTCCCCATGGCTACATGAGTCCGAACCTGCACGGATATGGCGGACACGAGGAAATCCCGATGTGCAGCACTCGATGCCCCTCTCAAATATGGTATCCGCCGTACAAGACCTGATAGACCCGGACTTTGATCCACTGACGGCTATGCTGGACGACGAGCCCCGCTTTTTGAAACCCTTGCCAGCTCGCATTTCCCCGGAGGACTTGGAGTTCTTGAGGTTCCGTGGGGCCCTCTCGCTTCCAGAGAGTGGGTTGCGGGATGAGCTTCTCCGTTGCTACATCCAATGGGTGCATAGTTTCATGCCGGTTTTGAACTTGCAAGAATTCTTACGATGTGTGGCCGAGAATGACCCAGAGGGGAACGTTAGCATTCTACTCTTTCAAGCGGTGATGTTTGTTGGTACGGCTTTTATTGACCTCAAGCACCTGCAGGATGCTGGGTATTCAACAAGAAAAAGTGCGCGTAATGCGTTCTTTACTCGATTGAGGGTTTGTTCTTCATTACGTGACTGCGAGACCTCATTCCACTAACTAGGAATGGATAGTTACTATATTCTCTCGACTGTGAAGAAGATCGCATTGAGATCCTCCAAACATTGCTATTGATGACTTACTGGGCTGATCCGGAAAACAGTCCACAGCGAGATATTTGGGATTGGATTGGAGTCTGTAATACACAAGCACAGTCTATCGGTTTGAACAAAGACCCCGCATCGGGTGAAATGGATATACGGACTCGAAGGCTCCGCTCCCGGCTCTGGTGGTGTCTATATTCTCGAGATCGGCTGATTGCCATGGGTATGCGGCGCCCCCTTCAAGTTAATGATGGAACGAGCAGTGTGCCAATGCTCAGACTGGATGATTTCGATTTTGAACCTTTCTCCTCATACGTGGTGTCCAAGTTTCATTGTCGCCAACTCCAAGATGAGTCACATCAAAAACGACTCGCCACGATGTTCATTGAGAAGGTGAAGCTTTGTCAATGTATTGGCAGAGTATTATTCGCGCAGTATACACCATCCCAGCGCCAATTTGGAGCCACAGACCGGACCACAGTCACACTCATTCCTCGACAGGCTTCTGAGTCGGAGTTTGCACGATGCGGCCAGAAACTCGACTCGTGGCTTAGTGCGGTCCCTAAAGATGCACAGTTCATCCCTAAAGCGGGGAAGAATTTTCATGATGGTGAGGATGTCCTTCTGCTTCACGGCGCAATGCTACGTATGCTCTATCATGCTACAACCAGCGCACTTCACCGGCCTTGGGCGATTGCTTCAAAGGATCAATCCAAATCGCGGACGGACTGGCGCAATGCTGCCCGTACAAAAATGAACGATGCCGCTTCCGGGATCACACATATCATTCAAGGATTGAACAAGCTCAACCTGACACGTTTCTTACCACAGTCTGGTGTGACTGTGATTCTACCTGCCGCTGTGGCACATTTGACTAACACCATGTCCGACGACCCTACTGTCCGTGAAAGCAGTGTCGACAACTTCCATCGCTGTATTCAAGTTCTCCACTGTCTTAAGGACATTTACCCAGCCGCTGGTCAAGAATTTGCCAACATCGAGGCCGCCATCAAAATGCAAGCAGGTTCCTCTAGCACATTTTTCCAGGTCATGGAATACAACACCAACGCTCCTGCCACATCTTTGACCACCCGGAAACCAAGCACTACTTCCACTCCTCAACTCCAATCACACTCATCTGTTACTGTAGTCGAGCCTTCTAAGCTGCGAACACAAACCTCATATGTCCAAGAGAATATGCATCAAAGAAAGCCCGACATGGAAACTAGGCATGAAACTGCACCACCTTTATTCCCCGACGATCTCAACCTTTACTCCGACCCCAGCATCATAAACGACAATCCTTTCAATTTCCTCTCCATTGACATTGACTGCTTCCCCGACATCCAAGCCTCTCCCAATCAGAATGACCTGAACTATCCAGAGAAACGTTATATATCACCTCCACCTCAAGACCAAGACACCATCGACTGGGCACAGGAGCTTTTCCAAGACACCGATCTCAATAATTACAGTAACGCAGAAATGTTTAAGCCCCAAAAGACAACTTCTCCACAGGATCAAGAGCAGAGCCATCTTGGTCCATTCTCGATTACTTTGGCAACAGATGATGTTCGCTCTGTGCATTCCCGTCATCAGTCAATGAACAATGCAAGGCTGGCGATCACCGGTGATCTAGACCGGGACTTGGGGTTGGAATCTGGGGATGACATGTTCTAGTGTATATGACAAGTTGGACTTCGATTAATGTCTTACTTCGATTCATGTCGACTCCATGTATATAGTCCAGCTTGGTTGATGAATAAAATATAGAGATATAGAGATTGGAGATCAGTGCTTTATGGAAGTTTCTGTGTGCTCTGGACGCAGCAGAAGTTATTGTGACATTTCTTTTCAGATCTTAGTTCATGCTATTGAATATGGTGGGATTACATAGAAAGATGGACTTACCTCTCAAAAAGGATATTTCCCATAAGAGCAAACATGAATTGCATGATGTGCAATTGTATTCTTTGTCACTTACCGGCCTTGGTGCCTGAAGATATGCACATATAAACCCCTCTGGGCCATTGAAATTATCTCCTCTTGACTTCATCATCTACCTTCATCCTTTCAGGTTCGTCATTCTCCATCATGGATCGCTCTACCAGAATTTCTCTTTCTTCTTCCATCATCTTAGCCTTCACATGGGAAGTATCACCACTCTTTTCAAGACAGTTTTGGAGGGAAGGCGCGATTGTCTAAGAGACATACATCTTTGGGCCTCTTCGCCCTCAACATCTACCTACACCTACATACTTTACCTGATAAAAAACTCTCCTCATCAACCCTTTCACACAACACATTTCCTACATGAGGAATCAAAAGCTATGTAAGTGTAGCATAGCTTTGAGTTCACTTTAGCAGGTCTAACAAAGTCCAGATGCGCCTCAGCCTCACAAACATGCCGTGCTTTAACAGACATCGAAATGACAAGCAGAAAAACTGGCTCTCAGGTGGTGGCCGCTTCACGCGTGGTACAACATTGCGAATTCGATCCAATACAATGTCAGTGGAGAAGACGCATGTTGGACCCTATCAGAAAGTACATTCGAGCATTCTATCTTCAAATGTGAGAAGCTCCCACGTTAACCAGGAAGGTGATTATCTGAGCCGCAGAATCGGGTGGTGAAATCCAAATCATCAAGGCGTTCTTTGACCACATGGAAAGAGAAGCCTGAAGTTAGCAACAATGCTGAGAGGTACAACAATCACGAAGTGGATTTTGACGCTGAGTTCCAAGATTCCCCACGGGGATCCTGTCGGAATATTTCTCCCCATTTGGCCAAAGATATCCATTGTCCAAACGTCTTCCATTTGTTGTTCTCCTCATGGTTCGACCTTTAGGGCTCATCTAGGCCAAATTTCACGACAAAAAAACATCCAACAGAAATACCTACCACGTATGTCCTGCCCAGGCATCTTCCAAAAAAGCCGTTCCTCTGTTTGCACAAGCCCGAGGGATCATCACATATTGACAATGGGTTGCGACACATGGATTGTTTTCTGTTGCAGCTACAACATTTGGGCACGTTTTGATAGCATCCTCTACGTGGCTTCTGGGCATGAAGGCAGCAACCACAGATCAACCGAAAATGCCGCGAACAATCTACAGGCTCCACAGCCTGACAGTCTGTCAAATGTCGCCTTTGCTATTCATCACCTATATACCATACAAAAATTGTTGACGCCCTTCCTCAATATTGTCTCAATATACGCGCCCTTTCTACGTGGTATGATTCTCTTCGACCCACAGCCAATTACCCCTCTCCAGTTAGGCTGTTACGACGGCCATCGTTATACCTTTCCCCTTTGGCCACATGTTCCAGCTTTTCAACATGGACTCACCCATGTTGCACATGACATCGTCATCTCGGTACAAGCTCAGCTGTTGCTTCCATTTCCGTTATAAAGCCTGTGATTTCTGCGCCAGCGGTGATGAAATTTCCTCTTCCTGCCGTGTGGTAGCACTTGCGGTTTGAGACGACGAAAGGAGAAGGGGTCGCTGCCCTTTCCTGAGTTGTGGCATCTCGTGGAGGCCCCCAGTGGGTCTTTTCGGGGTCGGAATTTTACTGGCACTGCACTAATTTCGATTCCACCAGCCCAGCTGGCTCTTTGCACTACGTCAAATATCTAGCTAGAGGACACTGTCGCCGAGTTTACGGTGTGCCCTATTCTTGCTGCGCCCTGATTGCCTGGTCATATAACGCAGATTCACATCATCCTTCGTCCTTCATCTTCCTATATGATCCTGCTTTCCAGCCGGCAATGCAATCATGCGGGAGTATGATGAGAGCTTCAGAATATATGATGACGCTCAAAGTTTGTTGGCAAGGGCACGCTAGGATTTTCTCCCACATATCTGTAAGCCTTTGGAACATGAAGCCCAGTATAGGGGAGAGCTAGCGTGTGGCATATTTGGCACAATAAGCGAAATCTCCCATGAGACAGACGGTCAAAAACAGGTCATGAGTTCGAAGGTCAGGTACTTGATTCATCAATATCATCACTGTTATATCGCCTGTACCTGCGGAGTGTCCGGCCTTCACCAAGAGGAACTTGATCATCGAGCTGTCCAACTACCTTCGAGGATAAGCCAAAGTCTTGCCCTCAAAAATACCAACAGTGTGGGAACGTTCTGTGGTTTCATAGAGCTTGAGGTCTATGGGGAAGTCCAGTGTAGAGTGCTAGGGCTATAAAGCTCTACGATTCTGTCTGGTAGTTCCAACCAACTAAGCTGGAAGTTAACCAAAAATCAACTTCCACGAGCCTCATCCACAAGGCAAGTTGACATTCAGGGATGCCCGATTATGTGGCCGTGGGCTAAAAAGAGCCTATGGTTGGCATGCTCACTTTTTTTCTTTGTATTTGCCCAAGCGGGGTTGGATTGGCCCCGAACCTTGTTCGACAGATCCAGGGATGGCACACTTCTGGGGTTGACCCAGCGGACCATTGGAGGCGAAAGCTTTGCGTCCGAGATCCAAGCTCAATGGCTGTCAAAGATGAGATTCAATCTTTGAAAGCAGGAATTCGGGAGATCGAAAGGGACGAAAATTACATCAAGTTCCGAGAGTTAGAGAGAGAATCTACAGTTTACGTTGGGCCGAGGGGCCAAGAAGGCCTTTGACCAGATGGTCGAAACCCGGGATCACATGCGAGGATTCCTCCGCGATATACACATCTTCGAGGCCCACAATCGAGCTTTGGGGCATATATTCGCTAGATCTGGCCTAAGAGTAACATCTGCAACGTCATTTAGAAAAGGAATCCGATGGACCTCGATTTTGCGGCTCAGCTTCGTTCGTCATTGACGATGTTTGCCTCCATTACGTGTTACGGGTAGCGTTTAATGAACTTTTGCATAGCCTTCTCCTCTATATCCCCGGCACAGGATCTGCCTGTCAGAGCTGTGCTTCTGATGCCTGGGCCTACCTGTGTGTATAAATACCAAAAAGTGCCTATTCTTGGCTTTGCTAGACGCGGCGTAATGGAGGCAGTATTTCGGAACTTCCTCGACTTGAAATGAGCTGCTCCGGCCTTGTTTAACTCCAAATGAGACCACGATGTGAGAGATTCGGTAATATCAACTCTATCAAGCTCGCAACATTGACCCTCCTTGTCAATCTCCATACGGTCACCTTCAATGAATGTCGAGACAGTTGCTAGTGCCACTCAAACGCAGGATTATCTGATGCATTTGCTGCTCGGATTTGACCAGGCACTGCTGCAAAGATTGGCTACAATCATTCTTCGTTTCCACCTCCCCGACAGGCTTCATTTTTACTGAAAACGTCCTGTCAACCATGAGCCCATTTCTATCCCTTGGAACAGCATAGAGCATCCATTGCCATGTACTTAATCATGCAAGGGTAACTTCAGGCGACTACTTCTTAGCTCTTCCAGCGTTATTCCGGCGAGTGGTAAATCATAGCGTGAGAATCCGAGTGAAATCAAGCCTTCAATGCCATGGCGGCTCACTAGCCTCTAACTCGTCAAAGATTATCATTTACAGAAAACCTTGGCTAGATCAGGCCAACTACGTTGAGCGAGGCTGCCACATCTGACTTGTCGAGTCTGAGTCTATTTCAGAGGTCTTTTCGACGAGCTTCTCAGATATTCATTTGAGATCTCTTAGAATAATCTTCCCCCTTTTCCAGTTTTATACGTATACAGACGGTAGATAAAGGTGAGAAAGGGAGAATAATTTGCGAAATGGACTTTCCTATACATTATCTAGTGGTCTTAGAGGCCTCGTCTACAATCCGATTGTGTCAGAGAATAGGATGTGTTAAGGGAACACCTTATATTTCTTTATAAAACTCGTAGAGGCTTTCTTTTCAGAGTCTACTATGATCTGGTAGCGGTTTAAGCAATTGAATCGACTACCATGCAGAACCCATTGATATCTGATCATGATTAAAAGCCCGTTGAACGTCTGAAAGTTAACTACTTAACTAGATTCCCTAGTCAGTCACATACTACGTAGGATGGTGTGGACTCCCTAGTATAGGAGGTTTCGGTCTATACAACAGCTTAGTCGTCGTATGCTCTCAACATACTGTTTGTTAGTCCTTTCACGTACTCGAATGATCCCACCCATCTCTTCTCCGTAATACACGTCAACAAATTCTTCTCCATCCACCCATTCCTTGCATTAAGCGTCATCATCTATTGTGAAACAGCATCTATGCACGATAAAATGAGTCTCCCTATCCCAACTGTGAGCGCCAACATACCCTAACAATGAAACAAAAACTAACAAACAACCCCAGAAGCCCAATATGATAGGCAGTGGAATGCGCCAGGTCCGCCGGCGCAAACACTCCGACCCCAACGAGCGCATCCCACCCGGCGTGGAAAAAGTGATCTCACGTGGCTCCTGCCACATTGGGAAACTGAACGACGCAATGGTCCTAAAATACGCCTCCGACTTCAACGACCTAGGCTATCTAACAAGCATCAAAGTCGAAAACCGCATCCTCCAGATCCTAGGCGTGCATCCCCGAATTGTCGAATCAAAGGGCCTCGCCGAGGACGGTATCATCCTGAAGTACTACCCCAACGGCACGCTCCGCAGCTACATTAAGAACCACCCCCATGAGACCCTCGATCGCCGCCTCGAATGGTGCAAGCAGCTCGTCGACACACTCTCGTATGTACACTCCAATCGCGTCATCCACTGCGATATCTGTCTGCACAATGTTCTCCTCGACGAGAACTTCGACATCGTCCTCGCCGATTTCCAGGGTCTGGTTGTTGACAGCACGACCGGTGAAACCCTGCTTGATGGATTGACACGGGAGTGCTCGAAGTCGTACATGCCGAGGGAGAATGTTTATTTCGCGAGTGTCCGGACTGATCTCTTTGCTGTCGGATCGGCTATCTATCATCTTATTGCTGGACATGAGGTTTTTCCTGAATTGGATAGCATTGATGATGAAAAGGTTATCAATGCCCGGTTTATGAATGAGGAGTTTCCGAAGAATGACTATGTCGCTAGTCCTATTGTGGAGAAGTGCTGGAGAGGGGAGTATGCGTCTGCTGCTGAGGTTTCCTTTGATATTGCCCTCGTTCAAGCTACTCTGAAAGCTGTTGAGGAGGCTATGAAGAATGAGGAGAAAGAAGATGAGGATGAATCTGGGAACGAAGATGCGGAGTATGAGGAGGAGCAGATGGAAGCTTTGTGAGCTCGCATTGCTCAAATGTACATCATTCGAGAGACTTGTTTCGAAAGGACGGAGTTGAAAGGTCTTCAAGGATATCATGTATTCTTATTCTCTATGGAGGTGGCACATTATGTCTAGTGAAATTCATCAATAGCCTCAGCATCAATATGATCATGGCTCATGTTCAGCAAATCTTCTAAGAATCCGGAAATTGTATGTCAAGAACAGACAATTTATGCCTGCTTCGTCCAACGGCGACTCTCGTCACCCTCTTCCCACGTGTGCTCAACGTAACCCAGCTTCTTCTTGACTTCCTGGACCTTGGCAGAATCGCCCATGTTTTTGCCCATATTGTCGCTGAGCTTAACAGCGGGACTACCGTTTGCGGTGGCAATCTTGATAACGATGTTGAGAGGCTTGGATTTCTGTCCCGTTGATTTATTGATGAAATCATCTAGAGATTTGTAAGCATTTGGTGTGTGTTATAGGATTGCCAAATTCTGACTTACTGGTAAAGAATGTTCCCACACCAAATGTGGGTTTAAAGCCTGCCTTTTCGGAAATTTCCTTGTATTCCAGGCAGTGCTCGATATCCAGTGAGTCCGAGAACACTATTGTCTTGGTGTCGGTAATACCCTGGCTATCATAGAATTTCCGGACCATCTTGACGAATAATGTTGGGTCACCTGAATCTTGGCGGACACCGGCGTAGCTCTGAGCGTAGGTTATTGTGCTCGGGGTAATCTTGTCCTTTTCATTAGGTGCTGAGATGGGCTTTCGGAATGCATCCAGGAAAGCCGGGGTGCCAAAGGTGTCAGTGAGAGCGATTCCAAGGACCTGTGTTTCTATAATTAGTCTGTGACACTTGGGAATCATGAAAATGAAAAAAGTACATACCCCCTCCCCGAAACACCCAAGCCAGTAACTCAATGCCAACTCATTGGCATTCTGGTAATCGTCCGTGATGGCCGCAATGGTCATGTACCATTCGTGTGCCACGGTACCGACAGCACCCTTATTGTATTTCATAGCAAAGTGCACATTGCTGGTCCCGGTCATCACGCCGGGCCAACCCTGCTTCTTTCCCTCCTCTGCCGCACGGCAGAGTCCCTTCATGACCAGGTCCTGGGTATGATAGTCGCGACGACGGCGCGAGCCGAACTCAGAGAACACACAGCCATTCTCAAGCAAAGTACAACCCTTCTTGTATGCCTTCTCTTCCTGGTTTTCGTGATCCCAGTCCGTGTCGCTGAACATGAAATATGCCTGGCTGGTCAGCGCCAACAGCGGAATCTCATACAGGATGGTGTCGAGCCAGAGACCGTCGATAATGTACTCCACATTTCCTTGATCGTCATCACTGCCGGTATCTTGTTCCGGAACGAATTTGATCTTGATATGCTCGGAGGGTCTGAGGTGGAAGGTCTCTAGGAAGGCGAGGTACTCATCATTGAGGTACGGGCAGTTTTGGCGCAGGAACTCGCGCTCTTCGGCGGTGACGCGAATAACGGCCAGTTCTAAGCGCGCATTAGCTAGGAGCTGTGCGAATGTGACATCGAGATTCCTTACTGTCCATCTGCTCCAGAAGCCATTTGTATGCCCCGCGGTACAGTTTCATGTGCGGGGTCCTATTCGTGTAGCCGTAGGTCACGTCTGCGCCCAGATCAGCCCCAGATCCCCAATTCTTTGGTGGTTGCTACTTACGAACATCCGGGAAGTATTTGAGGACCGCGCATTGCATCGTCAGCTTGTACAGATCGGTGTCCAGCAGGGATGTGATGCCCTGTGGCGGGGACATGTCTTTGCCCATCTTGTTGGTTAACCAGAGGAACCGGTGTATGAGTCAATGGAAATGTATTCGCGAGCAGTGGCAGCGAAAGTCCGATAGATAAATAGGCGGAATTAGCCGGGTTGTTTCTTTTCTTTTTTCCTTTTGCGCAACCGCGGGGGAACCTTGGAAACGCGATATGATTATCGGTTTGCTCTGTTTGCACCCTTTACATCATTTCTTCACATATCTCGTTCAATTGCCTCTGGGTGCCTGGGTCAATTTATGGCTTTCATGCCAAAGGCTGTACTGTCTCTTGTCTAATCTATGTTGTACACTATACAAATCTACGGGGTAATGGGCTAGGCATTGAACAATGCTTGTCACGATGGTCTACATCCCTGGCTCCGCTATCGTACGTTTGTGAGTCGTGACGATATGCACCAATGAGACTGGAATGGTACCTTTATTGAAGACACGTCACTTAGAGTTCTAGGAGAGGACTACACAAAATCGAGGATTCATTCACTCGTGGGAGACTGGACTAGCATCTCTGAGGCCCTACGAGCAATGTGCCCCCCCTAACCCAACAAACACCCGGGTTTTAAGCCTATAAAGAGTGGGATGTAGTTCAGGAATAGCAAGTGTAATGTAAATACGTGGGTTTGGTCGACCCTATGGTTTGAATATCTTATGGTGTTCTTGTAGGTACTGGTTACTGCCTTATAGAGCATCCGGGTAGACAATCAACAAACCACTTCGGTGATAATTCTAGGCAATTCCACTAATTAACTAACGTCCGTCTAATGACCCCTCCAAAAAAGAGCAAGACATGCGGAATAGTGGGGAACCGCATACAAAAAATACAAAAAAGAAATTGTTGTGCATCATCCGTGAATCGAACACGGGCCTCGTCGATGGCAACGACGAATTCTACCACTAGACCAATGATGCTAGTTGATGCATAGTGACCCACTCTTATGCCATATAAACCAATTTAACATTATATATCCCAATATCGGTCTTTACACTGTTAGATAATTCTAACTTCAAATTCTCAAAATTTACTACATAATTTACCAGAAGATCCTCTTATAGTCTAGATGTAGCCCCTAGATTAGGCAAAAAACCAGTATCGTTTGGTATGGGCTGTTGTATATATATATCTGGGTGAACAGCTGCCAATTACTGTCGGGATTCTACTTGGACAAACCAACCAACTTAAATTAATGATGAGTGTACTCTAACTCTTGAAAAAATATATAAAACATTAGTACACTGCTGGGATGGAATCAGGCGTGATGCTTGTCCGATATAGAATTTGCAACATCTCGATATGCGAACGAATGAAGACATTCGTTGCACACTTCTGTTAGCCCACATAGCCGTCAGCCTTCAGGACGCAACGCCTTTGAAATTCGAGATTGACGGACACTCGGAAAGAACTGCGGTTCATCGTGGTATTATGGTTGGTTTGTGTGGTAAATAATTTGCAAGAAATGGAAATTCTGGTGCCCTGGTAGTCACTGACTAAGGCGTTCTCATGGAAATGCTATATGGCGAGCAGCTTGGTGGTAATAGCAATCTTGGCTACACCCTGCATATATGCTAGGATATTGATAGACACACCGACACTACGGATATTTGTCTTGAACAGTGATTGGAAGCTGATGAGACTCTGGAGCTCCCCAGAGGACCTCGCTGTCTCGGCATAAGCGGCCTAGTATAGGCAGCCAATCTACACCGTAGGTGACGAGATTGTAGTGGATATCTACACTACCTAATTAAGTAGGTGCAATAATCTATTTAAGATATATAGGACATATCCGGACGGGATCTAGTTCGCTCCTTCCCCAGAAAATAGTCTGATGATAGATTTTGAAACCAAATTTATGTCAAAAGCGTTTTGTTTTTTCTTTCTTACATATCCGTCATCCGTCCAAGATGGATGAGCTACCCTTCCGGAACTGGTGTCTGAGCTGCCTTCATACCAGTATCGCAAATTATGACCCTCGGCAAAGCAGGCCCTTTGAAATCTACTGTGATGTCAACGAAATCGCTAATAACGCATCTTGTGGGCAGTGTCTAGATCGAAAGATTACCTGCGAATCGGTACGTACGCACCTTATATCTCATCCCCATACCCCGAAGTGCATAGAAACCCTTGAAATCTAACAAAGCATACTAGCCCTCCTTGGGAATGCTAGGCGATGTCTACGACCTCTGCACAGTTTTGGAGTGGGCTAGTAGGTTTTGGTCTCGCGACGAAACCTTTTACTGGAACTCAAGCTTTCATCTTGCTGTTTGTGAGGCCTCCAAGGAGCTCTGCCTCAGGTTTGAGCATGTTGAAATGACCCATCGCCGCGTCCATATGTTGACTGCTATTGATTGGTACGATACTAGCGAAGAGCAAAATGTATGTCTTTACTCGCAATCAAATCCCTCACGCGCTCATTCTGGGCTAACCACGAAATCACAACAGGCTGATGTCAATAACTACCGAAGATTCCTTGCTGAACGCCGCGCCTCGCTACGTGCTATGCCGGCTCCCCTCACCGGAATGACTGATCGTCAGGACTGGGTTACTTACAATCCTGAGAGACTGCTCCGCCTCTGCAAAGGTGACTCTGGTTTTGTGGAGTGGTCGGAGGCTAAGGCTGAGTTCCTTAATCGTATCCTGCGGGCATCCCTTTCAATCTACGGTCGTGATGGATCTAACTTCGGAAGACGGAGACTGACATTCATCGAGGAAAGATTCCCCGTGAATCTGGAGTAGATTCAACAAAACGATGGCTCAGTTACCATCCGTTGGAACGAATCCCCTTCTCTTTACCTGATGTCAAATACTTTTCAAATGATTAAATTTCAAACTTGAAACCAGGCTTCCTTCTCCAATATTGCGAAGCTTGTCGACAATCAGATACATGACTGACTGAAAGGTTGGTTTACGCGGTAGAGCACGTATATTTGCCGATTTGGGTACTTTCCTTTGGTATGACCATAATATTGGCATCCAAACCATCAAATATATTAGAGCAGTATGTACTAAACCTGCACTCATGCACTGTTATACTTTGCTATGCATTTTTAAGCGTATTGTACATTTAAAAGATTCAGGACCCCGGAGATCTACACTTCCATCCATTCGTTCTCGTTTTGGTCAGCAAAGCTCTCCCGGTATGGATGTTTTTCGATCCATTCCTCTGCACCGACAACTGTTGCAGATTTCTCATAGAACTCGCTCAGCACATCATTCAGCTCTATAAATCGTCAATACCAGTCCAATCTACCCGTGTCTTGGCTTGGAACTCACTTTCGATTTCCATAGGGCTTGAAGGTTGCAGGGAAAAGCGAGACACGCCCTCTCTCCACAGTACCAGAGCAGATGGAATGGGAGTACCTGAGTTCATAAGCTTCTGTTTTCACTCAAAAGCGAACAGGAAAGATATAAATATCATACCTCGCGGAACACAGAAAACCGTGGGGTCCAAAACAGACTTCCCGTCGCCGATTTCTTCTAGGTACCGCTCGAAATCAAAGCGCAACATTTGCTGCATAAGACGCGAATTGGGCATGAAGATCGGTCCATTGGAGTCTGATATAGAGATAGTTAGACTCCATTGCACGAGGGTTACATATGAGTTTACAGACAAGGGCTTGACTTCGTGATCGCTGCGTGAACTAATCCATCCTTAGACACAGTGATTGCATCCTTCCGGTGGCGGGTCTCATCTTGGGTCACGTCATAAAGTGTGGCCTTACGCGCCAGCTGGTATCGATACATGGTCGCGGGAAATGAAGCATGTGTGGAAAGGAGGGAGAAATTTCGCGCTTGGTTGATATTCAGCCGGGCAGCTGGTAGCCAGTGAGTGGTAAGCATAGTTGCTAGAATGTGTGTTGAGCGAATGCTATGAATCAAATGCACAAGTGATGAGTAGTTAAATTAACCTCCAGATATGGCGGAAACTGGACCACGGGAAAAGAACACGACCCCGTGACATGCGATAAGGTCTCAGTGGACCTTCCAGGGTTCTCTACATAACTCGATGAGCAAGGTATTGGCAATTTCACACCGTGAAGATATTTTCATATGGATATGATTCGTTTTTATATGCTTGGAGTTATTAGCATGTGATGCAAATTCCTTCACATGCTTTTCTACATTGGCATTTCCACCAGCAACGCGACGTATTGTAATGAAAGTCACATGATCGCATATCAAGTAATTTATCGAAATCGTTATAACAACTCAGATGCCCTCCCTCAACGCTCAGCTGTGGAAGGGGCTTTTGCTTACCGTCGGAGCTTTAATACCTACAGGATATCCTTTTTGATCTACTTCTAAGCCTTTTCAGGGTATTTCTGTGTAAAATACCTTCCGTTACGGGCCGCTTTTTATTCCGCATCTGCCCCACAAGTCTTATCTGTCGCAGTGGTGAGTCCAAGATATGTCTCGCACCTATGCCATGAGTTCATAACCCGGATCCTAGAGAACACGGACGTTTCCTGAAATGAATATCTGATCCAAAATTAAGCAAATTCGGTATATAATCTACCGACAGCATTATCGCCTGATGATCCAAATCAATCAGAACGGGATCAGCTCAAATGCCGGTATAGTTATCTTGTCCTGAATCACACAACATGAGGGATTCAAACGCCAAGCCTAGGGCCCATTTACCCCAATACGGAAACTATCCATATTGGTTATATTCTTGTTCGATCCTGGATCAGCTCGACAGCCTCTGAGAGCCTGGCTTGGCTAACTTAAGGCCCCACTAGCTTGGATTGAGATAGGTGACCAATTCACCCCAATACTATCATATTGACTATGGTGAGCCAAGTCAATACGAGGTAGGGGGCACCTGTTTCTTTCAATTTAGATACCCAAAATCCGATAAGCGCGGAACCATACCAATTGTGTGGGATGGCATGGGCTTGGGCCACTGAGAAACCCAAAGCGTCAGATTAGAAACAATTATAGGCGAGACCGGAGAAGGGAAATTGTGGCAAGCTGCGACCTATCAAGTTGTGAGAGGCATCGAGACTCACATGAAGTATCATCAATGCTCCGAACTCTTTCTTACCGTGAATGTGAATATAGGGAACAAGAAACAAATGAATATTCCGACATGGATTATATAGATTAGCTGGACACCCCGACGCCTTTTTGCCTCACCACGTTCCATGGAATTTCAAAGGCAGGATATTGATCTGTGCTCCAGGTCATAAGACTCGATCGAGTGGTAAGTGTTTCGCGCAATGTCTTCTCAAAGAGAAGTGAAGTACATTGTTCATCATCAATAAGGCTGGAATGAGCGAATGAGTGGAATTACACTCAAACTTGATCTATTAGACATGTTCTCGTGGCCTTGGTTGCAATCCACGCATGTTATGCCTGAACTTTACTCCTGGAACTACGCCTAGTCACTTTGGCAAGTTTACAGGCTCCCCGTTAATCACATACGGGGTAGAGTATCCCACAGAAACCAAAGCCTTCGGGACCTGAACCCAGTCACCCTGGTCCTTGACTGCTACCTGCCAATCTGGGTCCGACATGACTTTCTTGATGGTATCCACATCGGGAAGTGTGTATTCGATGAAGCAGTCGAAGTCGGCGAACTCCCAGCTCGGTCGAACCTGTCCAATCTCTTGCCTCAATGCGTTATTCATAGAAGGGGGTGTAACGAACTAGATATCAGTAATCAGTCACAGTTGCATAGTAGATGATGGTCTGATTATCCACCTACGAGCGAGTATTCAAGGACTCCGTATTTCTTGAAGACGGGCATGGCAAGAGGTAGGTGCTTCTCAATCATCCAGTTCATGAATGCCTCATGGGAGTGTTGTTGCTGGCGATGATGGGTGATCGTGAATTTGATAGGTCGGCTCTCTGGGACTTCGGACATCTTGATGGTCTTGTAGTCTCGTAGATATGGGAAGAAGTTTGTCTACAATGTTTGAGGTTTTATTTCTATTCAAGTTCTTGGCTGCCGATGGTATCTGCGTCTCTGCCTAAAGGCCTAATGCGGCTGAGATAATGCGGCTGAGATAGACCCGCAAATTACCCTCCACTTCCTACCAGCCCAAACCTGGCAACCGAATTAGATTGTAAGACCAATTTAGCTATATCCTTGCATGAGAGGAATGGTTACGTTGCAGGAAAATTAGGTAAGCACTAGTAGAGACACGTGGACGCATTGCACTACCTGGGAATTCGCGTATTAATAGCTTTCTCCTATCCCCTTTGCATCTTCACTTTTCCTCTTATATCCTGCATAGTTTGATCGAAATGACTCCATCTCTTCCACCACAGTACGAAATTCGTGTTCTTGGACCAGAACATGAGGAATGGGCTCGAGCAATTTGCATTCAAACAAATCTATTCCACTCCCCGCTCTGGCCAGTTGTTTATCCTGAGAACAAAACCCACCGGGCCTATGAGACATTCCAACGCTCGCACTATTTAATTAAACATCAGATCGATTCAGGAAAGTCACTCGGTATCTTCGATAAAGAATATCAGTTTAAACGACCCGAATCTGCAGCCACAGGTGGCAAGCTGTACTGGAACCTGGATGACGAGAATGCAACCGAAAGTGAGCTTGCAGACCAAATGGACTTCCCACTAGTCTCGATCGCCATGGCCTACGATGGCATTGACGCGCTAGACATGTCTCAGATAGAACCTCTGGTAGCAGCACTGCCCTTGTTCGGAACGCTCTATCATGCCCTCGAGGAGCGAGACCAGCGCGATCCTGCATCATGGAAACCCACAGCCCGCGGACAGGTACTTATGCGCAACGCAACCAACACGCTCCAATCTCATTCTGGCCGTGGACTTATGAGACTGCTGGCTGAAGAGATGATGAGACGTTCAGCAGCTGAAGGATACCGGGGTATCCAGATTGAGAGTGTTTCTGAGGCTGTGCAAAAGGTGTGGTCAAAACCACCGGCGCCCTTTAAGGGAACTATCATTTCGCAAATTCACACAACGACATTCGAAGAAAAGAACGAGGAAGGGGAAGTCGTGTATCCGTTGCGACCTGCGAATGTGAATATTACCAAGATTTGGGTCGACCTCTAGATTCCGAATTCAAGAGATTGAATTTGCGGCCAATTGAACTGATGTTTATCAAGAGCTATTAGTTGCTAATTTATATGTGAGAGTATTACACATGACACACGGCAGACGGTGACTGACTATTGTTACATGAAGGGGTGTGATTACTCAAGCTTATTTGCTAGGACTGCCGAGTAGCCTATCTAGTTATATAGCTTGCTTATCTTCCTCTCTCTCCTTTTCCTCCGCTCACTTAAGAGGGAACGTGCAAAGTCGGTAATTGGCCAAGCTCCAAATGAACGACTTTGTCTTTTGATTGCGGAATAAGTCTGGCGGACTGTATAACAAGATCTCGAAATTCTGCGCTGGCGAGTATAACTTTCAGAATTCTCTTGAAAAGTGAGGCAGCTTGACTTGATCTTTTGCTGGAATAGAGAAATCGCCCACGTTATTTGCCATCTGGCTCATGCGGTGTGGGAAAGACTGAGCAGCATTGCATAATGTCGCTTGACAAAACGAAGATTAATCGTAGGGAATCAAGTGACTATGTACAAAAATAGGGATACCTAGTAATGTCTTTGCAATTATCTGAGCTGAATGTCGCTCTATAAATGCAAGGATCGGCTTCCTGGAGTGCCGAGAGCTATTGGAAACCCTGCCTAGCCGCACCCAGGCACCGTTGATTGGATGATAAGTTGAGCGTATAGACTCCTCAAGCTCCTTCTTTACAGTGTTAGGAAGTTCAATCTCCTCAAGAGATTACAGTTCTCCGAGGGCATCCGTGGCCTGAAGGCTGTTTGCAACACTGTGGAGGAATTTGACATGGTCATTTATAGAGAACGGAAAACTTGGCGATCCGTTAGGCTCCCATTTTTGTGCGCACTAGGCGGGATGGCATACGTAGTTGGCTTTGTGGCGCTCATCCCACACGCCCTATTACATCCGGACAACTAAATATATCAATCCCGTCTCCTAAGGAATTCGGAGGCTCGGAGGATTCGGAAAGTAGGATATACGGATATACGGAGATAAGGAGATCCGGAGAAGGAGCCCGAGCTGTCAGAGTCAGTGGACCTCGATTTCGCTGATCAACGGTCTCCGAAGGATAGAGATTCATTTTTTTCCTACACATGTGGTGTCTGCTGGTCTTTTTCATTCACAATCTCGCCGACATCATCCAAACAGTAGATGTTTCCGTTGAGCATAGGAATACATCCCACAGATAACCAAAACGGGTTGCCCATAGCAAGGGCATTTCCAGGCAGCTCGCCCGTTTCAGCGATCTTGTGATAGGTATAATATGCCTTTGAGGGGTTGGTCTACCTGCAAGACGTACTCGCCATTCATAATATAATACTGTCGATGCCGTCATGGACATCTTCCCATGTATAGCACTATATTACTATTGATATACGAGTATCTCAAAGCCAAAATGTTAGTCTCTATCTAGAAGAAATTCTTGGAACAAATCAATTTAGGTAGTAGTATATCACAATGCAGAAGCTCTCATCGGATGTAGCCAAGGCAATCTCCCATTTATCCGCTCCGATCCCTCAACATAGTCCAACACCTGTGCTTTCTGAAACCCAGGTGAAAACAAATATCGAAGTCCCAGACTCTCAACAAATGAATGGACAATAATATATCGGGCAAAGAACCAGTGAAGGGCGCTGTACCAAGTGTACATACGAGTCTCGACTCCCGAGTTCGTCAAATCCGCAACGAGTGAGCATTCCGGGCTCTTTCGAACCCTTTCATAGTCTTCAAACACATGTGTAAGAGCGGATGCATCTGGGTTTCTACCCGGAGCCCTATGAACCGCATGTCGTAGACGGTTACACAATACCACAACATCCTGAACACCATTGTTAAACCCAAGTCCCATATGAACTGTGAACTTATGACAAGAATCGCCCACGAGAACAATCCTGCCCAGGCTCCAGTGCTTTGCGATTCCTTCCTGGAGATCCGTCATGCCTTTGGCTAACATGTTCGGCCAGACATCTTTGACCTTGACCGTGCGGTTCAATGGATAATCTGCAATCTCGGCAGCGATGGCATTAATGTCATTCTCGGTGTAACGATTTCGCTCGCTGGTTGGCTTTGGCAATTTTTCGCTGAGGAAAAACCAGCTGCGCCTCGGCCCGCTGAAATACGAGATCGACTTGCCCGATGACTGGGTGTCGTTCCCTTCACCGGGAGGTGACCGTGTGGGAAATGAGCCGTATAAGAGCCGGAACGTTGCTGTGAAGGGTTCTTCCGGATCCCAGTCCCGCAGTGGATCGTCTTTCAAAGCTATTTCTCGCATCAAATGTCGGGTTTTGCTGTGAACACCGTCTGCGCCTATCACTATTGAACCGTGATAGACACTGCCGTCGGCGCATGTCACTTTTACCCCGTCATCCCGTGTCTCGATATCGCTCAACTGCTTGTTGGCCAAAACCTTCTCTTTTTCGATGTCAGGTAACATATTGTACACTGTTCTCACCAGCTCGGAGCGATCGAAGACAAGAGGGGCATATCCGTGACTGTTTCAGAAATATCAGCCGGAAGCACATGGAAGTTGGTATGGCGACTCACTTCTCTCGAATTGTCCTATATCTTGGGCTTTCATGAAACACATGTCCGTCTTTGGTAAGTGACATGTGAGTTTCTAACTCTACTCCTATGTCCAGCAATGACTCCAAAAGGCCAAGTTGGTGCATGACTCTTAAGGTAGTCGGATGTACCACAAGACTAGCCCCTTCCTCTTGGACAATAGTAGCTTTGCGCTCGAGTACCACAAAGTCAATATCGGCACGATGGAGCGCATGGGCGGTGAATAGCCCTATTGGGCCGGCGCCTACCACAATGACCTTGAAGTCACTCCCCATGTTATGCGTATCGTGGGACTGCCTCTGCCGTGCGAGATAATATCAGCCTTCTACCGAAGCTGGAGGAAACGGGAAATGGAATAAGTTAAATATCTGCAGATCCCTAGCCTGACGAGGTCAGTTTGTCAGCTTATTACCCAGTACTCCGTATACGACGTAGGCATACATGCCACTAGGCCAGGCTGAGTTAACTGACGATAACTCCGAGAGATGATTTCTAATCAAATTGCTTTTTGGGCACACCCCCCATCTCGCCTTTCGGCCTTTTCTCCAATAATCTTCAGTCTATCGTATCAGGTACAGTGCAATCGTGGGGTTTGGAGTGTACATGGAGGGCCCCCACCCGGCTCATTTTCCCGGGTTCCTCCAATATCGAGTTACAGGTCTGCTATTCACATGGCTTGGGACTATTTACTAGTATGTTGACTATTATTCTTTTGAATTTATATTGGAACGGGAAGTCCAGAGGAAAGAAACTTTTATACTTCGGAGTATCCGTTATTCCCAATTAGGACTAGCGCCGGGATATCATGCTGCAGTTCCTCCGCTGCCTCCTCGGCCGGTGTGTCTTTCGTCGACTTTTTTTTTTTTTTTTTTTTTTTTTTTTTTTTTTTCGAAAATAGTGATGAATCAGTCGAGACTAGCTGCTGCAATTCAAGAATCCCCTCATCCGGGCCGGCAACTTGAAAGCCGGGCCACGACCGGAGAGTCCACGCGAGTCTGTGATAGTTGCATCCGGTATGCCCTCTTTCGTTATCACTTTGTGTGGATACTGATGCTTTCATAGTAAAAAGGCGAAATGCATGTTACCTCCAATCTTACATGAGCGATGAGAAGCTATTCACGGGAGTTCGTTGGCTAAACCTTTTATCTAAGTACAGGCGATCAAGAACGACCAACCTGCTCTCGTTGCTTCCAGCGAGGAGAAACTTGCACGTACTCATCTAAACGACGTAAACCTGGTCCACCGCGTGGCTCACGTCCAAATTTAAGATCTTCGCAGTCACAAAAATGTCCTGGTAACAGACTCTGAGACCATTCCGTCTTCAATCCATGCGCGGGTGGATCAAGCATCGTGTACTGACAATTCTGTGCGCGTCAATTGAAGGCAGAGAGCCTCATGCCGCACGCCAAGCTTCCGGTCTAGACCAGCGACCACTAGGCCAGCCGTTTCTAGGGCCCTGTACAAGGCCAATCTCCGAACCATCTCCCCAAACAAGTGACAATGGTCAATCCCCTGCCCAGTATGAAATTTCTAAACAGCAAGAGGAATATTTGTATGGCCCCTTTATCTTTTCGATATGCGTTGTGCTGAGACAGTTGATGCATAGGCTTGATCAATATTTTGAAATCGCCCAAGATGCAAATCCCATATTCTCGAAGGCGAACTTTCTCGATAAATATCGAAACTCATTGTGCAACGAAGGACTCATCTCTGTGATGGTCACAATAACGGCAAAACTTATAGGATATAAGCTTTTCCCCGAAGAATGTGTCCTCAATGCTCGAATCGACTTACTGCTGGGCTCCAGTTTACTCGAGGATGACATCGTCGGCGATTCTCCCTCCCTTGACCAGTTCCGCAAAGCCTGCATGCTAGCACTCTACGATTTTCACCAATTCCCAGGCCACCAATCATGGATGCGGATAGGGAGACTGACACGCATGGCTTATCGGATTGGACTCGATCGCCTTGAGCCTCTCCGAGCAATGTGTCCGGACTGGGGATGTCTCAGCAAGGATGATATTGAAGAATGGCGTTCAGTGTGGTGGTGTATCTACCGTCTCGATTCATACTCCAATCTCTCTTCCGGCACACCATATCTCATCGACAACAGCTTTGTCAACACATCTCTTCTGCTTGACGCGTGTGAGCCAAACGGCGAATCTAGTCCCATGACACTTTATCTGCCAGCCGACTCCGAACACCTGTGGAAACTTCTCCCGACAATCATCTCCAATCTAGAGACACGGATGAAGAACATTCACATCATCTCCATTTCCGCGATGCGTCAAGCTGGACTTGTCGCAGGGATTCGTTTATTGAGACCTCAGGAGGAGATAGCCACGCATCTCGTTAAATTTGAGCGTCATCTTTCGGCGCTTTGTCTGGCACTTCCGCATGGCTGGTTCAATCCCGGACGCAATGCATTCACAAATGAATCCCCCTTGACCACCACGCAAGGCTAATCACTGTCTTCCATCTCCGGATGGCAAGGCTGCTCTCATCAATTGTGGCCTGTAGTCGAACACAAGATGACGGATGGATGGCGAGCTGGCAACAAGTTCTCGAGACCTGCCAGGATATTGCCCATATTGCAGGGCAATGGAATAGCTCCTTCTGTATACAAGTGGATCCAGCAATTTGTTTCATCATCTTCACTGCTCTCATATTCCTCGATCTGCATATGAAGTCGGGAACGGCGTCGCCTGAAATTTTGTCAAATATCGACCACGATCAAACTGTCCTGCGTCTTCAACTGGACCATTTTGCGAGAATCTGGACTTTACCAAGACTACTCAGCTGTGAGTGACCAGACAAACGTTGATGGAGATCTTAAGTTAACGTAGTATTTAGTATCATTCGCAGGATTCAGCGAATCGGTCTCTAGCCCACTCTCGCACCGCCAGATTACCTTGATCCTATCGCGGTTCGAAGCACCTTTACATCCAAGATGGCTGGGATTTCTTTCAACTGCCCCGGCAACTTTGGCGGCTTTTCAATAAATGAGGGAAAATAATGAATGCAATGGATTATCAACAAGAGGAACCAGTCCTCATTGCCAATTGGAATTCAGGAAATATAGCGACCGACACGTTCAAAGACAAAAGAAACGCCCACAATGCATTATATCTCTGAACCATCATGGCGTGTGACTCGTACAGCATACTCTCAAATATCGCATAATCTCACATATATCTTCGTCAGCCATTCTCGCACGCTCGCCCTGCACCGTTCCAGACGTGGACTCGCATCTCTTATTGGGCGTTTCAATGGTACTCAATACCTTGAAAAAAAAAGCAGATGGAATCAATCAATGATCCACAAAGTAGTCCGCTCTCTAGGAGCAACCACAGCATTGCCAAAGCCAACGCAATGAAACGCAAAGAAAAAAAAGAGCGTAGAGCCAAGGACCCACAATTCTCCGGCATCGGGAATCACCAACACCCAGTGTCGACAATAAATCTCCGAAGAAACTCCCCTCGACAATTCAAAGAGGGAAAAAAAAAAACAGCGTGGAAAACAGAAAACACATCCAGACAATCCCTCTGAATCTATGGCACAGCCATGATACACGGCTATCCCCCCCAATCTACCAATATTCCCCCACACTGTCCTCTTCATCCTGGCGCCGACTCAGATCCAGACTCCCATACCCAGAATCCGACCATTGACTCGCACCAGGCGAAGCAGTCGATATACCAAATCTGGAGTGTCGGTCACAGGTATAACCCACAAGCACGGTCTTTTCTTGTACTTCATGACCACGCTGTCCATAAGCAGAGCATGGGTCGATCGAGTGCTCGAAGTAGAGACATTTGCAGACAGAGTAACGTTCGACGACTTTGTAACACATCGTCTTGGAGAGGGATCGGGGTAGTGGGATTGATGGGGTATAGTCGAAAGAAAGGCAGCCGAACCAGCCGATTGAACAGAAAGAGTAGAAAGTCGCCAAATAATGCAATAGAACGACACGCTGTCGGAAAGAATGACCATGAACATGCAAGAGGAAAGGACTGGACAAATGTGTATAGAGAGGTTCGTTATATAGAGTATAGAAGGATCTCAGGCTATCCTGGAAGTGATGTAGATCCCTCAGCCCTATGGGTAACCCCAGGCAGAAACCTAATGGGGCGCGCCCAATTGGAGAAATCGATGTGAATGTTTTCTCGGTCTTCCATTTTTATCCCTTTTTATGCCAGAAAGAGATACACAACGGACCAGTCCAGTCCCATCTCTCAGCTGGCCATGTTCCCGACTCCGTCTCACTCTGATCTCCCTAGAGTGTCGAAGACGGTGAACCCATAGTGAAGACGCCCACCCCACGAGTAGTTCAATATACAGTGAGTCGGTGAGCCACAGGCTGTGCAGTCCAATCTACGAATGTTCGGATCGGATCAAGAATTCACCCTACTGGCTGACGTCGATCGCGACATAGTGGATATCGGGCGTGTTGACTCAGAGAGCCTCTTAACACAGCCCTGTCACTTCGACTCAAGAGGTATAGGGCGACGAATGATCTGATACTCTATGCTATTACATCGACAATGTTATTCTTGGTTCCAAGGCGGCATTGAAATGAGAACGATGAGATTAGGCGCCCGCATTCAGCTGCTGACGCTATGACTGACCGAGTTACCCAACGGTGCGTCCTTTTGACATTTACTCCGTACGGGGCTACGATTTTGCTATTCTAATCGTCTTAAAGGGAAGATGTGTCTATGAAAAAAAAAAATATCTCGAATATGCCAGACTATGCGACAAAGACCGGACAGTCGACAGATGGAAAATACCTAACAATCCGGTACTCCATGAAGAACCGGTTTTGTTAGCTTGACGCTAATGATATTTTCTACAACTCCGTACGAAGTAGACGATCTGCATGCTGAGGGCCTTGGGGAAGGCCTCCTCAGCACCACTTTATGCACGCACTTGTCCACTCGGATCACGCGCTGGCACCCAACGGCGTAATCGACCCTATCACACCTCGTCTTGGCCCTCCCTCTCCTACCCATAACTACCAAGGCACAATTAGGCGCGACATAGTTGGAAGCATTTGTTTGGGGGAATATGGAAGAGAGTAATAAGCGAGATCAATGCTATCGGACTTGATGGACCCGGAAGAAAAGAGAAGAACGATCATAACCTGGGACTAAGATTAAGTGGCATAGTAGTCTGATATCGTACAGCGCCAGTCACAAAGACAAAGCAGATGAACAGGTAATTGTTGTGTGTGTGTGTGCAAGTAGTGCTAAGCTAAATTCAATACCCGAATTCAATTCCCGGATTAAAAAAAAACACCATTTTCACAACTAGGCCTCCCTCTTACTCGAACGCCGTAACTTCAGATCGATCCCATTGCCCCCTGACTCAATCCACGTGCCAATCCCAGTCGAAGCATCCGTAGGATATCCTCGCCCTTGGCAGTCTCGGGAAGTCCGACTCGCCAATCCCATCCTCGATCGGCGCTGGCTTTGTCACCGGGAGCAGGCACCAGGACGCCTGAGCTGCCTGCAGAGGTAGGGCCGGATCCAGACCGGGAGCGGGTGCGCGCTGACTCAAGCATGTCGTTGCCGATGAACGCGAAGCTGGAGGAGAAATTGGACACGGATTTCTTCAATAGCGAGCGGGGGGAGGGAAGCCCGTCGGATCCCCCGGTGGATGATTGGGATTCTAGAAGGGTGGAGCGGAAACATTCCTCGCACTGTGCATACACACGTGGGGTGACGGTTTCCAAGTCCTCGATGGCGGATAAGATGGTGAACTGTTGGGAGACGGTGAGGACTGGAGTGGGTTCTGGTTGGAGGGTTAGTGTTGGAGCAGAGTACCGATGGGGGTTGGATTGGGAGACTTACGGTTGACAAACACACAGGCTTCACCCAGCAGAGCCAGTAGTCCATCCACCTGCACAGCGGAATCACGATCTGGGTCGTAGAGACCTCCGTAGATATTATCCGCCGCACTCCCAATGACAGCCGCAAGAGCTTGCGCAGCGGCGCGTCGCCGAGCCAACGGCTTGTACCGTGGCTGCTGGCCCTCTTGCAGTTCAATTTCCTCGTCGCGAATCTCGTAGAATCGGCGCAGAGTCGCGTAACCACTGAGATAGAACTGAAGAATTCGAGCAGCTTCTTCGTCGACTTGTGCAATGGAAGACAGGCATGCTTTGGGTTCCTTCATCAAAGAGCGCAGCTGTTCATCGAGATCAGCCGTCGCAGGGTACGCTCGTGATTGTACCAAACTGTAGGAAATCAAGAGGTCGACAACTGACTTGACCTTGCGTCGGTTCTGGGCACGAGCATAGCAGACGAGGGCCAAGCCAAAGTTTTCGGATTTCGAGGTCAACATGTCGCCGAATCGCTGTCAATAAGTAAGCATTGGGTCAGATAATCAAGAGTAACTCCCTTCTACCACTCACCTCAGATACTCGACGCCCTTGGTCCTCCAGCTCAAGTTCTGAACAAAGGACCACTAGTTTATCCAACTGCTCAGGGCTTTCCAAAGGAAGCTTATCCACAATCTCGGTCACAGCCTTCTTCATCTTAATCGCGTCGTCGAACCGGCTCAGGACCTCAATAGCCAGCTCCCAGCCTTCACGAGAGCTGTGCTCGTTCTCGATAACGGGTCGGTCATATAGGCCGAGTGCGTAATTCTGGAGAATATCATCCTTGTGTAAATGGCGGGCCGGGGACTTGTTATCTTGCCCGTACGAAAGGACCATGAGATCATTCTCTGACAAACCAGGTAGGGTCTTTTGACTGCTTCCGGACTCAAACCAACCTCCTAGGCTGGCAACTTCTGCGACAGCGGCAGCCACGCAAAGTGACCATGATTGCACTAATTCCAATACGCCTTGCACGTTGCCTTCGAAGACAGACGCGAGACCGACCTCCATGCTGCTAAGAGTATTGGGTCTGAAATCAGCGTTATCAGACCCATCGGTGGTGGTATGGCTCAGGGCTAGTTCGAGGCGGTCGAGGTAGGCGCCACGCATATTGCGATCAACAGCGCGAACGTGGTTCCTTGGACCGCGCGAGCGCAAGAAATCTTGGAAGTTGTCGCTGGATGAGGTGGCGCCAAAGTCCATGGTAGAACCAGTGTCATCCTCACCATCCCACCATGCCGTCAATGCAATGGTCGCCTCCACCCAGTCTTGAGACTTGCCCTTGATGGCAGATGGGTCGCCCAGAAGAATTCGGTAGATTGACCTTAAGCTCTGGTAAATTGACCATGGGACACGGCTTTCTGCCATGCGAGCGGATTGCGCGAATGAAATTGGGTTCTTGTTAGCAGTGGTTGGGCCGAAAGTGGACAATCCAAAGTTGACAGCCTGGAAGCGATTTTCTGGAAGCGGGACAATCGACTCATCCCTCTCCTCTCCCTCGGCGAATTCCTCCAGATCAGTCACGGCCGAAAGAACTCGTTTACGGTACTGAGACCAATCAAGGCCGGTGATCTCCCAGTCTCCAGGGCATGATTCAAGAATTTGAAGAGCCTTGTTGACGCAGCGCTGGATGTTCTGTAGCTGTGCACCGCGATACCCAGGCTGTGGGAGTCCATCCTCCATTGCTGATCGGGCGTAGTTGAAGTCTGCGGAGCGGAGAACATCGGCGGCATCCGTCAGACGACCACGCAGCACAGAAGCAATGATGATATCCCAGAAGTTTGAAGATGCGGTGGGGTTCGGTTCCACATATTTCAATGCTTGGAGATCCTTGGTCTGCGAAGCGTGATTTCCACTGAGCCAGTCAAGCAAAACTTGGGGCAGAGGCTTGGGAGCGGGGAGTCTCGTCATCGCCTTTACCATACCAGCGGCCCCTGTGCGCATGGGATTAATGTTGGCTGTCGAGGCTGCTTCACGAGGAGGATGATGAAGTTCCAGCAGCAAGGAAGCCAAGAAGGTAGCTTTCGCAAGATCAGGAGCCTGCTCTCCGGGCCCAATACCAGTGTGGGCACCATAGGGTCGGTCAACGCCACTTTCATCGGCGCAAGCTTGCCAACTGTCTGCCAATTCCTTTGATACCTTAGCCAGTACAGCATCGAAATCGACATGTTTGAATTCCGCGGCTTTGAGCTCGTCGGAGAGATTCCCAAGAGCATCCTCCGTTTTGAGAATCATCTCACTTGGCTCTTTAACAAGGGCAATGCGGGATCTGGCAGCAAGGTTATGAAGAATGGATGGCATCGCAGACGGCTTCTTAGGGGCCAGGTTGGTCTTGCGAATGGGTGACTGCTGCTTCCAGTGCTCGTCAAGCTTAGGTCGCTTGGCATCGTTTGGATTCGAATAGATCGGTTTGCGCTGTGCACCCATGGAGGGCTGGGACCCGAAAGGATTTCCGAAAGCCGAGTCTAAGAAGTTGAAACTCTTGGGTCGATCCTGGCTGCTCATGTCCGTTTCCTCTTCGGTTTGCACCTCCTCTTCCTCCGGTTCTAACTCGGTTTCCTGCTCTTCGTTGAAATCGCTCATTTGCGACGACGCAAACCCATTGGACTGTCCGAAATCCATCGAATCCCCAAACCCACCTCCATTTGGCACACCGAAGCGAAGACTAGATTTAGCTGTAGGTTTAGTGGAAGGAGCTTTAGTCTGCTTGGGCATGGCAAAATCCATCGATCCAAAGGATGAGCCAAAGATGCTGTCATTTGTATTGATGTTACCGGATTTGGTGAAGACTGAGTTGGAGAATTCGTTCCTCGAAAAGGAATTCTGATTTGTGGAGAATGCGCTATCGTTTGTGGAGAAGGAGTTGATGCGTGAGCCGCCATTGATGTTTGATGTAGAATGCGGTATGAATGAGCCTGCACTGGATGGCGGAGGGCCGGCAGGAGTGGTAGATATATTGCTCCAGAGACTGCGAGATCGATCTTTCTCTGGAGTCTCAGGTGGACTGGACTCGTAAGGTACGTGAAACGACATCGTGGGGTGGGTTGGTCAGAAATAGAAGGGACGGCTTGACGGCATCAGAGGATGCAGGTTTTGGGCTGCAACAGCTCTAAGAACTGTTAGATGGAACAAACGTCAATGTCAATCGACCAGGACTAATTTACCGAGCAGCGAAGAAGGTCAATGCAAAAGATTGCTTGTCAGAGAAGTTTCCTCTTCTCCAGACTTGCTTGTTTTTCTTGCCCTTCACTTTCCGCTCCGACGCGACGGCGAGAGTTATCAGGCATTCAGGCACCAGTTTTCAGATCATGTGATTTTGATGAGAAGAAAGTCACGTGTAATTGCTTACTCAGATGGTCTGTTATTGCGGCCTTGTAAATCAGGCGAAATGCGGGATGAATATCACGTGGTGATCCCTGCCCAACTTGGGGCCATAAGCTGATTGGTTTGTTGATCTGCACTGCCAGCATCGCCAGGCAGGGCTCAGCAGTTGGGGGCCAAATACGAGCGATCCTGATTGCCCCAGGGGCAATACGGGCACACTTTATGACTTCAATCGTACAAATGGAACACAGTTATCCTGATTCGAACAGGGCTGAGTCTTGAATGATCTGAGAATCCAGATATATAATGAGCTCACAGGTCTCGGGTTCATGGAAAATTAATCATCACAAAATCTACTTCGAACCATATCATTCATAGTTTTCCCATCTTCATCATGAATCCAGCCGCCCAGTATCTCATCACCCACAGCTTTTGGCGCCACCACTACGATGTCAGCACAATAGACAAAACACATCTCTTTCACGTCGCCAACTCCTCCTTCACACCAGGAAAGCCGGATCTTACTTTTCACCGCAGCTCCGACTCTAATGGGCCCGTTGTGGGGGTATGTAAGTTCCGACACTTCTCCTCGGACTGTGAGATTGGTCTAGGGGACCCTGAACGGCCTAACAAGATGGACTGGGAATACCTGCACAAGCAAGGCTTTACAAAGCGCATATACTGGTTTCGCATGCAGCTTGAAGACGGTACAAAGCAAAATTTTACCTGGAAACGAACCCACTCGCTTGGCACCGGCTGGGAAAACCACAAACTAGTCGAGGATACCAGCCAGACCGTGGTCGCGGTCTTTTCTTCCGGCGGCATTTTTTCCAAAACAACCGGCTACTTGGATATCTACTTGCCTCTAGGGCCGCAGTTCTACCTCATGGCGCTTATATCGGGCATTGCAGTTGTCGAGAAGGTGAGGCGTGCGAAACAGAGCGCGCAAAGTGGGGGAGGTGGAGCGGCATGTTAGGCCAACATTTGAGGTTTCATCAATGGCGTTCTATACATCACACTATTACGAGGCCAGAGAATATTAGCGAGAGATGCAGTTTCTTTACTCCGTAGTGTTACTTGAGCTATGATACCCGGCAGAATTGCCACGTTCTTTATTCTGGACTTGGCTTTAGTAAATTTTTTGAATTGCTTAATTGTGTACATGCTTCGAGCAAGGATATTTATATATGGACTAGTCGATTCGTACAATTCAGACTTTTTTCAATCGATTCTCTATACTTTCCGGTCCATTCTTGTATTTATAGCTAAAACACTGATAGTGGGGAATAAAGGAAAATACATGGCGGTTCCTGAGAAAGCTGAAAAGAGTAAGGACCGTTCCAAAGAGGAGTATATAAGCGGCCGGCTATTCTTGTAGATTATCCTATAATTAAAAGCTTCACCATTTGCAGCCAAGCGAGGCAGTGCAAGCGAAACCGTGTAAGCGAGACAATGTTTCAGATTAGACAAGCCTTTTTCGATTGTTTGATCGACAGGGTGTGGTTACATAATCCTATACTTTCCCCGGGACCCGAGGGACCCTCCCCCCGAGGTCTCTCCGGCATCGAATCCTGTTGCCTGAGGAAAAAACCAGATCCAATGTTTTCCTCTTCTTCCAAACTATGGCCAATCTAATAATTGCATGACTATGGCGCTCCGACGACCACATCGGAAATCTCGCCACGGTTGCGTGGAATGCAAGAGACGACGAGTGAAGGTATGAAATGAGAGAGAGAAACAGAGAAAAAAAAATATAGCCCACTCACCCCATCATAGTGCGATGAAGCTCGGCCGTCCTGCACTAACTGCGCTAAACGTCATGCCGAATGTGAGTACGGGTCGTCAACCTCCCTACTATGGGCAAATGAGTCCGACAGCGGACAGGCAGGCGACTCAGCACCGGGACTTCGTTCATCCTTGAGTTCAACCCCAGGAGCGGGGCCAGCAGACCCCCTTGGAATCTTGGGCCAACTTGGCAGCGAAAATGCCGCAACCTCAGGCGGGCCCGCACTGAACCTCCAAGACCTGGAATTGATGATACAGTGGTGCAACACGACGTTCCACACACTGTCACGCAACGAGCGCACCGATCCAATTTGGCGCAACATCGTGCCCGAAGAGGCACTCTCACACCCATTTCTGATGCACGGTATCCTGGCCCTGTCAGCGCTGCATCTTGCTCGAACAGGGCCAGAGCCGACTCGTCGCGCGTCGTATCTCAATCGCGCCGTCAGCCACCAGAATCAAGCGCTGGCGCTGTTTCGAGAGCTGCTGGGGGATGTGAAGGAGAGTAATGCCAAGGCGATGTTTGCTTTTGCGGCAATTGTGGTTATCTACACGTTTGCATTCCCGCATACACCGGATGTGCAGGATCCGTGGTCCTGCGTCGACGATTTGTACCAGGTTCTCGTTTTGACGCGCGGCGTGCAGCAGGTTATTCACGCGCCGCGGGACTTTACGAGCTTTTTACTTGACAGTCCTTTTGGACCGATTTTGCGGGTTGAGGAGGTTCAGGTTCCGATCCCCGAGGACACGGCTGCTATGCTCAAACAATTGCGTGAGACGAATGAAGTCTGCAGATCACGGGATGCGAATCATGAACTGCAGGTCTACGAAGCGGCCATTGCGAATCTGGAGGAAATGCTGAATTGGTGCCACAGCGGGATAAGGGCAAACACAATTGCCGGGAGGTGGGCGATTCGCCTGAAGCCTCGATTTATGGAGTTGCTACGCGAACGAGACCCCATGGCGCTAGTAATGTTAGCGCACTATGGCGTGCTCTTGCACTATTTGGATCATCACTGGTGTTTTGATGAGTGGTGTGTCAGGGTCTCCAAGGCCGTATGGGCAATATTGGACGACGAGTGGAAGCCAGTGATCCAGTGGGCAATGAAAGAGACTCTCGGTGTTAACTATTTGGAACAGGTTGAAAGTTGACATTCTTAAAGCATTTTTCTTGTTACGTTCATATATACCCAAATTCAAAGCGCCAAACCCCATAACCAAATCGAAAGCACAAAAAACCAAAATCTGGATCTCCACCTGAATATATCCATACTTATCGCAACAAATCACGATTTTAACGTGCTAAACCGCACCTGAACCCTCCATGACCTTCAAGCCGCCCATAGCCGTTACGACTCTTCCCCTACCAAGGAGATAATTCACCTCGCTAGGGTGAACGATCACGAAAATGACCATCACCGCAAACATCAACATCCCATCAAAGACGTAAATAAAAACCTCATTGCTCATGAGGTAACCCTCTGTGCCCTGGACATACTCTACGACACGAACGATAGACCGAATGAGAATGAACATACTGGACGAGTGTAATGCCCACATATGCTTGCGCCAGGGATATTGATCTGCCACCGCATGACCAGTGTGGTGGGAGCCCATGCGTTGCTGGAAGATGACCGCACTTATGAGGAAGAATCCGAAGAAGACGATTTGCACAATGAGGCCGCCGATAATGACATTCTGACCGGTGCTTGTGGAGTTTGACGATCCGGTGACCATGATTCCTGCGCCTGTGGGAGGATTAGCATCGCACTATTGAACAATAGACTGAAAGGGAATGAACATACCAGACGCCTGCATTAAGAAACTCAACACATCACCCGCAACGAATATCTTGGTCATCCACCCAACTCGAATCAAAGCAAACTGCTCGCCCTTGACCATAACAATGATCCGACCCAACTCCATGTAAATACTCGCTGCGAACAGTGCCGGGGCGACTAGCAACAATGTGCTTTGCATGACATAGGGTCCAATGGTCCAATTAGGCGATTGTTTTGCTGACATGGCGCGACCAATATATCCAACGAGCTCAACTGGAAGGGTGTTAGTGCTGGGAACTTCTGGAATCTGCTTGCATATGTGTATAGGAATGTACATACAGTATCCGCCGATCACGAGCGGGATGAAGAACCATGTTCTCGTGCGGAATAAATGGAATGTGTGTAGTAAAGTGACGATTGCAAAGCAGACTATGAATACTGCCGCAGCCGCCAATGAAGGGTAGTATGTATAGGCGGTCCAGCCGGGGTGGGAAGAAGACATTTTGAATGTGGATTGAGTGGAGAAGAGGAAAGGCTAGGTAGGTTGGATTGAATTGATTTGGGAAAATAAAACTGAAAAGTACTCTTATATATGTGATAGTTCAGAGTTTTCTCTTAAAATGTTCCCAGGCAACCCTGGAAATGCAAATTCGTGAGATATCGAAAGGAAAGCTCGTATACTCGCATTTTCGTATTGTTACCCTGATGTAGATTAGTGGGTACACGCTAGCCGGATACAGAGCACGGTACGAGATACGAAACCTTAATCTTATTTTTTTCCCAAGTGGATCCATGGATAAGAAAGTGGAGATGGATGCTTGTCCCTTCCAGGGCTGCACATCTCGTATAGATCTCTCGTACAGAAGGGTTCATTTGCTACTTTCATTTTAGGATACGGGTACAGTCCGATATTCTGGGGTACATTCTCCAATCTACTCCAATCTCCAACCCTACAACTTCGCCTGCTCACCCCCATTCTGTAGCACATAGCGATATCTAGCCTTCCCTTCATGCATATCAACCAGCGCCTGATTGATATCTGCCATATCCCTTTTCTGAATCCAAGGCAAGACCCTTTTCTCCGCAGCGAGAGCCAGCATAGCCCGAATATCATCAGGGGAACCAATATTTGACCCTGTAACCTTGACACTCTTCTGAATCAGACTCCAAGCCATAAGCGGCGGCAATGCATCCTCCGGCGCACCAATCTGCACAAACGTCCCATCCCGCTTAAGCAGCCTCAAATACTGCGCGAAAGGCATATCATGCGCCGAAACCGTACACAATATAACATCAAGCGAGCGCGAGTATTTCTTCGCCCACCCCTTCTCTTCACCAGTCGCAATAAACCCATCAGCCCCAAGCCCACCAACAGCATCCGCCTTCTTTCCCGACGAACGAGAAATAGCAATAACGCGCTCAGCCCCAAGCGCCCTAGCAAACAAAATTCCTAAATGTCCCAACCCCCCACCCCAATAATCCCCACCGTCTTCCCCGGCCCAACGCCATACTTCCTCATCGGCGCAAATACAGTAACACCCGCACAAAGCAACGGCGCCGCCTCAGCCGAGGGCAGCGAATCCGGAATCCGGAATACGAAATGCGCAGGCCCGCGCCACGTCTCCGCAAACCCGCCATACGACTTGGATTTGTCGCTGTACCGTCCGTTGTACGTGCCAGTCATACGGGCGCAGTAGCTTTCTTCGCCGTCGGCGCAGGCTTCACAGTCTGCGCGTAGACAGGCGCCGCTCTGTGCCCCGACGCCGACGCGGTCGCCGAGGCGGATTGCGTTGAGGCTGTGCTGGGATTCGACGGCGCTGCCGATGCGTGTTACTGTGCCGATTATCTCGTGTCCGACTACACATGGATAGTCGGTGGGGCCCCAGCCTGAGCGTAGGGTGTGAATGTCGGTGCCGCACATGCCACAGTGGGAGATGGAGATTTCAACGTCGGTGGGTGTGAAGGGTTTGGGGGTGTAGGTTGTGTAAGTTAGGGGGCTTTTGGCGTCGTGGGCGACCCAGCCTTTGAATGTGTCTGGTTTTGTGGGAGAAGACATTTCTTTTTCGTAGTAACTGCGCTGTGGTTGCGCTAAAATGTGCCGCGGTAGATGTTGTGATGAGGAATGGAGTTGATTATTGAAAAGATTGTTCGTATTTTTTCGTGTGTGTAGGATTAGAGACCTCAGAATTAAAGGGCAAGCTGCTTATGGGGTTGAATGGTTTAAGGTAAATGCAGGGAAGAAAAAGACAAGCTTGGTATATGCGGAGAAGCCGAAGGCAAAGTTAACCGAGGTCCATTCGGACTCCGAAATCAAAGTCCATTATTAGGTTCATTTCATGTCGATCGTACGCGATTGTGTAAAAGTGACTCAATATTTACATGCACTCGCTCGAAGTATGTACAGTGCAGATTAGTGGGGGTATCAATCGATCTTTCACCGGGCCACGCCCATCAGCTCGTCGAGCTCATCAGTGGTGAGAGTACTGCGACGCCGATTGACTGGCCTGGACGCCTTCTCGGTTCGACTTCTCTTTCGTGATTCACGCTCCTTTTGCTCAGTTTGAGCGGCGCGGGCCTCGTCTTCGACAGCAGCAAGCTTTTGGTGCACGCTTAGTGATCCGTTGCTCTTAGACTGTAGGGCGAATTAGTCCTTGGGATCTCAGTAGGAACATCTTGCGAATCTCCGGTTAACTCTTCTGGGAAATGGTTCACATTGCATACCTGATGGGATTCCTTTATTTCGGTCTTTCGCCTGGTTGGCCTGCGGGTCACAGTCTCGGTTTTGTAGGCTTTAACTTTAAGAGTCTCGTCATCGGTATTGTCCACACATGGCGAACCTTGTAAACCTGGCGTAAATGATACCTTCCGGGGACGCTTTGTCATGGCGTTTTCACTGCGTTCTCTCAGAACGCGGTCGGGTCGCTCGGGTACTTTGCGAATCTTGGACCTCATCTTCGGCGGATTGAGCAGCCCGGGCTCTGGTGCTTTATCCTCTGGCTCACTCACATCTTCCTCCTCATACTGGTCCTCCAGGATTGTCGGGATGGGATTGGACTCTGGTAAGCTTTGCATGCTCATGTCCTGAGTTGAGTTGATGCTAAGATCGAGGTCCATGCCGCGCTTCAATTCGTCCGCTTGGATAGAATCTCCTCCATCTGCAAGACGACGTTGCCACCCGCCCATCATGGTGACTGCCTGCTCCCACCGGGATTCCATCTTTACCCAGCCTTCCCGCAACCTTTTGATCTCTTCATCTCTCACCTCAACCTCTTCAAGAGGGACGAATGAGGGGTTGGTGAGTAGTGTTCGTAGATGCTCTAGAACTGCTTCCATTTGAACGGATAGTTCTTCACAAGAGGTTGGAAGCGAAGTAACAGGCCCCGAAGAGGACTTCTGAGCCCCTATGCTTGTAGCCATACCCGACTGCTCGATTTCCCCATTCTCAGGCTGCGTTAAGCCTTGTAGATCCTTCAAAGTACGGACAGTGCTTCGCGCAAGCTCAATCAGGGTATCATTCTCATCACTGAGATGCTGACACAACTCGGTCAAGAATTCAGTCGTTTCTTGCTTCAGACTATATCCAGGGTCATGTACCCGTTCCCCGCCGCTAGCTTGAAGACGCGATCGATCCAACGCAGGGTTGATATTGATGGTAGTCACACTCAGCCCCTCGCGCTTGCCTCGTTGTCTCTCAGCCAGATGCGACTTGAGCTTCTGCATTTCCAAATCCCGCTTGCGAATATCGTTGGCGCATTGCGCCCGGACTTGTTGAACGGTGCTCTTCATACGCTGGATTTGTTCTTTGAAGCTTCGGATGCTCGCTTCGGCGCTAGACATGTTCGATTTGAACGTGCGTTCCTGCGCCTCTGCCAGAGCTAGCGAGCGGGTCAACTCGCTTGTCTTCGTTTTCAATTTTTCCTGCGCACGCAAGGGGTATTAGCGTGCTGTACGACATAAATAGAGTGAATACATACGATCTCCGTGGTCTGCTCCGCCTCACTGGCTTGCAGCGTGCGAATTGTCGTAGATAAGCTCTCGCGGTGTTCGGACTCGCGCTAAATTGTGTCAGTCGCTTGCGCCGTCTTGTGTCAGAGCAGCACACGCACGTCTCGTCTCAACACTAGATCGTTGACCAAGTTGATCACACGAGCCATGGTGCCATCTATCCCTCCATCTTCATTTTCTGGGTCGGCAAAATCGATAGCGCGACCACCTTTTAGCAGGCCCCTTGCCAGTAGGATGTTGTTGACATAGGTCGAAGCCGCCTGTAGATTATGCGACTCCATGGCAGCGAGCACTTCTGTCGATTGCAGATAACTCAAATGCCGAATGGGGAAGAAAGTAAACACGGGAAATACGGGGGGATGTTCATGCCAGATGTGCAGTCCAAGAGGCGGTGAAAACAGACGTGATTCTGCCGGTTTTATTGCGGAATTCTATCGCGATGCGTAAATTATCCAGAGATGTCCATCAAGAGCTACTGACATTGAAATTGACTATTGGTAAAATCTCGAATTATTCGATGAAGCAAATTCGTTATCTAGAAGTAATCTCAAGGTTGAATGTAACAAAGGTAGCGTCCATGGATAGTGCGTGGCATTCATATAACCGCGTGCGCGTAACCTATCACCCAACCATCGTCTTCTATTTGTCTCATGCGTGGCATTAAACCTCCCTTCGTAATCCACCACTTAATTATCACCAACCGCGTCTGCGTCTGCTTTTCATCATGGCTTCAAGGCCAGGTAGACACACAGTACGTGAGGTAACTTCCAAAAAGAAGGCTGAAATAGATGCAGCCGCTACTCTTCAACGAGTAGGCCAAAATGCCTACAAAGTTGGTGATCTCCAAGGCGCCCTTCAGTCCTTCACCCAGGTACGCCCCATCTTGTTTGTTCCATCGCAACTCATACTTATCATCTATCTATCTAGGCACTGGTGCTGAATGGTGAAGATGCTAGCATTTTGGATAATCGCGCCGCTACTCATTGCAGGCTGAAACTATACAGCCAGGCTCGTACTGATGCCAGAGCGATGGTCAAACTTGCACCCAATGATGACCGTGTAATTTTCCTCCTCAATACTCATTCTCAATTGCAAATTTGTTGCTGACACTAGACAAAGGGATACCTGCGCTTGGCCAAGGTCCTATGTCTGGATGGCAAATTTGACAAGGCTCAAGAAATCTACGAATATGCCCTCAAGAAACTCCCAGCCGATCACTCCGGCCGCAAGGTATGCGTTACTGTTTGTTCTATTCGCCCATATATACTTCATTCTGTTTATAGGCCTTTGGCTTCTTATTTTCACACTACTCTTTATATCTCAGATTTTGTTCTTCTTACCCCCTCTTTCTGACTATCTCCAGGTTGTCACACAGTTGCTCAAGAAACTGCAGGATAAGCTGGCAGGAGGAAACAGGCGTGATCCATTCAGTGCACTGCCACTAGAGGTCGCCGTACTCACGCTTCAGTGCTTCTCTTTCAAGCAGATCGTGTAAGTGTCTAATTCCCACTTCTGAGACTCATTAGCTCATTGCAGCATATAGGGCGATTCTACGCGTCTGCAAAGGATGGAGCCGGTTTATAAGTGGTCTGTCTAGCCTCTGGATGCATATTGATCTCCTAGACGCTAGATCTCGTGTACCTTGGACATCTGTCCGAAATTACATTCATCGATCGCGAGCGCAACTGACACATGCCACCATTGCAAATATTGTTCCCTCTGCCGCCCCAAAGGTGCTTGACATGCTAAGCAGATGCACCGAACTAGAGCACTTGAAGTTGATGGTCCCCCACGACCAGCCTAACGAATTCTATCTGAAAATCAAAAGAGAGTTTCGGCAACTGAAGAGTATCACCTGTGGACCAGATATAAGCCTTTCGGAGGGATGCGTTGGGGATATTTTATCCACTCTCTCGAACCTCGAGAAAGCTGCATTCTTCAATGTTTGCGATATTCCTACTGGAAGGCCTCGACCGAGGTCAACCTGGCCGCAACATCTTCCAAACATGAAGAGTCTGACCATTGCGTCTTCGCAAGAGAATGCCAACGTCTTGAGCTTCCCGTCCATAATTCCTGAGTTTACATCGGTAAGCTTTCTCTGGATTTGTTTTTCGGGACTTATGCTAACAAAACCCAGTCCGTATATCCCAATCTAGGGGAGTTTAGGCTGCTTTGGGACCACCCGCGACCCCGCTCGTACCGGTTTGATCCGGTGCAGGTGGATGAGCATCTTCCCCCCTCCGTATACTCGAACTTTGGGGCGCGGCTGTCCCGCCTACCTTTTATGCAATCCTTCCAACCAGCCTCGAGGTACTACGCTTGTTTTCAGGGTCCATCGATCCTCCTCGCTCTGGAAACTCCATGTTAATGGGAGGTGATGGACTCCCAAACCTTGAGACACTGGTATTCGATAACATCTCGTGGGTCAACCACTTCACTCTAATCTTGTTCCTCATTCATTCAAAGGCTCCACTCCGAAGCCTTCACGTAAACCTTTGCTACAACATCCGTGGTGAAGAATTCATTAGTCTCCTTGAGGACTCCGCTGGAGCGAATCCAGAATTGAGAGAATTGACTGAGGTGGGAGTCGTCGGCATGTCTGACCTGGAAGATGGCAATGTTGAAAAGCTCTGGGCACTATTGCCAAAACTCAGAACTTTCAACTTGTCGGAGACGAGAATCACCGGCTGTACCATTCGCATGTTTGCGGATGCCCGGAATGAAGAACCAGCCCGCACAAAGCTCGAGAGCTTGGTCATAAAAGGATGTGACGGTGTGTCTCGTGATGCTATTGACTATGGACGGCAAATGGGACTCAATATTGTTACCTAAGGGCTTGGTCGAATATTTGGAGATTTTCCTTTAGCGCTTTGATAATGAACAATCGCCTAGCACATCATCATTGTGCAATATAATGGAAGCTAATCAAACATAACTGGTGTATGCCATGAATATTAAATCGATCTCGAGACTGCCCTATTTATCCGTTGTTTCGGACATTTCGTAACGCCATGGTTTAATAGTCCGTCTTGGGAAAGAAAATACGAACTAGCACCCTGCATGGCCATCAGCTGAGACAAAAGATAAAGGTCAAACTTCTCCCGAGCTTGCTACCCAAGAATCACAGCCGGCAATCAAGATTTCATACTGAAAAAAATGGGAAATGAGCCTAAGCTCAGCGCGACTGTGAAACATCGGTTTGAATTGAAAAACCGTCATAATAACCTAGGATACCGACAGTTACACACGCGAGAATAGAAGATAACACGACCTTGCGCCTAAAGCAAGCCCACAATCTAAAGCAATACAATAATAAAGCCGGAGATCAGAAACAGACCAGCAGCCTAAACCCCCCGTTCCTGGCACCACCGCTCAACCTCCCTAGCCAACTTCTCCTTTTGATCACGAACAAGCTCCATCATAGGCTCAACCTGCTTCCTGTGCGAGGCAACAAGATCCTCCCTACCATTGACAACAGTCACACCATCTCTGGGCGCAAGATTGTCATCATAGATCTTGACCATGAGCTCCATCACAGCCGATAGCTGATTTGGAAGCCACTAGAACACCGAAACAATCAGTATATTAATCATATCATCAATATCGGAGCTCACTTACGGTGACAATGGGACTACCACCAGTAGCAGTAGGATGCGGCGTACGACGAATGATGTACTCACGCGCGAACAACCAGTGTCGCCAGCGGAAACTGCGGATGTGGTTCAATGTGCGCAGGAAAAGAACTGCAGTTTCGGAGTCTTGGATGGCGTAGCTCTGGACACCAATTTCCTCGGACTTTTCGCGGATGTAAGTCAGGAATTCACGGTGAGGAAGGGGGCGATAGGCGCGGAATTCGTGGAGGATTTTGGTTAGAGGCGTTTCGGGCATGGGAATCTCGCAGAGGTGGTCTAGGAGGGGGATCTAGAATACGGTTAGCTGAGTTCGTTCTTTTTGCGACTATGTATTGTTGGATTAGACTGCTTACAATGCTATCATTGGCGCCACTCTCACCGCGGAAGTAGAGTGGCTTGTTGTCCTCGCAGCCTTCGTAGATCACGCCGTTCGGGAACATGGATTGGTTGGTAATACCGAAGATGAAGACGCGGAAGGAAAGGTATTCCGATGGCTTGGAGTTGCCCCACATGTCTATCTTGATGTCAGTTTGAAAGATCGGGAGGATGGGATTATCTGGATGCTTAGGGCTGCATACCCTCCATGGATGCTTCGATTTTCTCCATCGACTTTAGGATCTCGCGGAATCCGTCGTTGATTTCCTGTCGCGAGCCATGCTGCTCAAGTGAATCAACAATTTTCAAGACACCAGCGATGAGCGGGCCGGTCTCCTTGACCATGTCGACATGGGTCAGAATGAAGCCTGCCTCGGAGCTCTTGGGATCGAGACCCTTCTCGAAGGAGCGAATCAGACGAAGGTTTGAGTACTCGCTCAGACCCTTGGCAGGGTCGGCGACGGTGTAATTGAATAGAGCATAGGAAGCAGCATATGACATGAAAGGTGGTAGGTTCAGACTGGCATGGCTGTTAGTGGTAGTGCTCTTACATGATGCAGATGTGTGTGGATGTGATCTATGAGATGGGGAACTAAACAAAGAAGGATAAGCGGAGGACTTACATTTCAGCACAGCGATACATAGGCCGAGCAACAGACTGAGGCAAGACATCACGACCAAGCCCATAGCCACCCTCCGGGTCATTGTTCCAGTGCTCCCAGCAAGGCTCGAGCAGATAAGACGAGGCCAGGAAGGTATAGTCCCGGAAGACGGCAGCAATAGTGAAGCGATCATACGAGCCATCGGCGAGAACCAGCTTCTCAACCTCTCCAGTCAAGTCAGTAAGCTCGGCCTTGACAGCAGGGCCAAGCTCATAGGTAGCCAACAGACCAGGCTTGCCATCGAGCCTGACGACAGGGAGACGATTAACCAGAGACAGGAGGGCACCAAAAGCCTCTGGCAGCTCAACAGGGGCAGTCTCATAGGGCAAGAAGCCTGTCTTGGTAGTGATCGTGAAGGGGTCTAGGGAGTGGGAGATGGATGAAGGGTCATCATGGATATGAGGGAACCGCTTCAGGGTAGTGGGGGATGGGTAAGGCACATTGGTTCGAGTCATAATGATGTGAGATAGGACAGGAGAGAAACCAAAAGTCTATGCTATATCGTTGTAGGGATAGAAAGGAGGGGAGGATATAGATCTCTAAGCCAAAGACCAAGTCAAGAGCCTAGGAAGTGGAAGAAATGGGTAAAAAAAGATGAGGAAGAAGCCAGAAGACCTTGAGGGATAAAAGAAGAACTGGAACTTTGAGATTTTGGGCGGGTGAGGAGCAGATTCTTATAATACTTTGAGGCCGGTAACAATTCCGGCCTCAAGACCTCATTACGAAAGAGAATAAGAGATAGCGTGGGCCCGATGACATCCGGTGCTGCACTATGGAAATTTGTTTTATATATCCTGAATGACCTCCAAGATACTTTATATGAGTGAATTCAGCCAGAATAAGATATTTTGACCATCACCTCAACGTCCATTTGAACTATACAATTGCCCAGTGAGAGAGGGCAGAGGACAGTCACGGGGTGGCGCTAGTCCCGATACAGCATAGAGCTTGAACGGCAATTTGACCGCTTGACCTGGGATTTGATGGAATTTCGTGGTGGCGTATGCCAAATTAGACGTCTCAAATGCTTATAACCAATATATTGACCATTCATTAATGAACTATTACGGATCAATGGTCAGTGAGGTCTACTCAAGTCATGATGTATACCTTATAGTCCATGCGCTGCCAAGCAAAGATCTCCAGATCCCATCTTCTGATTGGACGATAAGTCCAAGTTTAACTTCCCTAGCGTTCGGAGGCCGGAATGCTACCGGCCTCCGAGAGTAACCGGCCTCATGTGTGCCGGGTGGTTTTGATATACGGCAGGCCACTAAATTGGTATGACTTGAGTGAGACCTTGTGTAAATACATAAAGTTCCGAGATAAAGCGAAGATTGACCTACGGACGGTTTCATCTCTCTGAAATTTCCATCGTCTTGCTATTCCGCAAAGTTGAAGTCACACTTGGACATCTGCAGATATATATTTGGAAGCGAACAAAAGAACCTATGGTACATTTGCTTCCCCAAAGTACATGGTTTTTCCAGTAACCCCTCCATGTGTTATATATCAGGCAACTAAGTGCAAACGTTCTCCATGATGACAATCTCACAATTCATCGTTAACTTCCATATAGTTTTCATGCAAATGCACGCTCAGTCCTATTCACCACCAGAGTCCTAGCATTGTGATTCAAAGTCCCATGCAACTGCAGCAAAAAGTACTGCAAAACCGCATCACCCACAGCGGCTGGCAGAGATAGCTTGTCACCCCAGTAGTGCCTCACAAACTCCCCAACGCACCCGGTAGATGCGACCTCGGGACACCCATTTGCCTCTGCACAAGACAAGACCCGAATATCTTCCGGTCGGTTGAATTCATACCTAACATGGTTTCCAAATGCAGATTGCTCATGTGGCCATTCCCGACCCCACCTCGCGCAGTCTGAATAGCGCGTTTCGGTCGGACAAGTCTCCCACGCCTCAAAGAGCTCATGGGTACGAGAGCTCTTCTGAGCAATAATGAAACCGGTGTTGAGAAATGTGCGGCCGTTCCAATCATGGTTGTGAGGTGCTTCTGGATCGAGTGCCATGGCAACTAGAGTCTCTGGAGTAATCTCCCAGTAGTTGAACAACCATTCGAGGGGTAAATTGGGGTAGAGAATCATGGCATCTGCGTCTAAGAATACAACGTATTCGTAGTGTTTCAACGCCTCTTTAATCGCAGTGACTTTGGTCCATGTTCCAGTTCGTCCGACTGCCCTGGGAATTTGAACTAGTCGGTAGTCGTAGCCATGGATCATTGCTACACTCATCAGTCACAAAGTGAAAAAGATAGAAGCGTGGCCACATACCGAACATGAAGTGGTTCAGTCTACCACTGGTATCCGGAGGGAGTCCGGTCGTGTTCAATGGAGCCTTGCTCAAAAGTCCCTTAGGGCCATCAAGGTTGCGACTGTCGACGTCCAAAATGAGGACTTTCTTTCCTAATGATTTTGTGAATCTCAATGGTTCTGCTACCCAAAATTCTTTCCCTGTGTGGCCAATAAATATGGTTCTCGTAATGGGGTGTATGTAAGGATTGTATAGATCGTGGACCGTGGAAGAATGCAAGGAGCTTTCAACAGTCCATCGGAAGTATTTCCTATGTCAAGGTTAGTGTTCGTCAACGAGTGTTTGGTGTGACTGGACTCTTACTGAGACGGTTGATCAATGAATACACTGTTCAAGTAGGAGTAGACCAAGAAGAGTGCACACACCACCAGACTTGGAGTAAAGATGGCTGTGATTCGGCGAGGAAACATGAGTCCCGACCTTGGACGCATGGAGATGGTGGATGCATTTCAAATAGAGCTCTTGTCTGTAGAGTTGACATAGTATATGAACGAAGATTGAAATGACATAATGTTGAAGTAGTAGGGAATACCGAATTTCCTCCCTCCTTCTATTTTGGTACTCACCTCATGCCGCTTTTGACTTAGAAGTAAGTATGCATTTATCTAATTTTTGCTTCCCGCTTTGGTTTCAAGACTTGGGTAGTGTGCATTGACTTAAAGACCATTCTTATAGACCTGCGGAGTTTCGACGATATCTCGGCTGGATTCGTCTTTTTTGATAGAACCTGCCGTCCGTTGGATTGGTAATTCAATTGTGAACGGTGGAAGTTGATTATTAGAATACGCCACAGCACCTCATTCTGCAGTAGATTGTCTAATTAGAAATCCCCATACATACCCCCCTTCTTCCCCTTTCCTTCCATGTGGCTGATATAAACAACATGAGAAGTTCGGTTGGCGTAGTGCCATAGATCAAATTACCACGCCAAGTTAAGGGTTCATATCAAACTCTGGATTGACCCACGACGGCTGCGGTGCTTTCGCGCGCATCCAAGCCCCGAACTTATGTAAAACCCCAAATACAATACACCCGGCAGCAAGTGTAATAAGTCCTTGGACAGTAAACGTCCAGGTCCAACCAGAAGATACTTGCCATGACGCAATAAAGAACTGTTGACCAAGCAGGAATCAGTAAAGTCACACATTGGGCAAGTCATATATTGGTAAACACACCGGATTAATGAAAGCGCTCAGATTCAGAAACACGGCGTAGAAAGTAATCACACTTGTTGTTTGCAAAGGGTAGCAGTCCACGATGTAGCTGCTAGTCACTGTATTACCGATCTGGATACCTGCCGCAACTGGAGAGCCGTCAGTTCTGCGTCGGATGTTATATATATGGATGAAAAACACTCACATAAAAAAAATGCTACCTGGCCTACAATCCAGTGATAGTTTTTGTCGATGCTAACTCCCCAGACAATCAACCCAACTATATCATGCCATCGATCAGTCACACTCAACTTATGGGATGTGAAAGGCAAAGCATACCAGTAGTGATCAATATAGCTGGGTACGCCAACCACAGCCGCATCTCCGGAACGCGGATATTGCCATTCTTCCGGGACAATCTTTCGACAATAAAATCACTCAGTCGCCCTGAACAACCCATCTCTGAGATTACAGTGCCAAGGAACAGCCCGAGGAACAACAATCCCTGAATGAGAGGCGTGTAGCTTGCATAAGCTGCAGGCACCATCGTGATAACAGATAGCACCCACCAATACCAGACAAAGCAGTATCCAATAACTGCAATGACAACTGCGGGTAGCTGAAATGTTAACGCAAATCGGGTGATAGAGTCCCACGGCTTGGGATGCCGCATGCCGGGGACAGGGCGCCAGTTAAAGAAAGGGAGGTTCTTAGTACGGCGTAACTCTGATGGCAATGTATCTTCTAGAGACGTTGGTGTAGTGTCACCCCCTGATATCTGTTTCTCGACATCACCAGACATAGATCTGTGATCACCAAGACAGGGCATTTGCTGAAGCATCTTATTGCGGGGATAAAGGGTTTCTGGCATGAAGAAAAGCTCGAGGAGTAGTAGTGCGCCGAAGAGGATTGCATTGAACCAGTTAATCCATGCGGCACTGACAAGGTCCAAGAACCCGCCAACTTGAGTATCTCTCAGTATGTGGCTTAGAGGTGTGGAAATATGCCCAGATAAACTTACACGTTGGACCAAGAAATAACCCTGCATCAATCGCTAGAACCCACAGCCCAAGCTTCTGGCCACGCTCATAATCAAAGAATAAATCGTTCACTTTATCAGGTTTTCGTCAGATAAGCTTATTGTTTGTGGATGAATAGCTTAGACCTACCGACTGCCATCCCGACTGTAGATGCTGGGCTCACACCGAATCCTTGGAAGAAGCGAGCAGCCATGTACCCCGAATATGTATCAGCGACAGCAGCGCAGATAGTGGACACTAGGGATATGACTGTTCCGACTAAGAAGACTGTTCTTCGACCATAGATGTCACCAAATGATGACCATATCAAGGGTCCGACAGACAACCCGAGTGCAGGCACGGCGACTGTCCAGTTGACTTGTGAGTAGTTGATCTGGTACTGGTCCTGGATTTCGGTAAATGAGGGAACAGTGGTGGTCGTGAGGTAGGTGAATAGGAAGTATCTGTTAGCGAGCAGCAACATGTCAGCAAGGCGACAAGGCATCTGAATTGGTGTTCATGTTGCAGATTGTGAAGCCGGAAAGACGGGCTGGGTTGACTTGGTACCTACTTGAACATAACAATGGATAGTATGACATGTTTCTGAAATATTGACCAATTCAATGGATCTAATGAGTCTGCCGTTGGTTGTGGGTGAAGTCTTATCCCGTTTTTGTTGACTGCTGCACCGTAGAGGACTTGAGTGCCTTGGTCGACAGGAGTATGGGCTTGGTCACAGTCATCTTTTTTGATGTCTTTTTCTGCCATCTCCCGTTTTTCATCAAGTTTTCCTGATGAAGTTGTCATTTTATAGAGATTTCAGTTGACAACGGTCAATGATGGTGCCCGACTATACTGATTGTAATAGAAGCCTTGTTCAGTGCACTGACATCGGGATCGAAAGTTATATAAGAAACATAGTTCCGAAGTGGCAATTAAGTAGTAGCATGGATGTGTTGAAACTGTGCGATCGCAGTCTATTGGTCTTGCTGCCGTGTCGAACGTCCTGGTTCACGACCATAGCTGATAAGGATTGCATTAGGTTTGTCGGTATTTTGATGCGTTTCAGATCATTCCATCAAGCCTCCAAGTATCATGTCCTCATGTAGTCCAATAGTACATTCATCTGATTATCAAGGCTTCCGTATAGATGTTGATTATTTAACAAGTTATGCTGTCTTCACTTCGAGGTATAAAATAGTACAATATCTTGTGGATCCTTGACTTTCTTGATCTTCTACGCAAATAGACAAATAGACCCTTGAGAATGTCCTTCCACAGGTGCCGGGACCATCATTGCAAAGCCCCCGCTATCGATGTGACAGGGGTATAAGTAGACAGACGTGAGCGGGACATCCGAATGCACCAATCAACTGGTGGGATGGCATGATAATATCAAAGATAAGGGAGTCGATATGACATTGGTCACATAATAAAAATCAAAAGGAAATCAACGGGTTAGTTTATTCTCTTTATTCCCCGATGCTTGGATTCCTAGAATACAATTTCCGGGGCACTCCACACTCTATGCCAAAATAGGCCCCAAGTAATCAGTTACAACACCATAGCCACTAAGATAGCTAACATGAAGAGACTTCGTGCTAATCACGCATGTGTAGTTTAATTACTTCTTTGTATATTACTATTAGAAATGCACCAAGTATACCAAATGCACTAAATGCACCCGGTATTGCACAATTTCGGCCTATCCGATCAGCATTGGAGACGATAACACGACCAACAGTCATAAGAATGACCCTATCATGGTGCTATCAAAACTACGTTCAACCGTCTTCTTAGGAACGGAAAAGTATGCCTCTCTAGTCAACTTCCATTTAAGGTTAGGACAGGACGCTAGGGCTGATCTCCCCGCCATCACAGATAAGAGCCATATATCTTGACATCATACTGAATAGCAAGACTAGACCGACCTGTTCAGACTGGTATGCGCCAAATCGAAGCCACCGCAACGTGGCTCCGGCTATGCTCAGTTGGTATACACCGTACCAAGTCGCCACTGCATTTAGACATCCGAGATCGGACTTTTACTTGTGATACACTGCCAAAAGGCATAGCAGTGGAGCAAAAATACACAGTTCGAAGATCTGATGACTTTGATTGTCTCAATGGAATTCAACATACATTTGTTATCAAATACGTAGTTAGTGGACTTGCTGTATCACTGAGTACTAGGAATTCATGGTAATACTATACACCCTAGTAGGATCCACGTCGGCCATAGTACACTTGAAATCTTTCAAAAATTTCTAAATCAAAGGCAATCTTCGTATGTGAAGAGTTTTCGCTTCTTCCAACTCCCCTGCTTGAGTGGACATCGAATTACGCCCCTACCATCACATCGCGTTGCACAGCTCAGCTCGACAACTCGAAACACTGAGGCCAGAGATACTTATATCTCGTCTTGAATTAATCACCATGCAAAAAGTCACTAGCAATGGGAGCTCGACTCAACACCCAACCGAGTATACCTCTCTTCTCTCCAAACCCTTCAACAATGAGCCATGCAGCGACCCCAAAAGAAGTGAAGAACCATTCTCACGAGCTCTCATCCTCACCGAATTTTGGCTCTTGCTGAAACACTCGATCCCCGTGATTCTAGCCTACACCCTGCAAAACAGCCTGCAGACCGTATCCGTGCTCATAATCGGCCGCTCGTCACCAGAGAACCTCGCAGCGAGTGCATTCTCGCAGATGTTTGCCATGGTGACGGCGTGGATGATTGGGCTAGGGGGTACAACGGCTATGGATACGCTTGCCTCCTCTTCGTTCACGGGCAGCTCCAACAAACATGACCTGGGAATTTTACTGCAGCGAGGGTTCATTGTTCTGGGTCTTTTCTATATACCCGTTGCTTTTCTGTGGGCGTGTTCAGAGCCGATTTTCTTGTTCCTTGGTCAAGACCCGCAACTTTCAAGCGATAGTGCGAGGTTCTTAACTTGTTTGATTCCCGGAGGATTGGGATATATCTATTTTGAGGTGATGAAGAAGTACTTGCAGGCTCAAGGTATGTTCCTATACGAGTTGTATCCAGATACATAGAGACTTACCGCAGTAAAGGCATCATGCGAGCCGGAACATACGTGCTGTTGATTACATCGCCCTTGAGCGCCGCTCTCAACTACATTTTCTGCTACAAGTTCGAGATCGGCCTCCTAGGCGCCCCCCTAGCTACGGGTCTCTGCTACTGGCTCTCTTTTGCCCTTCTTGTCCTCTATGCACGTTTCATCAGCGGCTCAGAGTGCTGGGGCGGATGGTCCCGCGAGGCGTTCCAAAACCTGCGCACATTCGCCCGGCTCGCTCTTATGGGTATTATCCACGTCGGCACAGAATGGTGGGCTTTTGAGATCGTCGCTTTAGCAGCTGGTCGCCTGGGTACTATCTCACTGGCTGCTCAAAGTGTTATCATGACCGCCGACCAAGTTCTCAACACGATTCCTTTCGGTATTGGGGTCGCGACATCCGGCCGCGTCGGCAATCTTCTTGGGAAGAGGGATGATACTGGCGCTGCACGGGCGGCACATACCTCTGCCCTGCTCAGCGTGGCTTTCGGTGGTATTGTGCTGGTTGTTCTGATGGGGACACGAGAGCATTTTGCAAAGATATTCAATGACGATGCTAGCGTTGTGGATCTTACGGCCGAAGTGTTGCCTTATGTGGCGCTTTTTCAAATTGCCGATGGTCTTAATGGGAGCTGTGGGGGAGTTTACGAGGAATGGGACGACAGCATGTGGGTGCTATGGTCAATATGGTTAGTTATTACTGTGGTGCGCTGCCTTTGGGTATTTGGCTTGCATTCCATGGCTGGGGACTCAAGGGTCTATGGGTTGGACAGTGTATTGCGTTGTATTTGGTTGGAGCGCTGGAGTGGGTCATTGTTGCGCGCAGTCAGTGGGAGAATGAGGTGCACAAAGCCTTCCAGCGCATGGATGTACATGGTATTTTGGAGGATGGGGTGGAGGAAGAGTAGATTTGTTTCCTATATTTTGACTTTGGACATGAGAGAACTGATACTGAATAATCAATGCTATCACTTATATGATATTTTAAGAGAATATCTGCACCTCAGTTCATTGTTGTCAGTATCGATTTTCAAGCTCTGTCATATCCTACGCTCTCTCGCTCTCTCTCATGACAACTAAAGACCTACCCACCTGGCCAACGTATCTAAGACACATCCTTAGCCGATACACCGTTACCAAAACAATTCAATACATGGATACAAATGACAGAAGAGAGAATACTATACCTTCATATTGTTCTCCGTTGTCGGACACAAAACGACTGGTACATTTTATAGATCGACAACCACCAATGACGAGCGACCGATAAGATGCAGCATACATTAGGTAACCTTTAGCCCTAAACCGATCTCCTATCTTCTCCAACTATGAGATTTGTTTCACATCTTTCTCCCCCGGCCATCCATTCTGGGATCCTGGCAATAGCTCTGCCTTGCATGATAGATGTATGCCGTGGCCAAGCCTTGACCACCCATTCCCCACTGGAGTCATCCTGCCATCACTTCCTTAAAGGGAAGTTACTGGGAGCGAAACGGGAAAACACTGCATAGCATCGAAAAAAATAGTGCCTTTCTTCTTGTTTTCTCGAAATAAGATTGATTCGGCTGTTTAGCTGGTGGGCGCAGATAGAAGGAATTGGTAGGCTGTCAATCATGTCCATATCGGGGCAATTTTGGGAGTGGATACACTCGCAGGAGAAGCTAATTGGTTATACTACATGACATCAAAATATTGTAGATGTTGAGAATAGCTTGGAGTGAATGCCATACTTATATCCTGGAGGATGCCTCATGTAACTGCTTTGATTTAACAAGTAACATTGACTCTAAAGGTTTCTAATTCTATTCGATACAATCCTCTCTGTTCAGTATCGCAATGATTCCCTCCGTTGCGGGCTTGCTGGCACTTTCTGCTCTGGTTACGGCCCATGGAGATCATGGTCAGTCTCAACTAGCTGGTTCTCAGCTCGCTGGTCCGCATCAAGGACTTTGGTACAACACACTCCCAGGAGATGGTGGCACACAGGTGAGTGCCCCGTTATATCAAGTAAACTCAACTCAAGAAGACTCATCTCACGAAACACAAAGGCCGACTCCGTTTTCTCCGGAATATCGACTTTCGGCCGCTTACCGTACTACCCATGCCTGGCCAGTGATTCTGAGAAATACGATATCGCGTTCCTAGGTTAGTACAAAGTCTCATCAAAATAATGATATGTGATCTTACTAACAATCGTCCAATTAAACAGGTGCCCCCTTCGACACCGGGACTTCTTACAGACCTGGCGCACGATTCGGGCCCAGTGGTATCAGACAAGGTTCTCGCCGCCTCAATCTCTAGTACGTATCAACCCTACCGAGCAGATATTTTTACAAACATGGCACGAATACAAGACTCACGCAATCACGATTTAGTGGAGGTTACAATGTTCCCTTGGAAGCGAACCCGTTTACAAGCGAGCTACGCATCTTAGACTGTGGCGATGTACCTGTTACCTCGTATGTTTGCACTGGAAGATCACCGCCGGTGTAAATAGAGCTCGTAAACGCTGACCACGCCACAGATACGACAACACCTATGCAATCCAACAAATCGAAGAAGGACACAATAGTGTGCTGATGCGCAAGCCGTATACAGACGCGGATAGACCGGGCCTTTCGCGCGCTGGAAAGACCCTTCCTCGTGTTATTACCCTTGGTGGTGACCATACCATCACACTGCCTTTGCTGCGGAGTATCAATAAGGCTTATGGGCCTGTGACGGTTATTCATTTTGACAGTCATTTGTGAGAATGATCTTTGACTTTAACGCTAGTATGTGCATAGCTGATTTGATTAGGGACTCGTGGAAGCCAAAAGTGTTTGGTGGCTCCCCTAGTCAGGTTGCTGCTATTAATCACGGCACATACTTTTACCATGCGGCTATGGAAGGGCTGTTGAAGAATGATACGAACATCCATGCTGGTATTCGGACAACGTTGTCCGGTCCTTCAGATTATGAGAATGATGGGTATTGTGGTTTTGAGATTGTTGAGGCGAGGGAGATTGATGTTATTGGTAGGGTATATTGCTTCTTGGCTTATTTCCGTGCTGACAATTGGAATCTCTAGGAACGGATGGTATTATCAAGAAGATTCGCGACCGTGTTGGGACCGATAATCCGGTTTATCTTTCTATCGATATTGACACTTTGGATCCTGCTTGTGAGTCCTAAGTTGGAATGCCATGTCTGCCCTGTTGCTAAGCATATACCACAGTTGCACCGGCTACTGGTACACCAGAGACTGGCGGTTGGTCTACGCGTGAGCTGCGAACGATCATTCGTGGTCTTGATGGGCTGAACTTCATTGGTGCGGATATCGTCGAGGTCGCACCGGCCTATGATACTAACGCAGAGTTGTCGACGATGTGAGATTTTTCCAGTCCATGACATACTAGACAAAGACTGACTATTTTATAGGGCTGCTGCTGATGTACTATATGAAGTCCTCACTATCATGGTCAAGAAAGGCCCTTTATCTGTTGGTGAGTCGTCTCATGAGCTGTAGGTTTGATGAAGTAGGGTGGATATTGTGGTGTTTGAGAGCGCTCGAACTTTGAATTTGATATAGAGAGAATTGAATTTGATATAGAGAGAAGGAATTGGTATAAATTCAATGAAGTATCAACTACTTGGTATAAACTTGAGTAAAATATCGGTTATGCTTATGCGTATCATGGTATAGATTTTGAAATAGTTATCAAATGAGACAGCTTGAACACGCTCATAACGAACTACGTCTCCCACATTCAACATGAATCTTCAACAAAAGCTTATGCCATTCCAATCAACATATTAAGGTCCTCGGTTTGTTGCTGTACCAGCTCCATATTGTCTGATTTCTCACGCAATGTATTCCTGAGTGCAGCGGCTGTTGCATTGGTATTTCCAGACACTGCCTCCCCGGACTTCAGTTTCTTCTCTGCAGAATGAATACTTTCCTTCGCACTTCGTATCTGTGACCAGTACACTGTCGTCTTGTTGAAATACCCAGTCTCCTCAAGGGGCAAGTTCCATTCATGAGGTGTCGTCTCGACAATATTCAACCATTTAGCCATATGCGGCCATCGGCGCTCCTCTAGACCGGGGAAGTGGACCAGCAGATCCCCCCTTTTGCCTTCATAGGCCCAGTCCCATTCATAGGTGTTGATCCATGGCCGTGGTAGGTAGGAGACTCCATCTGCATATCCCTGTCCGCTTGGACCTCCCGATGTCGTGTTGAGTACACGTCTCATGCTTTCCTGGTCGGCAGATCGACCGAGGTCAATCTTAGGAAGATAAAGAGGGTATCCCAGTGTTTCGGTAAGGAAGCTTATCGTCCAAGGATGGACATGGAGGAACATGATTCCCGTGTTGAGGCCGTTTTGGTCCTGGGTTGCTACCAGGTGAATGTCTTTCAGGTCTGATGGCGGAAGGAAGATTTCAACGGGAATGTCATTATTTAGTATGATCGAATCGGCATCTACCCACCTGCAAGAGTTAGTCTTTTTCGGTAATATATCAGGAGAGTCAGAACATACATCAACCACTCCACTCTCTCGCCGGCTGGCTTGGCCATTTCATTGATGATCAACGATAGCAGATAGCTCGGCTTATTCCAGAATCCGATCGAAATATCCTGTCGCAGAATATGCATGGGGTATCCCCATCTCTTCCCATGGCGTTCGTGGCTTTGCAGCGCTCTTTCGTACATATGGTTCGTCTCTCCGTAGAGCATGGACACCTTGGCGACTCTCTGCAACTTGTTGCTGGAGACATACTCTGATTCCTGGACATAGAAAGTTTGGTAGGATTTGCCCGCGACCCAAAAGGCAAACATCACCGATAGAATTATCAGTACGATATAGAAGGGCCGTTGTTTGAATGACATTGGGTGTGAACTCATGGCCGACATCACCGCGAAGGTCCCAGGTTTCTCATGGTAGATGGAGGATGAAAGAAATTGTTATTTCTCTTGCAATTTGAGACTATTGCTAGATTTAGAATTGAAATGTTTGGTTGGAGGCTCTTGAGTTGTATGAATTCATACTTCCGGATTGGGAATGCTGTTTCCGGCACTCATCCACATCCAATCCCTACCGACGAACAATGTCCAAATAACTTGGCTTATAAATAGAAATTAGTTTAATTATTATACCGAGGAAGAACGACCTCGTTTTTTCTAAATAAAACCCATGAAGATGAGCTGTGTTGCGTGCGCGTATGGCCCACTACCCGCATGGCGTGTATGAAATCGCAACGGTGATGTGCAGAAACAAATTCAGTCCAATGGGCTTTTGGTGTAGACTTGTTATATGAGATCATGCCGCCGTATTTTCAAAAGAAACATATTCCTGCGGCTGACGGCGGCACCTGATAGGATATGTAAGAGCTTCAACGGTCCAGACTGCGTGGCCCCATAATATTTTGTAGACCAAAAGATCACGAAAGAAGGTCCAATCATTGCTGCTGTAATGATGTATATCTCACCAGGTCTCGGGCTCTGTTTGACAACATAGAAGAACCCAAGTCACTTGGAAACTACATTGACTACAAGAGATCGGCAAGACAGCACCCAAACTGGTAGAGTGACGATTTCCTTTTATATGATACAAACGAGGTTCATTATAAACCACAGGCTTCAAATATTTGTACAGCATGGCATATTCAGACAATTTAAACTCCGTGTTCCCATGCATCAGCGACCTGGCCGCCATTGAGTTCATTGGTGTAGCCGGAGCGCATCCAGGCCGGATCGTAAGCTGGACCGCGCATAAGCATACAGCATGTTATCCACAATTAAAAAATGCATCATGACCCTTGACTCGTGTTCTGACTGGTTGTATTTGAGTCACTGGTGGTGCTGTGTACTGTCTGGAGCTTGAGGTACTCCTGCTCGAGCGCCTTCTGCATTTCGAAATCGGCCTGACGCTCTAGTCTGATACGCTGCTTTTCCATGTCGCGTTCAACTCCTCTGTGCATAGCCTAAGGTTCAACAGAGTAAGTATATACTAGAGATAGGGAACCGAAGCTATAACATACCGCTCTATCCGCCTCTTGTGCCCAGTGGACAAACCAGACGATACCCATTGTGCCGAGGCCAGTGGCTGCCAATGTAAACTTTGATGCGCGAGACATGACAGGCTAAGTGAGAGCGCGGCTCGACAGGGGCTCAGCAGAAAATGGTCACAAACAATACTTTGCTTTGTTAGCTGTTCGTTAATCTGTGTCCGGGATTATCAGTTTATCGGTCACCGGGCGGCATTTGATGGCAGAACCCCCACCGCTCTGGGGGGGGCGATGCGTGGCTCCGAGCGACCTGAGCTCGGAGCTCTAAACTCGCCGTTGAATCGTCCCTGTCCAGCCTTATTTTCCTTCTACCCTATCTCAAAAGCTGAGAGGCTTCTAGTAAACATGGTGAGAAATCTATCTCGACATTGGTGGCAAGCTGCTAACGGTGAACAACAGTCGGCTCAGAACTCCGCGGGCATTCAGACCCTCCTCGATGTAGGTCTCGATTGTATTTTGAGCGCAACATGGAGATACTAACCGCAGAATTTTCAGGCTGAGAGAGAGGCCCAGAAGATTGTGCAGAAAGGTAAGTTGAGCTTGTGCCTCCCCCCTCATCGCTGCCTATCACAGACACTAATACGTCACATTATATGTTTAGCCAGAGAATGTACGCTACACAGACTTGCCTATCATCATTTGCCCCATCGAACTAATTGTATCGCAACAATACAGACCGTACCCAGCGGATAAGAGACGCCAAGTCAGAGGCCCAGAAGGAGATTGAGGAATACAAGAACCAGAAGGAAGAAGAGTACAAGAAATTCGAGGGCGAGGTGAGATACAGCTCCCGAATGACCGTCATGATGAGATGTATCCACAGTTCTAAATTAACTGGTTTCGCTAGCACTCAAGCGGATACAAGGTTGCCCAGGAGGAGGCCGACAAGGAAGCCGAGGTCAAGCTCCAAGAGATCAAAGACGCTGGCAAGAAGCAGGGCGACAAGGTGGTTGCAGATCTCATTCGCGTGACGACTGACGTCAAGCCCGAGGCGTCGGAGAAGATCAAGGCATAATGTAGATATTCTGGGTTATCTTTTCTTTCCTAGCGTGAATGCGCTTGCGTGTCTGTTCATCGATATCCAATTGTCGGACAATATCAGTTTCTTTTTGGTTTAACCACCTTGTGTATATGACGTGGATGAAGCCTGGATCACTCGTTTTGAAATCGTGGTGTTCCTGGAGGGTTGGCTTGAATCTAGGCTTTTCGGTTCACTGCAAGTCTCAGCATTGATCACCTCACCACAGTTTTTCGTCCTTACTGACTCGGCTTACTCTCAGTCTATTATAGAGAGCTATGCTTCGCGAACTTCGAATATATCACCAGTCCATTAAGCCCAAACGGGTGCGGATATGGGATACCAAAGACTGTTTCCAGCAATCCCGCTAGCCTCTATAGAGCTGTGGATCGCGTAGTATTCTACAAGAGGATTGAAAGGCAGATTTGACATGAATATGTCTGGCCCTAGATTGTCTGATGAATGGCCTCTAGTGTTCGAATCTCGTCTACCAGTAGATCTCGAAATGATTGATCGTTGTCCTAAATTATTCTCGTCCCAAAAAAAGGCTCATCATAATATACCACTGCCAGGGCAGCTAGCTGAGTAGACATTTAGTTTCTCTTACACAGGCTACGCTCTTGGTGGAAGAAGGCATGGAGTAATTGGCCGCCGTATAGTCTATTTTGGCCTGAGGCATCAACGATAGTTTCCCATTGCGTCATTCCGCGCCGGATCTCATTCGACAACCTATCTGCAGACAAGGCAGAACAATGAAATATGCAATTCGTACACCGAATGCACTTAAACGGTCTTCAACCGCATTCTACTCGTACGGTCAAAATGTATGCCGTTCTAACAACAGATGGTATCATGGGTCTTCATGTAGACTCAGAGCCAGTCTCGAGCCGCGATTAGAGGACCATGGCAAAGTAATTGTCGATGAGTACTCAATCATTCGTGATAAATACGGTTCGTTTCTGACTTGAACAATTGTGTGGACAGTTGTTGACTCGTGATTAGCTGCACCAAAACACCCTGTCGTTCTCGCCCATGGCTTGCTCGGGTTTGATGAACTACGCCTTGCTGGCCCATATCTTCCAGGTGTCCAGTACTGGCGTGGAATTAAAGAGGCACTGACGGCGCGGGGAATTGAAGTTATCACGGCGACAGTACCCCCATCAAGCTCTATCGAAGAGCGGGCTGAACAATTGGCCCGAAACATTGAGACAGGGGCTCGGGGGAAAGATGTTAATATCATTGCGTATGTTGACTTCATTTTCCGGTTTCATGTAATGACATATTCTGACTAATTTCTGTATAGGCATAGCATGGTGAGAACCCTCAATCATTGCGATAAAGTTCATGCTCATTCGTGATTAGGGGTGAGATATAGCAAGAGGACCACACTACACAGCACAAGCTAATGGCTTGCAAAGTGGTCTTGATTCGCGATATATGATTACTCACATACGACCGGAGAAGTTCAAAGTCTTGTCGTTAACAACCATCGCCTCTCCGCATCGAGGTCTGGCATATAATAGCTTCTTATTCGCTTCCATGTTGACTGTCTAGTAGGCTCATCTGTGGCGGACTATGTACTTGATCAAATTGGAGGTTTGTGACTACTTATTCGCTTACGGCTATAATTTGAGAGATAACATTCGTTTGTACAGCCGATCGCCTACCTCAGATCTATTATGCCCTGAATCGACTAAATGTCGAGACAGGTGCATTCGCTCAACTAACACGAAAATACATGACCGAGACCTTCAACCCTAATACCCCAGATATGGATGATGTCAGGTAAGTGCCTCATATTCTCTCCACTTTATGCCCTGCCAACATTCCCCAGATATTTCTCCTATGGAGCAGCAGTGGATCCAAGTATATGGTCTGCCTTTCGGCTCTCACACCGAGTACTTGCGGAGACCGAAGGACCCAATGACGGCCTAGTCAGCGTGGCTAGTAGCCGCTGGGGAGGCGATGCAGGGTACAAAGGAACCCTTATGGGTGTGAGCCATCTGGACTTGATCAACTGGACCAATCGGCTCAAGTGGATAGTCGGAGAAGTGACAGGCAACAAACGAAAGTTAGTTGACTGCAGGGTTTAGTTTGGGAGTGAGGCTGATCTTCTTGCAGATTTAATGCCATTGCATTTTACTTGGACATTGCAGGTATGTGTTACAGCCTGATTGGGTCACTTGAGATTAACAAGCCTGCTCACTAGACATGCTGGCAAAGGAGGGACTTTGAGAAATTAAACCCAGATATATTTGGATCTCTCTCGGCCTTGTGGATTGCTGTGGGTCGGATTCGATGTGGAAATTCTGGTGCCTGGAGTGGAAGTTCCGGGCATTTCCTTCCTCTTGCTTATATATGGACATATTTTTGTATAGTGAAATCAGTACATTGAATTGATTCAAATAGATGCAACTTTGAAATAATTTATCTACTATTCTAAGCCATGGAAGAGGGTATAGAGAACTCCGTACAACCACCGACGTTATACATTCTGGATACTAGCAGAATGGGCCATTGTCTCACAAAAATGTGGCTGTGATCTAAGTGAGGCGCAGCATATATGCCTAATCCGACCTTCTAGCCTTAATCCTGCAAAAGTCCCCGATGCTGGGCGAGACTGTGGCAGTTGTATGTTGCTTGGCAATCAGTTGATCTGCGAACCCTCAAAACGTCATTCCGGGATCGTTCGCATATAATCCGCATTTCCCTCCATCTCACGGCCCCCACGACATCTCTTCGCGCCGAGCCACACATTATTTGTATCTTCCAAGAGAGCCTCATCCTTGTCGCATCAATTTCCCGCGACCGTATTTTTCCATTTGACCCTTCGAACGCCGCAACCAACCGACGAGATAGCCCCGCTAGGGCCCGGGCGCCCGCCGCCATGTCCGCAAATATCGTCTTGGACAGCCGCCACACCCATTATACAAATTTGGACTTCCTCAAGGGCAAGGTTGTGCTACAGCTACCGACTGAAGCAGCTATTGGGGGTATCCAGGTTAAACTAGAGTGTGAGAGCCGTACTCGTCTGTCCGGTCCTAAGCACCCCCAAAATGTGCACTCGGATAAAAAGCGAACGGAGCTTGAGGTCCACAAGGTGAGAGGATGTGGTTCAACTATCGGTGACATACAATATTGGCTGTAGCATTGTTTAACCAACGAATGCAGATCTTGTACAAGGTTGCTACCGTCTTCCCAACACCGGGTGTGATGCAGAATGGATCCCCGGCGCCTTCATATACATTTGCCGCAGGGTCATACGAGTACCCTTTTGAATTCAAGGTAAAAAGTCTTGTCTCAATCATTCTTAACACTTTTAACATTCTGCCAGTTTCCATTCAATAATTCATGCAGCACTACCAACAGCATGCTCACCAACCTGAACTTTTCCGGGTTGAAAGTCGAGGTAGCTAGAGACACGAATCGACACGTCAGGAAAACTCTCCCACCATCATTGAGCGGATTTCCTGGTGTAGCAGATATCAAATACTTCGTCAAGGCCACAGTCATCCGGCCACAATTCTACAAAGAAAACATCAGGTCGGTAAGTGATATGCTTAGATCAGATGACATTGTCGCAATCGCTCATTGATTTCTCAGATCGTGCCTCTAAACTTCCTTCCAATTGAGCCACCAAGAGTCGGGAATCCCAATGAGGAAACCTATGCCCGGCGGCAACACCAATTTTCCAAAATCCACGTTCCGCCGAAGAAGAAGGGTTTTTTCTCACGGGGACATTCTGCTCACCAAGAGACATACCCAGAGCCTCCTCGGGTCTCTGTGGATGCTCGACTTCCAAACCCCTCTATTCTCACTTGCAACGAACCTGTCCCCCTTCGTATCCTTGTTAAAAAGCTGACCGAGGGACCGGATGTAATATTCCTTCAGATGTTACAGGTGGAACTAATCTCGTACACGAAAATTCTGGCTCATGACCTCAGCCGCACTGAAAGCGGCTCATGGGTTATCATGAGCCTCAGCAATATGAATATACCGTTAGGCAAGCCAGATGACCCCGTAGGCACTGAGTGGACTATTGATCCAAAACTGTGGAATCAGTATCCTTTGCCTAACTCGGTGGCACCGTCTTTTGAGACATGTAACATTGAAAGATCTTACGAGCTGGAAGTTCGAGTCGGCTTGACTTATGGAAATGCCCGGGAAATGCAGGTATGTTGAATCGCCAGCCCCTAGAGTTGTCTCTTGGCTGACCATAGCATAGCCTCAACTTATCATTCTACCCCTGCGAATGCCAGTCAGAGTATTCTCAGGAATCGCCCCACCACAGGCCCTACTGGATGCAATGGCTGCTGCATCGCTTCAGCCATCAGCCTCCAAAATGAAACCCCAGCCAAGCTTGCCGGCAGAGATGGGAACCAGCCGACCACCAATGCCACCACGGCCAAGCGGCGAGCCAGTACCGGTAAATTCCGGCGATGTATATGATGACGCACCACCCAGTTACGAGGATGCCATGGGAGACCACCTGAGTCCAGTGGATGGACCACGCCGCGAGTATCACCCACCAGACGCCTCATCACAAAGCACAGTAGAATCTGGAGCTGATGCTAAGTACGCAGCCCAACCGGGTAAGGCGCTTGAGGATGGACCCGCGGCAGAAGGATCCTCGGCGCCTCGTCAACGAGGCAATCGTGCTTCCTCGGAGTCCTTCGACATGCTACCTACCACACCGCCGGAATCCCAATCTGGATCGCCCCCCGTGTCCCCCGTAAGACGCCCAGCCAGCATGATGAAAATTCCTCGGAACAACCTTGATGAAGAAAGCCCACCGCAATATGAGCCTGTTGCGGGGAATCACCTGAACGCTCCCCAGGCTGTGCAACGCCAAACTTCACGAAATAATCTTCGTCCTATGAATCTAGGCGTACCCAATCGGAAACCTGTTCCACGAAGCTCCGATCATTGAGGCTATTGGGCTCAATAGGTTGTTTGGTTTCACACTTCCCTTCTATGCTCAGTGTCCAGTTCTGAAATTAATTGGAGCTTCATGGCACTTTGCCAGTGATTATTCCAGCACTCATAGCACCGCATTATTGCTATCTTCGAACTCGATACCCCATCAAATTTTACTGTTGAAAAGTGTTCTGAGGTTTCTCGTTTTAGAATGTGTCATAGGTCTTTGGAGGTCTATTATCTATTATCCAAGGGACTCATAATTTAGTCCATCCAGTGTAGTGCCTGTTCAATGTATAGTCTATTTACATCGTGCACATCGCTGATAGCCAGTATGAGGGAAAAGGCAACAAGATGTGCGCTATTCCAAAAGCGGCTAGCGTGCCCTCCGCGCGATTTGAGCTCTGATCGGTTGCCTTCCTCTTCCACTCGAGCATATGTCCAATCTTATGGGCACCTATTCTGACATTTGGATCTTAATCGAATCTGCTATGTCAACCCAGCCTAACTAGATTAACCCCGCACCGAAACATTACCTCCGAGTACTCGACTCGGAACCCCCAACAGCAACACGAAAAAGTCCACTCACCGCGTCAATGATTTAGCTCGCGACTGACCATCTACCATGCGTCTCCACCTTGTTATTTCGCGTCATGGCCTGCCGGTCACACGTATTCTCTGGACAACGACGTCGTCGAATTCGGTGCTTGGCGAATATGGCACTCATCGCCCAGCATCAACCGCAGCTGTCGCATCTTCTCGCACCCCGAACATCGCATTCTCCAATGGCGGGTACACAGTCGCACAACTCCTCGAGGATGTGAATGAAGTTGTGCCGCTAGAAACTGAACCCAGTGTCTTTGATGCGGAATTCAGTGGCCAGTGGGGATTGGAAGATTATGTTGTCGAAGTGGCTGGCTCGGAATGTCTCCATTTTATGGAGGTTGACGGTTTGCTCCGAGATGGAGACGAAGTTGTGTATGTACATCTACAAACCGTCGAAATATCCTATACTGGACTAATGTATTCCTTTGTAGCATCCGTGCCCTTCAATTGGCAGACCTTCGGACCAGACGGTTGTGTGGTCGCCACCAAATCACTGCCGACGGCAAGCATCTGATTGATGGTGTGCCTTTTGGATCACCATTTTTGAAAAGAACTACCACTACACGACCTGCGATTACCATACCCCCAAGAAAGAAACGACGCACGGTTTTTTCTGGCTGGGAGCATGCTAGAGACTTTTTGCCCGAGGAAGTCCATGCCGACGAGGAAGGTGATGGAGAGTGGCTTCCGCCTTCTAACACGGGGCTCGGGAAGGAGCTTTCTATCATGCCTGCCGAGCACGAAGAGTCCCTGGGCACAGTTATTCGTCATCCTGTTGACCACACCGCGGAATCTGATAGTGAAGCTGACATGTCTGAAATGCCTGGGGTTGAGGATGAGTTGGAGAGCGAACTCCAGGCGCTCAAGGAGGACTTTGAAGAGGCGTCTCAGTTTGTTGATATCAGAAACCAGACTCAAAATGCCAGTGGACATCCACTGCGTGCTACCTCAATAGTCAAGCGACCAACTTCTAAGGGGTCCCTTGCTGCTGCCTCATCTCTTTCGAGCAAGCGGTCTCGCGCAGAAGACTCATCTCCCAGGGCCTCCAAGGCGGTGAGATTCAACAAGGGACATGAGCAAGAGGATGATGATGTGCCTGATCTTCAACAACCTCCACAGGCCCCACAGGTTGGGGAAAGTGTTGCTGAAACTTCAGATTCAGATTCATCTGATTCATCCGATTCATCTGCATCTTCTTCAGATAGCGATTCTGATGATGATTCTGAAGATGATGATTCTTCAAGCGAGGTGGAGCCTGCAGCGGAGGCGCCATCTGATTCTGATTCTGATACCGATTCATCCTCAAGCTCCGAAGACTCGGATTCATCAGACTCGGATTCCGAAGAAGAAGCCGCCCCGCCTGTGAGAAAGGTCCAGCAACCAGTCTCTGTGGGTCCTCCTGGTGAAGGGTCCATACGCACCAAAAAGAGCAACAACCGCATCAAACTACGCCGCCGTCTATCCAAACTCAAGGAGCTAGGGGCCCTTCCCCAACAAGCAGGCTTTGATGCATTGCGGGAGTGGGAAGACAAGCATGGGGGCTGGCATATTCCGGAAAATCATATTAAACCGGAGTCATTCGTGAAACCCCAGCTACCTGTGGGACCCCAAGCACCTGTGGAACCGGAACAAGAATCTGCCGAGTCTTCTAGCAAGAGGCAAAAGAGAGAAAAGAAAGAACAGGAGAAGAAAGAGTTTGAAGCCAGGCGCGCGAAACTGCTTCGCGATCTTGCGTCAGGTAATGGTGTTGATGTAGGTGAGACATCAGAGAAGGAAAATGTTCCACCTGCTGCATCTGCCATTGAAGAGACCCTTGTTTCAGCAGACCTGCCCGGTGAGGATCAGCTGGAGCCGGAACATTCGAATCGACGTACCTTAGACATAGCTAGCTCACGGCGCATGCTATTCGGGTCTCTAGGAATGCGAACCCCGAAGACAAAGGAAGAGGAAGAAACAACACGAAGAAAGCTTGCTGCCAAAGCTAGTGCACTCGGGCGCCGAAACAAACCTTCCACACAAGAAGCCCACGAAGAGACTGACCAAATGCAGGAGGATGAAGATGCATCCGATATTGATTGGCAAAACAAGCTTGTCATTCGTGCTGTCGAGTGTCTCTATCCTCAAGTTGATATGACCGCGCCTCCTTATCCTTTTGTTCAGCGTTGGGATCAAGAAGCAAATGCATCAATTCGTGAGCTCAAAGGCCCAAACAAAAAGCGGAAGAGAAAGCAGCGTGTTCAGGTCTACGAAGAATATGAGGAGCAGGCGGAATACGATGAAAATGGGAATTACTATGGCCACGATGACCAATACCAAGGCGGATATGACCAAGCCAATCACGAGGGTCATTATGAAGGTGAAGATGATCCCCATTATGAAGGTCACTGGGAAGGCGAAGCTGCTCCTTACTATGGAGGCCATTATGCGGGCGAAGCTGAAGGAGATCAGATCAATTATGACGATGCCCCTGAACCTGAACAATTCGATGACCTACCTTCGGTCCCCGTTGACATCAGTTCGGTTCCTGATCTGACTGAGAGTGAGGTGAAGGTCGGCGCAATCATTGCATTCCGGCAGCTAGACATGTCCAAAGCTACGAACTGGCAGCCTCAAATGTCCGAGTACCGAGTAGCTGAGGTGCGATCTGTGAAAGACCATGGAGTGATTAATGTACTGCTGGCCAAGAGAGACCGAAAGCCTACATTAGCATCCGGCGATGATGAGCTCCGTCAATTCAGCAAATTTGAAGTACCAGATCTGGCCAATGACGAGGGAGAGGATGACGGTTATCGCGAGCTTGCCTTTGCGGAACTTAGCGATCCGAAGCTCCTTCAACCTACAGTACAATCGGGTGCCGAATTGGAGGACCAGGACAATACTCGAGAAGGTAGCATGTCAGTTAAATAAACTCTGGTTGACGGCCCATGCTTACATATCCAAGTGTCTCTGTAGTTCATGAATCCGTACCGAACGCCCAATCTGCCCTGTATGAGGAAATGTGCCTTGACGACACAACTTTTGTCACCATTGGAAATGAAGTCAGCCGTCTTGAGTCCCGTAGTGAATCCCCAGGAATGCCAGATGAACCTATTCAGCAAACACCTGGTAGAGGGCTGCCGCAGATCCAAGTCCAGACTGGATCTAATGGGCGCAGTATTACCCCTCCCATCCCGTCGCCTTCTTTCAATGGGTTTCACTCTGCTCGATCCTGGCAGCAAATGACCCCTGGTGCTGAGCTCAGCCGCGAGCTTGAAGGCCACACCCTCATCGGAGGAGAAACGCCATCTGCTTCGGCCAATCGGGACGAGGATCCTTCCGCGTTGTCATACGCTTCTGCAAATCAATCATTCGCAGATGAACCCGAGGACCAAGAAATGTCTGATCGCCAAGAGCATGAGCGCCAGGTTGTTAATGAAAATCTCATTCCGCCTGGCGATTCGGGGGACAGTGGTCCTCAGTCTGGTTCACTTTTGTCTACCATTGACCGTAGCGGTGATGGTGGTGCGTCTGATTCTCTCTTTGTGGAAAGAGATACGTTGAAAGAAAAGCACAGTGCGACTCCCAACAGCTCCTCTGAATCGTGGAGAGATCTTTTGAACCGGTTAAGAAATGGACCATCCGAGCCAGGCGAGTCACTCGTCACTAGCGAGGGCAACATTAGTGAAGACAACAACAGTGAAGACAACAACAGTGAAGACAACGACAGTGAAGACAACAACAGTGAAGATAACAACAGTGAAGACAACAACGGCGAAGACAACGACGGCGAAGGTAATCAGAGTCCCCAACGGTTGGAAGACAGTCTCCAGCACTCCTACCTGGACCTCAACTTCTCGCCGCTTGACTCCCCACGGGCGTCCAACTCGCACTCTCCCATTCCACCAATGAGTGCTCAACAGGATGCCCAGTCTCAAAAACAAGCCTCATTCCCTTCGCCATTTGAAACGAAATCCCCCGCTGCATCTACTCGCTCTAAACTCTCCCAGCGGGTGCTTGAATCGAACCCTACCTCACAAATCCCCGCCTCCCAGGCATCCGAAGTGATTGACCTCACTTCCAGCCCGCGTGGATCACCTGAACCCAGCACCTCTAATATGAACCCATCCCAGCGCTCCAAATCTGCACTATATGGTGACTACCGTGAGAACACCCCACGCTCGTCTAGACGTCCATCCAAAGCTTCTACAGGAAAGCTCCAACGGATGGTGGAAGTGAGCATTAGTCCTTCCAGCCAGAAGAAGAGGCGCTCGTCACGAAAGTTCTGAAATATGGCATTATGGATTAATTGCTGAATGTTGATATGTGGATTACTGTCTGTATATGTACGGCGCAGAGCGATGGCGTCTAGGAACTGCACATTCATTTATTTCCTGGACATTATTTTATTTCGGCAGATTAATACAATATACTGAATTCTGAACATTCTCCATATTTGCCGATCAAGTTTTGGTGACAATTCCCTGCCAGTGATTGGACGTCTACAAAGTGATGTCATGGGTAGTATAACATTCGATCATCAAACGCATTACAAGTATACAAAACTGTTCTATTTAAGCAAGTTCTTCCTTGTCTTTTTTTTTTCTTCCTAACTATGTACCGTCTCAGTAAATGGTCATCTATTCGACTATCCTGGCGGTGTAACTGCATCTCGTCATTGCGCCATATTTCCTCACCCCGCATATCCAGCTCACTCTTGACTTATTCTTCTTCTTCTTCTTCTTCTTCTTCTTCTTCTTTCCCTTCAATATCTACTCGTGCATCCTTCAAGCCAATCCAATCCAAACGAAATCTAGCCACAATGTCCCAAGAATACAAATTAAAAGACATCTCCTCTTTCGCATCCCTCAACTCTCTAGACAAGATCGAGGCTGAAATCGAAGGCATTGAGGATGGGAAAGTTCTTCTCATCAAGCTAGATGATAAAGTCCATGCCCTCAGTCCGCGTTGTTCGCATTATGGAGCACCACTGAAGAATGGTGTCGTTACTGGAGAAGGGAGACTTACATGTCCCTGGCATGGCGGTGAGTTTCTTCTCGGAGGAAGAAAAGAACGATGAGCTAATATACTATACAGCCTGTTTCAATGTCACAACGGGTGATGTCGAAGATGCCCCAGCTCCAAATGCCCTGAACAAGTTTGAAGTCTTTGAAAAAGAGGGCGGCGTGTACATCCTTGCCAAAGAAGAAGATGTCAAAGCAGGACAGCGTAATCCTGTTGTGAAATGTAGTGTGTCAGATCCGAAGGAGAAGGTGGTTGTGATTGGAGGGTAAGTCACATCACTATGCACATCTCATTCAGATGCTTGGACCACGCTAACACTGAACAGAGGAAGCGGAACTCTTGGCCTGATCCAAGCCCTGCGGGAGCTTAAATACCCTGGGGCAATTACGATCATCTCCAAAGAGCCTGATCTGATCATAGATCGGACCAAACTATCCAAAGCCCTAATCACAGACCCAGCCAAGATCCAATGGCGGCCAAAAGAGTGGTACACCGAAGCTGCCATAGAAACCATCACAGATGAAGTGACAGCCGTGGATTTCGAGCAGAAATCTATCTCCACCAAATCTGGCCAACGTATTTCTTACACGAAACTAGTCCTTGCATCAGGTGGTGTCCCACGCACCCTCCCGCTCCAAGGTTTCAAAGGCGAACTAAACAACATCTTCACCCTCCGCACGATCCAAGACGTGCAGTCAATCCTCACGGCCGCCGGTTCAGAGAAAAGAAACATCGTGGTAATTGGCAGCTCCTTCATCGGCATGGAAGTTGGCAATGCGCTCTCAAAATCCCACAACGTGACAATAGTAGGCATGGAAACCTCCCCAATGGAGCGCGTAATGGGTACCCAAGTCGGCCGCATCTTCCAATCAAATCTAGAAAAAGCCGGCATCAAATTCAACCTCTCAGCAAGCGTTAGCCACGCAGAGGCCTCCCCCTCAAACACCCACAGCGTCGGTGCAGTCCACCTAAAAGACGGAACAATCCTCCCCGCCGACCTCGTCATCCTAGGCGTGGGCGTCCGTCCAGCCACAGACTTCCTCCGTGACAACAAATCCATAACCCTAGAAAAGGACGGATCTGTCAAAACATCCTCCCATTTCCTCGTCCCAGGCCTGCAAGACTCAGTCTTCGCTGTCGGCGATATAGCAACGTACCCATACCACGGCCCTGGCGCTGACGCTACCGGATCGCCAGTCCGCATCGAACACTGGAACGTCGCGCAAAATTCGGGGCGCGCGGCTGCACGCGCGATTGTGCATGCGCAGCGTGGTCCGCTGTCGTCTTTGAAATATAAGGCGTTTATTCCGGTGTTCTGGTCTGCGCTTGGAGCGCAGCTGCGGTACTGTGGAAACCCTGTCAACGGGTATGATGATGTAATTTTGCAGGAGAAGGGGGAGGGCAAGTTTGTTGCTTATTATACGGCTGGAGAGACCGTTGTGGCAGTTGCTACTATGGGGGTAGATCCCGTTATGACTAAGTCTTCGGAGTTGATGAGGGTTGGAAAGATGCCAGGGAAGAAAGAGATTGTTGGCGGCGCCGATGTATTGGCTCTTAAAGTCTAGGTGATATCATGGGAATATTCGAGGTTGAATCTTAATCGATATGTCGTCAGGAAATAATTTGGAATGAAGTGTTTTTTGTTCAATTGGCATATACACATTCGAAACGGAAAATAGGAACAAGCAAACCGGAACGCCCATCCAGGATGTAGTCAACAGTGATATATGATATCGGTGCTCATGCAGACATGTACACAGAGCGAATTTATTCGTCTTTGCTCTTCGACTTGGAAGACTTGGACTTCTTTTCTTTCTTTTCGCTCTTTTCCTTCTTCTCTTTCTTCTCCTTCTTCGCCTTCTCCTTCTTGGGGCTAGGCTCAAGATGCACATCCACAGTCGAGAGCTCCTGCACCGCCGACGCCGCCGGGACGTCCATCACGGGGATAGTCGCAGAGAGTTTCTTGGGCGATGAGAAGAACGACGGGGGCAAAGACTGACCCTGGCGCTCAGCCTCAACAAGTCTCTCTTCCTCCTCAACAGAAAGCATAGTTCCCTCAATACTGAGGAAACCACGATCACGCTCAGAACCAGGAATGACATCCACATCGACAACACGGAAGCGAACAGAGCCATGCACGCGGTGTCCAGAGACAGACTGGAAATAACCGGTGTGAGAGGACTCCTCCTCCTCCTCGTCAATCGCAATCTCACCCTCAGAAAGAGTAGTGGGCTTGAAGCATTCTTTCTCGGTGTCGAAATCGGCCATATCCTTATCGGAGCCCGAGTCGTCATCGGTCAAAGCCGGCGTCTCAGCATCCTCGCCAGGCGGCACCCACTTCCAGTTCGAGGGCAGACGCTTGCGCTCAATACCGACAGAGAACAGATTGAACACGACAGCACCCAGGAATCCCTCAGACTGCACGTTCACCCATCCCTCGAGGGTCTGTCCGCGCTTTGGCCGGAACACCAGGAACGTGGCGGTCAGGTAGACGTACAAGACACCGTACTCATCCGCTGTTTTGGCGAGGGTGAGCGGCTGCGGATTCAAGTCCGAAGAGGTGCGTAGGTTTGTCGGGGGCTTGCTGGAAATCGAGGCATTCGAGTAAGCCAGGATCACGCCCTTTAGCGGGGGGAAGTAAGTCAAGAGCAGTGGCGAGAGATGCTCAGCCAGCAGCGAGGCCAGCGCGTGCGTCGGTGAGATAGAGATAGGCGACAGGGGCAGGTAGAGAGTTGCTGTTGTGAGGGTGAAGGGGGACTCGGAATTGACGTCTTGGTGTGGAGTGGCTTTTGAGGTTTGCTTTCGCTTTTTAGATGGTGATGCCGATGATGCTTCCTTTTTGGATTTGCGCTTGCGCTCTGCGTCCGCTGTGCGCAGCGGCAGATTGTCGATTTCCATTTCGTCAATTGCCATCGTGGAGGCAATTTGGGCGCTCCACGGAGCTTGTCGTGTCGATGTGGAAGGATTGGAGTGCTTTTTTTTTTTCTTTCTAGGCGTCGAGAACTTTTTTTTTTCGTATGGCTTTTGCTATGATGAGATGGGAAGGCGGTGGGGCTGGGCGGTGACGGGGCGTTAAATGGCCCCCCCGGGGACTGTTTGGGGTCCATATTGTAATCGCCAAGTGGCACTTCAGGATTCATCTTTTAGATTTTCTGTTGTTTTGATATGATGCAGTTGAGATCTGGGTAAAATTGACTTATTCGCCATGTCATCACTCTTGCCTTACTTCGGGTGGGCTATTCTTCCCAATGTGAGTGGAGCGCGATGCGGAGCTATAGAGTATATGAAATCGGAGCTGATATCAAGGACAAGTATGCCACATCATTCCTCCAATCTGTCTATTATGGAATAACCATACGTGCTGGTGAACCCAAACCGCAACCTCAGACACCACGATACGAGCGTCATCGTCGCCGTATCTTCATCTTCGTGATCACCAGCTACCTCCTCTACACGCTCTACGAGACTTTCTACCAGGTTCAGCTTGCAGGCGATTACTACCAAGCCTTGGGCGTGTCGCCCTTTGCCGATGAGCGCGCAATCAAGTCGCGATTCCGCCGGCTCGCTGCTCAGTATCACCCCGATAAAGTCGGAGGGGACAGCGGGTCCGATGCCTATTTCCTGTACCTTCGACAGGCGCAGGAAACATTGGTGGACCCGGTGAAACGATTTGCGTATGATCGGTTCGGGACAGATATGTTCGGATGGGGCGAGCAGAAGACCATGCGCGACTTCCTTATGACCTCATTGCTCAAGTCGGTCGTCCCGCAATATGTGGGCGGGTTTCTCACGACGATGGTGCTTAACTGGTTGTGGTGGGCTAATTGGGGCCGCTACGTGAGTATATATCATTTTTTGGAAAGGAGATTCAAATAAGCTGACTGGTGTTAGTGGCGCTTCTACACGTTCGCTGCAATGCTAACCCTCGAACTTGGCTTGATTACGCACCCCCAGGCTGTGTTCATGCCGACTACATACCTTCCTATCACGCTCCAAGCTTGGCTCCCTAAGAACTCATTCTATCTCCTCCCCTTCCAGATCCTTACGCTCGCACGTCGCGCCTCCATCATGCTGCACATTTTCATCTCGCAGGCCGCGCCGCCCTCCGCCAAAGTGGCCAGCAATGGCAAAGGCGATAAGATCTCACCGCAGACTATGCAACGGATCGGGGAGATGATCCAGTTAACGCGCGGCATGGATGTCGAGGCGACGCGGACGCTACAAATGGGTTTAGCACCTTTCCGTGGTGACCGTGAGAGCGTGTCGACGCTCCGGCGGGGTATGAAAGAAGGGCTGATCCTCGGCGGGGTGCGGTCCAGTCCTGAGGTGCAACGTGCCGTGACACAGGTGGTTGAACGACGCAAGGCTGACGGGGAGAGTAAGCGTGATTGATTGGAATTTCCGATGTAGATTTGAAACTAGGGCTTAGATGACTTTTTAAGTGTATATTTACCAGATACTGTATTCATGTATCTTGTACGGAGTAAATTTTGGTGCCTCATGGACGATCCCTTGGCAGCGTCGCGTAATTTGGCAGAAATTCTTTTGGTTCAGCTGGTCCAGCTGGTTCACCCGTGGACTAATCGAAGTTCAAGTTTCCGAAAGTGGCGAGTTGGGGCCGTAGTGCCGTAACGCCGTAGCAGAGAGAGAGAGACTCGTGATACACTCACCAGATCTGTTGGGAACGGGTCCACCTGGACTTGATTCTCTCAAAAAGAGGCTGTCTTTTTGTTAACGACCCCAAAAAAAAAATGTATCTTTCGAGACATCATGCGGTCAGTGAGTTATTTTCGGGACGCTGCGGGTATGGAATGAGATCCATCAACGGATTAGGGTTAAGTATTGGTATTGAAGATGTGGAATGGCAGGGTGTCAGAATGAGAAAACGTATGTATATAATACATATCAGTCAAGAAGAATTGAGTAAAGAATTCAGTAGATCGAGAGAAGAGTGAGAAAGGAAAAGGGAGGTATAGTGTATATATCTCAGGTATCAGTATTGTCACAATCATGTATTCAGCTCTTCGTCTTCTCGAAGTGGCTGGGCAAATTTGTAAAATGACAGTACAAGGCCCCAAGTCCACCTTCAACATCCCCCTGCTTCATTGAATGAGTTTTTTCTCTTAACGATGAGAGGGTCCACGATCCCTTTTTTCTTTCCTTTCCGTTTTCCCGTTCCCCTTTCCCTACTTCCCTCCCACCCCTCTTCCTAGACTATGCGACACATACTACATCTATAAGAGACGGGCGGTAGAGACACACGTCACGGTTGTGAATTGCCTCAATACAATTCCCGAATTTCCCCCTCTTGACTATTCCATTATCCCGCAATCTCACTTCCATCATGCCCGCCGCCACTCCAAATGGTCGCTCCCGCGCTGGAGCTAAGAATTCCTCCAACTCCTTGATGGTGATTCTGAAGCTATCTGGGGACGCCCTCCAGCAGTTTGCGAGCCCGAAGATCAAGTCGAGTCAAAATAATACTCCCAACATGAAAACCAACGACTCCTCCCCAGCCTCATCCGCCGAGCTTCCTACCGTCCGCCCATCTTCCGCCGACAATGGCTCCGACGCCGACGCCAATTCTACACCCACAGGGGCAACTCCAAGCGATGCACAGCGTCGGAAGGGTGTTCCGGGTCCCAAGCCCGGCAACAAAAGAACAAAAGAACAAACCGACGCAACTGCAAAGTCACGGGGACGCCCTGGCCCCAAGAAGAAACCTAGACTGTAAGCAAACCTGGCATACCCTACAATGCAGCATCACAATGCCAGCAGGAAAGGGGGCAAAAAACGGTTCAGAGCTAACATATTATCTACCTTAGTGACGAAGGCGACACCACCAAAATCCCAGCTGCACAGCGCCTGGGACCAAAGGCCAATACGGGAGCTATCAACGCCGGTCTGCGTGCACTAGATCGCACCGGAGCCGCGTGTCGCAAGTGGGAGCGGAAGCCCCTACAGCTACGCAGCTTCACCGGCATTGTCTGGCAACTTCCTTCTTGGCGCACACCCGGTATGTCCAAGTCCGAGGACTTGATCGATGGCAAATCTACAGCAGTGGAAAGTGGTGATAGCGATTCAAAGCCTATGCTCCATGTCCCCGGCACCGACACGGCCAATGGCAGTAGTGCTGTGCCTAGTGAAAAGAGCAACTCGGGGGATGGCGATGTCACCCCTGCTCCGTCTCATCTAGTTGAACCCTCGTCACCGGCCATTGCCATGACAGCTTGAGTACGACCGTGACGAGTTCGGCTGGGTTTTTGTGTACTTATAGATCTCGCGAGTCTTTCCTTGTTCTTTGTTTCTTTGGGGTTCAATCGGGTCTCTGGTTTGGCGCTGGGGAGGGAAGTGTTTATGGCTAATGGCTTTTCTGTACGAAGGGCTTTTGTTTTTCTGTCGCGCACGGGATGCAGCCGGGGGATCTGGCTTATTTCACTCGGTATGTGTTCTGTATTATAGCCCCTTTTCTTCTTTTTTTCTTCACCGGATATCAGCTATGTTTTGCTTTTGTTTCTATAAGACCTTTGCTCTGGGAGCATAACGTCAATTTCACTCGACTTCACTTATACTCGATAGTATAGGGTTACAAGTACCTGGAAGTATACATCTGGTCAAAGTCCTTGTCTACCCGACTAGTAGTACAGTAGCCGAGCATTAACATGCCTAAGCCAATTCACATCAGCTCGTGCATCAGCTCGTGACATTCTACTCTTCTCTCCCCTCCTTTGTGTTTCTTCGGATTTCCCTTATTCCCCGCAATCTATGAGATTCGTGATTTTCCTCTCAAAGATCGGGCTTCTTTGGCTATGTCTAGCTACATATCTTTTTTTACTTTAGAGCAGTTCTGACACTGTATTTCTCTTTGAATAGAATAGTGAGATAGCGACGTGGTAAGACCTACTGCTTTCGGATTTATCACGCAATGTCACCTTTTCCACGCACTTCTGCCCTACGTGTCTTGTTTCCACGCATCTCCCATACCTGTCGTATTTTACCTGTCACGATCTTATCTTATCTCCACGCATAGTCCACAGTAGCCCCGACAACCACGCACTTATTCTTTTTTTTCTCTCCACGCACCATCACAAATGCTTACTACCACGCACATACAGAACCCCTCAAATTAATAGCGCCAAACGGAATCAATACTGTGGACACCAAAACCGGAAGTGAACGAACAGGAAGACAGAAACGGTGGCCTTGATTTTGGGGCACCATTTGGGGGGTGACCCGCGAACATCATGGCAGATGCTCCCTTCCCCCATCCGGTGGAGCTCGAGCTCCGACCTCATACGGGCCCTCCTCCATCCGTCGTTCCTCCTACGCCTCAGTAGTATCTGGCAACGCATTTTCCCCACCGATCTCCAACTCCTTCTCACATCTGCTTAACGACTCCCACCCTATCTCCTACACCCCATCCGACAGCCGAGTCCACCGGGCTCCGTTCGGCGTGGATGCCGCAGACATGCACATGAACTCCGCCTGGAGAAACACAGGTTCAACAGAGTCACTTCCTCCCTGGTCTCGCAAATATGCCAGCTTTCTACGCTCGGCGGAATTTCCGCATGGCCTAGGCCTCACCGACGCCCCGTCTTTCCTCACTCCATCTTACCTCCGCAACTCCCGCTACATCACCCGTCTCGAGACAGCCCATCGCGCTAAGCTCGCTGCCCAACATCGAGATCCCTCCTCATCTGCAGCCTCCAATCCCCCCCTCTCCGCCTCCTCCAGCAATGTACACCTGCCCCGCATCGCCCCATCGCATCGGGGAATGCCCAATGAGATCATAGAGAAGGAACCGCCTGCCCCGGTCGATTCCCTCATGCCCCTGCCCAGTCAGTGGAGCTCCGTAGACAAGTTCTCCGGCCTGGAGCTGTCTAATGAGAACTTCGATGTTCGCTACACTGGTCCTATGCACAAGCATGACCATGAAGCTGCTGCCTTGCGCGCGGATTATCCTATGCCGCCGCAATGCGGGATCTACTACTTTGAAGTCAAGATTGAGTCAAAGCCGAAGGAGGGGTATGTGAATGAACGCTGCTCGGTGGATATTGATTGTACATGCTGACTTGGTTTCTAGCATGATCGGTATTGGGTTTTCCAGCCCCAAGGCGTCCGTCGAGAGACTTCCAGGTTGGGAGACGGAATCCTGGGCTTACCATGGCGATGACGGAAAGTCGTTCTTTGGTGAGAGTCAAGGACAAGGTCGGGCATATGGACCGACTTTTGGTGCTGGTGACACAGTCGGATGTGGTGTAAATTTCTCCACAGGATCTGCATTCTTCACTAAGAATGGGGTTTTCTTGGGTAGGTTTTTGTGTGGATTGTAACGGGGATGTATTAGGCTAATTTTGACAGGAAATGCCTTTAACGATCTGCGCAACACGAACCTTTTCCCGTCCGTCGGAATGAAGAAACTACCACCGGTACACCTCAGAACGAATTTTGGACAGGAGCCTTTCGTTTTTGATATTGATGGCATGGTTCAGGTTTGTGCTACCTGAACTATATACTCGGAGATTTTCATGCTAATTCTCACCAGCAAGAGAGATTCAACGTGTTATCGGAGATTGACAAAACGTCCACAGCTAGTCTTCAACCACCGTTGGACGAGTCGACACTGCTGCAAGAGTTAGTCGCACAGTTCCTCGCCCATGACGGCTACGTAGATACAGCCCGGGCATTCGCGGAAGAGGTGGCCACCGAAACGCTAGCCCTCCAGAATGGCCGCAACGAGCCACTCAAGAAATATGAGGTCGAGGAAGACCGCGAAGCCATAAACCGCAACAGTAAGTCTACACATCCGCACTTCCTCCCAGTACCGAACCCTCACTCAAAGCCCGTAGAAATCCGCTCCGCAATCCTAGACGGCGACATCGACAAAGCCCTCAAACACACCAAAGCCTACTATTCCAACGTCCTAGAAGATCATCCGCACATCTACTTCAAATTGCGTTGCCGCAAATTCCTCGAGATGATGCGGCGGTCCAACGAGCTCTCCGCAGCAACCGCTGCAGCATCGAAGCGCCGCCGCTCAACAGCCTCTAGCTCGCACGAACACGCTGTCTTCGATCAGGAGATGGAGCTCGACGACGGAGATGGGGACGGCTGGGTCGCAGACGGCATGGACACTGAAGAACCCGAGGTGATCGCTCAGTTTAACCAGCTTCTCACTGAGGCAGTACAGTATGGTCAGCAGCTGCGTGCTGATTACCCTACCGATGAGAATGGCGGCGATAAGAAGCTGCTGGATGATATCTTCTCTCTGGTTGCATATCCTGACCCGAAGAGGTCTGTTCATGGTCATTACCTCGATGCCGAGGGGCGGGTAGCTGTGGCTGAAGAGTTGAACTCGGCTATTCTTGGTATGTTGCTTGATCTATTCAAATTTTCTTGGTTTCTAGTCACAAGCAACAACACGCTAACAAGCGCTGTATAGTCTCATTGGGCAAATCATCTGCTGCAGCTCTGGAAAGGCTATACCAGCAGACTGAAGTGCTGGTTAACGAGATCAGTGAAGACGGCGGCGCTGGGGCGTTCATTAATGTTCGGGATGATATTTTGCTTTGACTGGCGCTGGGTTAGGGCCTTGTTTGTCCTTCTTTTCCCCTTCGCTGATGTCCCTTTCTGTGACGGGAGCTACCAATCGCAGATGTCAGGTTGGGTTTCTTGTTGATTTACTTCTACTTTCATGACGCTCTACTTCTTTTTACCCGGATTTGTCTTTTGTCAAACTAACTTGACCCGCTATCTCTTAGCCAGAATGATGATCCCCCTCCAAGGACAACTTTTGAGTTCAATAGTACCTTAAACTATTATTATAACATCCTATCAAGTCCTTGCCTACATGCAGGTACGGAATACTAGTAGCATGTACAATACTTATATGTGACGTCATTGTGTATATAATGGCGGTGAGCCAGGGCAATATCAAAGCGGTAAGACACGAACTCCTGGAGGCTTATCTCATCTCGGCTGAGTTCGGTATCTCCGCTTTCTGAAATCGAATATGAAATCGAATATCGAATGGACTGATAATCTGTGATACCTCGAAGCTGCAAGTTTTCTGATGATCAGGCCTCTCCACTAACTCAGCTCCTCCCAAAGGGGCCACATTCTTAATGGATTCACTACATAGCTTCGAGGATCTCAGCATTCCTACCCACTCAAGGGCTACCACCACCCTACGCTGCTGCTGTGGCCGCAATGACTGTGCTTTACTCGAGCATAACAACGTAGCTCTCGAGGGCCTGGAAAAAGATCTAGAGACTGCTGCTAGGCTAGGTCAGGTACGTTCCGTTTCCAATATTAGCTGCCCGATGTTTGCTGTTGGTTGGGTATAAAAACGCCAAGCTGTTTCCTAGGCTGGCTGAATCATGCATGTATGATACATCAGTTCTATCATTCTTCACGAAACACTTTGTATCTGATTGCTTTCTTTTTCCTCTTCACCCTTTCATCTATTACTCGGATTACTCCGAATACATTCTGCATACCTTAAGTGCAGACCCCACACCAGTTTGAAATCAGACTTTATGATCTTACATTCTAATGGCTTCCCTCCGATCACGGTCTCCCATTCTGTCGCACTGTTTTGGTGTTCGTCATGGCTACCTTTCAAGATTATACTGCCAAGGCAGCATGTTTTGAGGCATCATCACTGACTTTTGCTCTACAGGCCTTGCTCCACCGCCATGAAAGCTATATGGCCGAAGCGGAAGAGGACCGCCATCGTTTGGTCGGCAGCATTGATGATCTAGAACGCCAAAAGCAGCAAGTTCAAGTTGAAAATGCGCGCATTGTCGAAGAGAATCGCAATTTGTTGGAGCAACTTGACAGCTTGAATCAAGCAGTCACTGAATCTGACAATCATGTCAAGTCTTTAACAAGGACTTTAGAAAATACAGAGTTCGAGTTGCGAAGATTGACAATGGCTGCAACACGTGCCGCAGAGCTCGAGGTGCAACTAGCTCTCATGGAGACAGAGCAGTCTAAACTCCAAGAAAGCCTTGTGTCAGCACATGAAGACGAGAAATCAGCTGTCCAACGGTGGAGACAGGCAGAGAGTACCCTGCGAGACCTTCATGATCAAGTCGACCGCATCGAGAAAGAGGCACGCGAGGAGAGGGATCGACATGCAGAGCTGGTCCAACGCATGGAGCGCAAGAGAGCCGTGGAGCGCGAGCTGGACAACGCAGCGGGGCGTCTCAAGGGCGCGGCTGCCGCCTCTGAACTCAATCGCAACGCCGGTGGGACCAATGTGGTCTCTCGTTTCGTCAAGGATATCTTGCAAGACAACGCCAATCTGCAAGTTGGGATAATGGAGCTACGCGACATGCTTCAGAGCTCGAATGAAGAGGTGCAGAATTTACGAGAACAGGTTATATCTCATCAGCCGCTGGCCGGTGTCGATACGGAGGACAGTGTACATCCAAGGCCTTCCACCACGCTGAGCGAGGAGCTGCAATCGAAGGAAGAACGACGCGTTTCTCAGGAGCTCCACATCCATCATCATTATCACACTCCACCTCCAACCACAGCTACGAAGAAAGAGAAAGGCACGCTTAACCGTCGCGTGAAGAAACGTCGGCCTGCTCTTGGCAGCCCGGTAATAATGCACTCTGCGACGCGGGCACATTCGCCTCGGAGAGCTCTTCATCGCTCTCAGTCATCTGGATCCTCCATGTCAACCATTCTGTCACAGACCTCTGTATCCATTCCACCTCATTCGTCTTCCCGCCGCTGGTCCTTACAATCGCATGCTCCGGACTCGCTGGCAAGCTCTCCTCGGTCCGCGTTCCGGACTTCGTCGATATTTGATCGTGTTGAACGTGGTGCTGATTTCTCTGAGCCTACCAGCCCTGAAAGCACCGTGTTCTCCTCGCCTTTGATGCAAGCACGGAACCTGAAGGGCCTCGATATGCCATTTCGACCAATCGGTGGCTTTGATAGCCACGAAGCGCCCGATGACCTATCCGCATTTGAGGATGATTTCTACGGCCGCCAAGACTTCTCGAACACTGGTGATAATGTCACAAGGGAGCCTATCCCTGAAGAATCCGAACCGTCTCCATCGGTAGCATACTTCCCGCCTTTGGCTGAGCCACTAACGACCACTCAAGATAACGTTTTTACCATGCATGTACAGCCTTCATCCTTGCGCCGGTCTTCTTCCCATGATAGCTTGCTCTCCGTCTCTATTGCTGGAATGGACATTCATACGCCCACCACTCGCCACAAGCAAATGGGCGACTGGCATCCCGGCATGCGGATTCCTCGGCGTATCTTGTCGCCCAGTGTCGAATTGGTGTCAACCCCTCCAGTGATCTCATCTCTGGCCATTACAGCCGATCGCGCAAAGAGCTCAGAGCACACATCCCAGTCATTGCTTGCTTCCATGGCTGCGGCAAAACCCACCAAGTCTGACACCGCATCTATTATATCCACAGACAGTACCAGCACCGGTTCAACTGCAACCCTTGGATCTCGCAAAACCACGACATTGAGTCGCCGCGTGGGAGGATGGGTCCTAGGCCGCTGGGGCATGGCACCTGTCCCAACCGATAGTGACTCGCAAGGTCCGACAGATTCGCCGACTACCTCGGTGGCATCGTCACCTTCTATATCTGCACCCAATCCCCCTGACCCGCTAGCTCTCCGCTTCAGATACCCAGGCGTGAATCAGAAGGGTCCGATCATGGGTCTGCGGCCTCCGCCTCCTGCTCCCATTTCCATTCATGCACACAGCATAGACGAAGACCTGCTGCGAGAGAGCCTAGCCGAAGAGACTGGCTAGAATCCTTGTGGTATAGTTATATGCACATACATTGTTCTTTAGCGCCTACACTCGTTTAATCTTGCATTTATCATTCCTCTTCTTTCACTTTTGCATTCTACTCTCACGGTTTGGTTGTTGCATTTCTTGAATTCCTGGTTTGGAATGGCGCGAGTTGCGATGATACCCATGCTTCATCTTTGATTTTCTAGACTCTTCTAGATGAAGCACTCTTTGGTTCTTTTCACGTTGTATGTTTTACGCGATAGGATCTTTTGGCTTACACTTCACTTCATTGAGTACCTCAATACCATTGGAGTTTACCCGTCAACATGGTCGAGTTGAACAATTTTGCATAGAGTTCCCTCGGGGGCTACTTATATACTGTAGCAACAATTTTCACTACCTTTGGCATCATTTGCATGATATCACATTCTCTATTCATACTCATTACCTCGTGAATTTACCGCAGCCTGAATGGCTGCTCATTGCGTCCGCAAAATCCGATACGTGCGGATTGGAATGCTGGTCGAATGGAAGAAACCCGTCTGGTCTTCTGAGGGTGTTGATTCGAATGGGAGGGTTTCAACAGCGAATGAATTGGTTTCTGTGGATGTTTAGCACTGCATAAGACATGACCATCGGCGTCGGGTATAGAACTGAAGACTCACCACAGGCGTTTAAGAACGTGCGGAAAGTATCCTCATTGCGCAGGGTCGCAGCAATGATAAATTGTTGAATGTGATAGTTCTCGAAAAGATCCCGCACGGTAGACAGGAGCAAGGGAACAAGGTCGGTATCGTAGATCTACATGTAGACATGTAAGCACGAAGTCCAAGTAAACAGCCCATAGATATACCTACCAGATCAGCACCGAGAGCGACATCAAACCTCAGCCCTGTCCCCTCCTCACCCTCATCAGAGCCCAATCCAGCAAGATCTCCCTCCTTCACTAATGGGTTCCCCCACTCCCAAACAGCAGGATAAATAGGAATGGACTCCAGTCCATTCAAATTATGTCTGACACAGTCGCGAATATTATCAATAAGCGCCGGCTCGCGATCAGTAACAACAACAGAGCGCACACCAAGATGGCGTGCACAAACAAGTGACAAAAATCCCGTGCCAGCGCCCAACTCGATAACTCGTTTACCGCGCACAAGAGCCTCGCCGGCGCCGGACGCCAAGAACGAACCGAGATGCAAAGCTGCCTCCCATGTCCGATTGCCGGTAGTTCCAGCGGACAGGATCAGGCCGCGGGATTCGGAGGTCGTGACAGTGCGCTCTGAAGAGGTCCCCGCGCTGGATGTTGGCGCTGTGTACTTGACCAAGGATAGCTGCTGCGCTTGCTGCAGAGCTGAGGGTTTCGGCTGCGAGACTAATGTGCTCCAGCTTTCCATGAGATCGTCGTTGATCTCCTGTGTTCAAGGGTGAGAGGAAGAGTTAGATATACGTTAAATCAAGTAGTATAGAAGTGTATTCTGCATTGGTGTGTGGATGTATAAGGGTGTACAAAAGGAAAAAAATATGGGAAATGAAAAATGAAAGATGAAGAATGAGAGCGTTTAAACAGGTGGGTTGGCCTACATCCTCCTCAGGGTTTGTGATTGATTCCTCGATGCGTGAGAGAATCTGTTTCAGCACTCGGCTTCGGTAACTGTCTGGTGGGATGGGGAAGACAGCATTTTCGTTGAACATGCGCTCATACAAGGCTGCTTGCACGGCTGGCTGAATCAGTACATGGCCTGGTGGGAGGGCCAAGTTCTGGAGCTCAACCAGCTGGAAATATTGTGCAGCTAATTTATCAATAGAGTCGGTCATGATTGCTGAACATAGTAAGGAATTTGATATTGCAGATCAATACGGCGGATATCATTGGAGCTCCGGCGAACAAGGTGAATGAGTCAGGAATGAGATAAGCAAGGGCTGAGCAACACAACATGCCTCAGGCACAAGGTATTCTTAGTCATCCAGCCTGAGGCATACAGCTCAAATAGGCTAGCGTCTACCCTAGCCGAGCCCACACCACACGAAAATTGAAAGTTCGACATCCTCAGTGACCCCGTCGACACTTCCTCCATCCAACGCACACACCAAAATGGCCGACACTCCCGTCACTCTGCGGACTCGCAAGTTCATCCGCAACCCTCTGCTTGCCCGCAAGCAGATGGTCGTGTAAGAACCCCTGATTTTCCCCCTCGTTTTGGATCTGTGTGTGGGAAATGCATCGCAGGCGCGCAACATGGAAATTCGACAACCACCCAGCATAAAAGAGAAAGAGAAAGAGCAATACAATCGGAACCATCGCAACACACACAGAAACAAGCACCGAATCATCAGAAAACCCCGATCTGACATCTTTTCGCGAATATCTAGGGACGTCCTCCACCCCAACCGCCCCAACGTCTCCAAGGACGAGCTCCGTGAGAAGCTGGCCGATCTGTACAAGTCCAACAAGGACCAGGTCTCCGTCTTCGGTTTCCGCACACAGTACGGTGGTGGTAAGAGCACCGGCTTCGCTCTGGTCTACGACTCCTCCGAGGCCCTCAAGAAGTTCGAGCCCCACTACCGTCTCGTTCGCATTGGTGCCGCCAGCAAGATCGAGAAGGCTTCCCGCCAGCAGCGTATGTTCCTCTCGTCCCAACGATTATCAATCGCAAATCATGAATGCTGTTCATCTTTGCTAACCCCCTTTCCTCTACAGGCAAGCAACGGAAGAACCGCTCCAAGAAGTTCCGCGGTATCGCCAAGGTCAAGGGCCCCAAGAAGAACAAGGATTAAACGCCTCATCTGTAACTATTCGCACGATACAACATGGACCGATGATGCGGCATGGCGCGATGGGAAAGATTATGGCGGTGACGGCTTTGGCTCTGGAGTTACCCACCTGGATTTGGCTTGTCTGGACCCAGGTGCGGTCGGTCGTGTGTGGGGGGGGGTGGTTTATCTTCCTTTTCAGCGAACATCAGACTAAAACCCAAAATGATGCCCGTTGATTGGTGAAGATCGTGGACGGATACTCTTTTTCTTCCTGTGCTTGTTGGAGCTGATGATTCCCAAGAAAAAAAAAGACCTGGCGATCCCCATGGAAATTTTAAAACAGGGCGTCAGTGTTGTGGTTCTTTGGTGTATGTTTTTTTTGGGGAGGGGGATCATCAGTCTCGTATGAAGACGGCCGGGATTATGAGAATCCGGGCTTCGGCTGTTTGCCCGGGATGAAATTACATTTTACTTGTTTCTCTTCACCTGGTGTGACGGTCCTGTAGAATGTACTTGTACGATTGTACACTGGTACAACCATGTCTGGATCCGGCGTAGTTGGATCTGGAGCCTGTAGACTGACGACCCTCGGCGTAGTCTAGGCTCAGTCTTTATCAAGCGCCCCTCCACGCTCTATACTTCTAAAGCGGAGTACTCCTAATGCTATACTCCAACGTCACCGTACAACAGGAACACGTCCAGTCAATTGATGTTACGATTAACCCTCTTCCCTATGTCAGAAAGTCTAGTATATAGTGAGGCGTGTTGACGGTGATCTTGATTTACTGTAATGTTTCACGTCCAGTTGATCCAACTATACCACTATACCCATACATAGAGCCAAAAAAACCAATCTGATACTCCCAAAACCTCTGTCACAGCCGAATGATCCCCCGTTCGTACAGATATTTTCTAGAGCGAGGAGAAGAATCAACCTTTTCAACCCCGGGACCAAGAACCATGCGCCAAGCCAACAGATACCCAACGACATTCCACGCCACCTCTTCTCTTCTATACGAGAAGACAGGGGCATGTAGTCCTGAGCATCTTCACATTGCCTGTTCCATTCAATGCTCAATTCATCCACCCATGCATTATATAACACTGACACAGAGGTCGGGAACAAAACGAGTTCTCCATCTGACTCGGTGTATGCTGCCTCGCCTTCCCTAATATAATCAACAGCTCGCCAGAGGAAGTCGGTTCCTTACTCTTGAAATATGGGGTAGTGTCAGAATGAGGAGGGTGGCTCAGGCTTGGGAGAGGAGGCTCTATCTCAACTGTCAAATCACCGGGCTCGATTGTAATTCTGAGTACGAAATCAAATGTGCTTTTGATGACTGTCGTTCGATTGGATTCGGTGCATGGTTCCTCGGTAAACGAGTGCCATCTATCACCTAGGTTCTTGTGATATATCGCTGGGATTGTAATTGGCGGGCCAGTGCAGCATACGATTTAGGTCCGAAGATTCGTAATATCTCGTTAGGAACTATGGTAGAGCAAGGAAACAGGGCTATTCGAAAGAACCACTCATCACCGTGATGTGAGCAATTGGCCCTCATTCTCGGAAAACAGAAATTGTCCGAGATGCATGCTAAGGAAGTAGAAGTAACGTTTTGTGTTTCTAAATAAAAGTCGGAAAATGTACAAAGCACTGGGTTACGTAGGCCGAAAGGTAAGCCCTAAGGCGATGAAACCCTAATTCAAAGACTCATACTATACCGGTTGGATGTGCAGCTAATAATCGCCCGAGCAATCCAACACTGACTTGTGATTCTTGCACTGCTTCGTTCATATATGTAGATCAAGCTAAGCAAAAGATGCAATGCCTGCTTCTATTACAACGATCGAAACCCTCTACAGCCAAAGCAGGTCAAAGCGAATCAGTCACTCCATCCTAGTATAGTCACTACATCCTAGTATTGAAAAATCATAAGCCAATGTATGATGCAGGAACCAACTTCCCAAACTAGTCCATCACCTCTAACCTGACAAACCCTCGGAGCAATAGAACCAAGCCGGAAGGGGCTGTGTAAGTAAATTCCCTCGGGTTGGATCGCCTGTACGATGGACAGCAGATTACACAACCTGGAGCATATTCCCTTTCTCAAATATTCTATTCTCAATTGGATCTCATTACCCCATATGGAGATACCGCATTTCAATTCCACGTGGACTTGTTCCATCGGGAAACTGGTCTTCTGATTGGATATGCAGATACATATCTGCTACCGTAGGATTCCTGGCATCCAAGTACCCAGAGACATCCATGGCAGGGTTGTATACGGCGTGGCGGGCTGGATCCTTGTATCACTGCATCCTAGTTCGGGGCGGGAGTCAGACATCCGGCGATGTACAGATTTGTGTGCTACTTTCTGGTTGATTTGGAAGGATCCCTGATGTTGGGCGGGAGTGCAGGGCACATGGTTAGCCGTAATCTATGTTTGTGACTATTGAGGGTGGATAGGGTACATAGGGATGGGGTTTATTGTATGTATTGTGCTCTTGGTGGGTACGTCGTTGAACTGGGAGAGTTGGATTAGGATATAGATCCTCGAGTGAAGGCACATGGATTATATGTAGGTTGTTAAAGACATTACTTTCAGATAGGCCGTACAGGGCAAATGACGAGCCTGCCACGCTTTCGGGAAATAGAAGACAGAAGACTCGAGTTAACAAGTTCTCCCAGATCATTTGTCTCATGGTGCCGAGACACAGATACCACATATCACAGGCAAACCGAATAATCTCTCATAGTAACAATAGAAACCAATACATTCCACCACCTCAAGGTTGAAAACGCATGGGATAAAAAAAGCACGTATTTGAAACAGACATAGAACCACAGATATAAATCATTGCATAAAGCCACACTGGGGTATTAGGGAGAAATCTCGACGGATGGATGTGACAAGATAGGCACAATCCTCATCATAGTCCATTAGATATCTTTTCTCTTTTGGATGAGCATAAGCAGACAGAAAAAGATGAACGAGCAATAAACCCAAACAGTACCTAATGAATAACGAAAACACCAAAAACAAACAGAACTAGAAACAGACATGAGAAAGACATTACATGGGTAGAACAATGGCAGATGTAAACAGCCTTGATATGGGTATCTCTTTTGTGTATCTTGTGGGAAAGAAAGAAACCAAGCAAGAGACCAACCAGGAAAAAAAAGCGAGAACGAAGACCAAAGAATCAAACCCCAAGAATCCGATGAGATAGATAAACGCCTCGTGTTCGATACAATAACATCAAGAAAGACCGAAGGTCAACTCAATACGCCCCTTGATGTCCCAAGGACGAAATGGGAGGACGATGCAAACTATCAACCGAACGCCCATAATCAGACAAGTTATCAGGCAAGAATCCATACGGCAAACCAACCGCCGAGTCTGCATGTCGAACACGCGTATAGGGCAACCCATTCACAAGCGTCGGTGCTGAACAGCGCACATCCGCCTCGGCAATACCCCTGGATCGCCTGCGGTCACTGCCGGAATAACCATACACATCGGGTGCACAATCAGAAGCCAAGGTGAGCAGACGCTGTCCGGCGCCGCTGTCGCGCGAGAAGTTGCGTCCTAGACGTGTATCGGACGTGTTGTACTCGCCTAGGGTGCTCTCTATCGTGTCCAGAGCTGGGTAAGGGGGTTTACAGCGGAGGAGGCCATAGAGGATGAGGACGATGGAGGAAGAGGAGAGGAATCATCTGTTGTGGCCATGGGGATGTAACCGAAGACGAGGTTGTGTGTTCCATCGTCAGAATCATTTGACTTGACACGTGCTGAGGGATTGATGTTGTAGAGACCGTTGCTTGGGACGGTGGACATGGCCACTGTGCGGCCGTCTGGGGAAGCTGCATACCGCGAGTTCCAGGTCTGGCCCTTTGCATCAGTGGCTAGGGTCATATTTGAGAGGCCATCTGGGAGAGTAGAGAGGTTGATGTTGGACTGGGGCTGGGGTTGGCTTCGGCAGGTTGGAGGTGTTGGGAGAGTGCGGTCTACTGCGTCGGGGTAGGACGTTGCCATTGCTCCTGTTGACTGGGGCATTTCGGTGGACATGCCTTGACCTGAGAGGACAAAACCGTATGCAGCTTGGTTCACGTTGCTGTTTGGTTCTTCGAAGAACTCGCCGTTGGGTCTACCGTTAAGATCCCAAGTACGGTTGCTCCATGTGGTACCATAGTCGAGCATTGCTCCCGGAGTGCTGGATAGCATGTATCCTGGTGATGTCTGTCCATGATAGTTGACTGAATGGTCGTCATAGGAGTGATCCATGTCGATGGGTTGCCGTGAGAAGTTGGATTGAATATCCAGTTCGTACTCTCCTCGCTGGTATGGAGCCCGCATTTGAGGGGATCCCATAAAGATTGACTTCCCTTGACCCTTGTTTGCATAGAGCCTAGCTGCTTCTCTAGCAGCGTCCTCGGGAGCCAAAGAGTTGACCTATGTGGCAAAGGAGCTAGGTTAGTTATGACTCCTCGTGGATATGGGATTCAGGCTTACTCTTATGTATTGACATTCAGTAGCTCCAACACTACGGCAGCTGGAGCAAGCTAGGCCAGTGTTGAGATCTCCGTTGCACTTGATTTTTCTCTTCCGGCATCGATTGCACTAGCGGAGGTTAGAAATTGAAGATCAAGATGGACAGAGGCACTTACTGCAACTAGAGCCCGTTTCCTCTGCTTCCGTGGCTTGTCATCTCGCTCTACAAGATTGCGCTCCTGCTTAGCCACACGCATCGATCGAGCCATAGAGATGGTTGAATTATGCCGGGCTTGGTCTAGTTCAGAGAGGTTGGTGTAGGTGTGATCCATGATGCAAAGCACAAGCACCCGGATAGATTCACTGCTCAGTGAAGAGATCCCAAAGGAACTGTGAATGCCTCTAAGTTGATGAGAAGAAAAAAGTAGAAAATGTAGGATGTTTCTGGGAAATAGGGCTAGATTTAAGCCATGTTTTGGTAACAATCGGTGTGGTTGATTGCCTTCTGTTTTTTTTTTTTTAAACATATAAAATTATAGGCATGCGATATTTTTTGCCCCCTACTTTTTCTATTTATTATTATAATTCTATACTGTGTTTAGATCTAGGGAAGAGAGACGACATACACAGTACATCAACTAAAAGTACCCTAGACCTAGCTTTCCTTTCTTTTGGGGAATCTTTTTCTTAGCTCTCTATTTTTCCGCTTAGGAAATTATATGCACAGTTCCGTCTAGATTTCCCCATATATAAGACAGAGAATGCAATTTGAAAGAGGTTTCACAAGGTAACGTCACACGGATAGCCATGACGAGAACAGAGAGAAGTGTTTCAGCTCTTTTTCTTTTTTTTTGTCTGGAAGAGGAAACAGTATAGGTCAAGGAACTTGGTGTATCTCAAGATCTTCCACATATATTTATATATATATTTAAAAGAAAAACGGGCAACCGCCAAGCTACTGTTTGCAGAAACATCATCCGGGGAGTATCCGTAAATGTTTGCTCGATAGTTCTGTATAGCTGCAGGTCAAAATAGTCCGGAAATCGTTATGAACTCGGTGTCGAGGGTTATCTTGCAAACGCACGGTCTAGAGAGAAAAAAAGAAAAAAGAAAACAAACTGTCTCAGGCTTCAAATGTCTCAATAGAGAAAGAGAAGGGAAAAAAAAAAGAAAATATATTCCCTGACACCTGTCACTTTGACAAGCGCACGAGTTGACTTCCCCCAGCCAAGCGCGCTCTAGAAAAACGCTGATCGACGACATGGGTGTTGAGCGTTCTTTAGCGCTTCCGGTACGCAACTAGATCGAAATGGAAGGGAAAAAAAAAAAAAAAAAAAAGGTGGTTTAAAAAAAGCAAATCAAAGTCCATAAAATGAGGAAGGGATATAGCACTTTACCTATGGTGTCATTCATGGATCTCGATCACAATCGACGCTAGAAGCTAAAAGGGGGCAAATTGAGAGGCGACCGAGATGCATGAACTTCTGGGATACTTGCAAGGTTCACACATTGCTGGGAGCTAAAGTGGAGAGTTGGTTTCGAGTTACATTATTGCAAAGAATTGAGGGAGTTCATCCGGATTATAGTGATAGTGACTTCTCCAATTTCTTGCATCTTAAGACATCCAAAATCAGGATACGAGGGAGATGGGAGAAAACTCAGGGAAACCAAAGCAGTGGGCCAAGGCAATCGCCTGGGTTTCAAATACAAATCTAGACCCTGGAGTCTCTACTCCCTAGCAAGTATTTAGATAAGTTGTAGTTCAAGGTTTGACGATGCACGACATCCGGGGGAAGTAGGAAGAATCAGGAGAAACAAAAAGAGCCCTAACGCCAGCTGACTCTTGAGTTGACTCGCCAGGAACACATGTTGGGATTGAGACTGGCTTTTGTTGCAGACGATACGGTGGAGGCAACCCCCCCTGCTGACCGGATCAAGAGAAGTCAAGCAAGCCTAGGATCATCCCCCCTTCCCCCACGTGTGTGGCTCTTTTCCAAAAAGCTGTGGTGATGATACCCGTTGGATTTTACTGCAGGAGGCCGGCCGTTTCCCCTTCTCAACGTTTCTGCTGTGGAACGGCTCACGGGGGAAAGATGTCCAAGCAAAAGGAGGACCGTGTACTTCCCGTAGAAGACATGGGGAGAAAGTCGAAACGGTACAACAGGGTGACTCAAGGATTAGCCAGTGAGAACAAGAGATGCTTCTTTTGGCTGGGGCTGCTGCTGCATGAGGGATATAAGCACACAAACAGTTCAAACCTGGAATCCCAGGGTCGATCAAGGCCCTTAATAAGATCCGCTGCACGTCGATCTCAAAAGCGTAAGGTTATGTATCCAACGGGGACATTCGGAAGATATGCCGCTCGATTGACAAGCATCGTTGCACAAGTCTCCCGGGTCGATCATCCGGCAGAGCCCTAGAGCTGTTGTGCATGTACCCAGTAGGAAAAATCTTTTTAATTTAATTAGTAGAAAATATAGAGAGAGAGAGAGAGAGAGAGAGAGAGAGAGAGTGTGTGTGTGTGTGTGTGTGTGTGAGAGAGAGAGAGAGAAGAAAAACAAGAGGCTCAGTTCTCTCCGGTTGGGGATCCCCGCGGGCGGTCATTGGTCGAAGCTCCTGCATTTCGCATTTCTCGGACTTAACTCTTGTCTCTATCTATCTGTCTCTCTCAGGTCTCTCTCTCTCTCTCCTATCTACTACCAATCTCTACCAACATCCTATTACCAGAGCTTGCCCAAGGTCCAAGCGCCTAATTTTGTGTCTTTTGCGCGACCCGATTCCCCGCCATGAGCGCGCTTTTAGAGACCTCCCTGGGCGATATCGTAATTGACCTGTTGGTCGATGATGCACCCAAGGCGTGTGACAAGTGAGTGGCTCCGTTCCTTGGCTTTCCCCAGTTTGCTGAAACCTGAAACTAAGCTCGTTTTATGTGCTTTTAGCTTCCTGAAGCTATGCAAGCTCAAGTACTACAATTTCTCGCCCATCCACAGTGTCCAAAAGAATTTTACCTTCCAGACCGGCGACCCTCTCGGCCCTGACGCACCCGAAAGTGATGGAGGATCCTCAGTATGGGGTCTGCTTGACGGACCGTCAAAACGCACATTTCCACTCCAGGTGTCACGCAAGTTGAAACATTTGGAACGCGGCACGGTGAGCATGGCGACGGTACCGTCCAAAAACGACCCCGATCAGCGGATAGCCGCCAGTCAATTCATCATTACACTTGGAGACAATCTGGATTATTTAGATGGCAAGGCTGTGATCTTCGGCAAGGTCGTCGAGGGCTTTGATGTTCTGGAGAAAATCAATGACTCTTTTATTGATGACCGAGGTCGACCGCTGAAGGATATTCGCATTCGTCACACCACTGTTCTTGACGATCCCTTCGATGACCCGCCAAATTTAGTTGAACCACCTGAGAGCCCGCTGCCCTCCAAAGCTCAACTGGCCACGGTCAGAATCGCGGACGATGAGGATTTGGATGATGATATGGATGAAGAGGCTATGGACAAGCTCCGTCGTGAGCGCGAGGCTCGCGCGCAGGCGCTCACATTGGAAATGGTGGGAGATCTGCCGTTCGCCGACGTCAAGCCACCAGAGAATATTCTTTTTGTCTGCAAGCTCAACCCGGTCACACAAGGTTTGTCGTATCCCCCCCCACGGAAGTGTGAGATCGGTGCTAACCAATGCTAGATGAGGATCTGAATCTGATTTTCAGCCGCTTTGGAACGATCTTGTCTTGCGAGGTCATTCGGGACAAGCGTACCGGCGACAGTTTACAATATGCCTTTATTGAATTCGAAGAACAGAAGGACTGTGAGCAGGCCTATTTCAAGATGCAGGGTGTCTTGATCGACGACCACCGGATACATGTGGATTTTTCACAGAGTGTAAGAGCTCCTCACCACCATTGCCTACACCAATATGCTAATACATCCTAGGTATCTAAATTATCGGAAAGCTGGCGCAATTCCACCGTCACCAAGCGCCGACAGAGAGGTGGATTTGGCGGTGTTGAAGATCTTGAAGCGAAACGCCAGTACCGAGAGCTGGACGACGCTCCTGTTGACGAGGATGATGCTCGGTACGGTATGATGTTTGACAAGAAGAAAAGGGGTGCAGCCCCTCCGTCCCGCGAGGCTCCGCGGGGGGCTCCATCAGATCGTGCTCGCGTTCGAGATCGAAGAAGTCGAAGCCCCCGAGATAGAGATCGATACCGGCGATACAGTCGGAGTCGGAGTCCACGACGAGATTCACGGAAAGAAGGCCGTTACCGACGATAGTCCACAGCATGTATTCAAATATCCCCTACCCCCTATTCTAAAATAAATATAGGATTTGAACATATCCACTAGAACTTCGCCCCGTCGCAACCCGTAGCAACCCGTGGCAGGCCAAGGCCCCGCTATGACTAGCGCAATAAATTCCAGTGGGCAGGTCTCAGATGGCGCTCGCTAGCCACTTTCTTGTATGGACAGATCATTATTACTCGCCTCTGCAGATCCCTAAAAATAAACTGGAGCCCGCTAGGTTCCAAATAGTGTGAGATATATTAAACTGAAGCAGCTTTTACCGTGTGTTTCCAAGATTTATTAAGCTACTTATTCAGCTTGAGCTTCACCCCACGTTTTTCATTCTTCTATTTACTTTTCTCTCCTTCTCTCTCTCTCTCTATCCATACTTTCTGCCAGCTCTTTTCTCTTCTTTTTCTTCTCAAATATTCAATATGGCAAATGTAATCAAAGATGCTGTCTCCAATGTTCTTGGAAAACTCCAGGGCACCCCTCAAGAGGTTCCCCGTGAACCATCAGTGGAGGAGTTCCAAACACTACAAAAGAAATACACAGACGCTGGACAAGGCCATGTCTTTGCCTTTGTCGACGAATTGACCACCGTCGAGAAATCACAGCTCTTCCACCAGCTGTCCAACTTTGACCCCACTCGGATCAACGAGCTGGCCGACAAAGCCCTCAACCCTCCCCCAGCCCCAGAGGGAACCGCGACCCTCGAGCCCCTCCCCGAAGTCGCCACAGCCTCCATCCTTGACTCCGACCCCTCAGATATCCAGAAATGGTACGAAGCCGGCCTGAAGGAGGTGGCAGCAAACAAGGTGGCCGTGGTCTTAATGGCTGGTGGGCAAGGTACCCGGCTTGGCAGTTCTGCGCCCAAGGGCTGCTTTGACATTGGCCTGTTGAGCGAGAAATCGCTCTTCCAGCTGCAGGCTCAGCGTATTGCCAAGCTGCAGTCTCTCATCGGTGGTAAGGACGTCGTCATCCCCTGGTACGTCATGACCAGTGGGCCTACACGCAAACCCACGGAGGAGTTCTTTGAGAAGAACAACTACTTTGGTCTCGACAAGAGCAATATTATGATCTTCGAGCAGGGCGTTCTGCCTTGTATCTCCAATGATGGCAAGATTCTGCTCGAGAGCAAGGGCAAGGTATGGTGATATATATACGGGCGTAGCTCAAACACGTATAGGACGAGATTTGTTAACCCTGAATATAGGTTGCCGTGGCTCCCGATGGCAACGGTGGTATCTACCAGGGACTCGTGGTCTCCGGTGTGCGGGAGGACATGCGCCGCCGTGGTATTGAGCACATCCACCTCTACGGAGTGGACAACTGCCTTGTCAAGGTAGCCGACCCGGTATTCATTGGCTTTGCAGCCTCGAAGAACGTCGACATCGCGACCAAGGTGGTGCGCAAGCGCAATGCCACCGAGTCCGTAGGCCTGATCCTGTTGAAGAACGGCAAGCCCGACGTGGTCGAGTACTCTGAGATTGACAAGGAGACTGCCGAGGCCAAGGACCCTAAACAGCCCGATGTCCTCAAGTACCGTGCTGCCAACATTGTCAACCACTACTACTCCTTCCGGTTCCTCGAGTCGATCGAGAACTGGGCTCATCAGCTGCCCCACCACGTGGCGCGCAAGAAGATCGCCTGTGTCGATACCGAGACTGGTAACCTTGTCAAGCCCGAGAAGCCTAACGGCATCAAACTAGAGCAGTTCGTCTTCGACGTGTTCCCCATGACACCGCTGGAGAAGTTTGCCACCCTTGAGGTGCACCGTCACGACGAGTTCTCACCTCTGAAGAATGCCCGCGGCACTGGTGAGGATGACCCTGATACCAGCCGTGCAGATATCATGGCCCAAGGCCAGCGGTGGGTTGAGGCTGCTGGTGGTATTGTTATTACCGATGGCGAGGCCGTTGGCGTTGAGGTTTCTCCTTTGATCAGCTATGTATGTCTTCTCTATCTCATCTCTGGGTTCTTAACTAACATTCACAGGGCGGTGAAAACCTGGAATTCCTCAAGGGACGGGAAATTAAGGCACCGGCTATTCTGGAGCGGGAAGAGTAGATTAGATGGACTAACCAGTCGGATCTCACGGAGATCTCTTTGGAACGAAGAAATGAATTGCATTGTGACCCTTTTGGGAGAATGGATTTGTAGGAATGTAGGGGGTAAGGAATTCTTCAGTATTTCTATACATACTGTACCTAGTTGTTCTACCCAGTACGGAGCACTATACTCAGTACTATACTCAGTACTATATAACATCAAATATACAGTAAACGCCTTACGCAATACGGAAAGGTCCGGGAGCTAAAGTCGGAGTTTCACTCTTTTCCACTTTTCCTCTTCTTGCATTCTCTGAAATCGAAGTTGGAGCTGTTGAGGTTATTGAAGTTGTTGAGAGTGTAAGTTGCTCTCTCTTTCTTTTTTTCGTTCTTTTTTTTTTTTCTGTGTGGTTTTCCCCTCGTGTCCCCCTTTTTTTTCTCAAGTAGGCTGTCAGAACGTGCCTTTTCTCCATTCTCAAAAAGCTGACCAAAAGTTGACCAAGGATAGATTTTGACGATTTGAAGAGAGTTACTGTGAGGGTGAGTGAAGGTGTTTCGCCGTTCGAGCTCGCGCTCTGCCCCGCCGATCTACGCCTTCCCCCTCTTTCGCTTGAAATTTTTGAGATCGCAATTGTGCTGTGCTCGGACAATCTCGGATATATACACGGAGCTGCCTTGATACACATGACGCATGATCACTGCACAATTCGATAATTCCGGAAATGGAGGGGGAAGACGCGGCTATATCGAGCTAAAATCATAACGGCCTCGGGCTGACTTGCGATAGATTACCGCCAGAATGATGTTGTCTCGTCGCGCATGCTACAAGTGTGGCACTATTGGCCACTACGCTGGTTAGTTTAGGAAGCTTTGGTATATTTGGGGTTAAACTAATTCCTCACTAGAGGTCTGCTCCTCCACTGAGCGTCTCTGCTACAATTGTGCGTGAATCCCTCCCCGAGAGCTCATACTCTGATGTCACTGGATGCTAATTTATCTCATCTCGCAGGCAAGCAGCCCGGTATGGTCGATCACGAGTCATAACACTCAAAACAAGCTTCTAAGTTATCATTTAGGCCACGAGTCGAGCGCCTGCCCTCTGCCCCGTACCACCGAGAGTAAGCGATCACCCAATGTCAACCCCCACCATGCCAGGTTGCTAACAACTATCCAGCCAAGCAGTGCTACAACTGCCAGGGTCTCGGCCACGTCCAGGCTGATTGCCCTACCCTGCGCCTGAACGGCGGTGCCAACGGCCGCTGCTACAACTGCAGCCAGCCCGGTCACCTTGCCGTAAGTTCCAACCTTCGAGTGTAGGTCTTGAACCTTCAAAGCAGTTACTAAAACCCCATTACAGCGCAACTGCACCAACCCCACTGCTCCCGGAGCTGGTGCTCCTACCGGTCCCGCTGCTGGCCGCGGCGCCGGTGGTGCTCGCGGTGGTTTCCAGGGTGGATTCCGCGGTGGATTCAGCGGATACCCCCGTGCCGCTACCTGCTACAAGTGTGGTGGTCCCAACCACTTCGCTCGTGACTGCCAGGCTCAAGCCATGAAGTGCTACGCCTGCGGTAAGCTCGGCCATATCTCGCGTGAGTGCACCGCACCCAACGGTGGTCCCCTCAGCTCCGCCGGTAAGGTCTGCTATAAGTGCGCCCAGGCCGGCCACATCTCCCGCGACTGCCCTACCAACGAGGGTGCCGCTGCTCCTGCCGCTCCCGCTGAGGCTGTCCCTGTTGCCGCTGCCCCCGTTGTGGCTGCTCCTGCTGTCGTCGCTGTTGAGACTGCCACCGAGGCCAACACTGTCCCTGCTGCGGCTCCTACTACTGCTGTCGCTTAAGTGTGTTTGGCCCTTTCTCTCCACCGTGCATTCGCCATTGGAGGAATGCTTGGAGTTCCTTTTCTTCCTTGATTCTGTATTACGGTCACTTTTCCCTAAACCTCTCCACCATCTCTTCCTTTGCATATATTTAAATCACACCCTTTGTTTTTGGGATCAGGTCTGGTTCTGGACCTGAAAAAAAACAACAGCCTTTGATTTCCCTTATTTCCCCCTTTTGGAACTTGTTCTTTTTTTTACTTATTTTTTTATCCCTATCATGTATACGACGAACAAACAGAAAAAGTTCTTTTTGGTTTTGTTTTTCGCGGAGTCACCCTCGACTTGACTTCTCAAGTCTTACTACTGGCGTCTATTCTCATGGATTATCTTTCTTGGTTTTCGATCGACTCTTGGTTGCGGTTTTCCCGAATGGGGCCAAAGAGAGAACGAGGAGATGAAGTGTGGCAATGAGAGGATCTGTTGAAGCTGAGGGGAATTGGATTCGGGCCGTTGCAACTGTGGAAAGAAAGAGGACTTCCAGATGGGAAGAGTCCTGAGAACATTTCGAGCTAAAAAAAGAAATATCTCAATTCTCTTGTTTCTTGTAATGTATAGATATTGCCTTGGAAGGTTGGTGTGCTCAGTGCTAAGTAGCTGAAACCCGTGACCTTGAAACATTCAGGTCGAGTCCCTCTTCGCATCTCTTGTTCACTCAACACTTGACCCCATCAGTCATCTTCACATAGCCATCTCCAATTGACCCGGCCAAGATGCCGGGCTCGGTTGCAAGTGATGGATTCGATGACGACGAGGTACAATAAACCCCAATCTCCACGCACGTCTTGGAACTGCCAATCTAACCAGAGCAACCATTTTACAATTGCAGAGCTTCATTCTGGACATCGATGGTATCCAGGCCCATGGAATTGGTGCAGCTGACATCACCAAGCTGAAGGCCAATGGGTTTTATACTGTTGCTGTCAGTGCCTTAACCCTAACCACCTCGTTTTCAGATAGTCCAACTTTTTGCCATCCTCCAACAAACCTAACCATTGATTCAGTCCGTTCACGGCGCCACCCGAAAGACTCTCCTCAAAATCAAAGGATTCAGCGAAGTCAAGGTCGAGAAAGTCAAAGAGGCAATTCAGAAATGCCTTCCCACAGCCTCGGGTTTCATCACAGCAATGGAACTCCACCACCAACGCAAGAAAGTCGTCCGTATCTCCACCGGCAGCAAGCAATTTGACTCAATTCTCAACGGGTGAGTGCACAATTAGACCCAGTCCTAAAGCCACTAGCCAATCCCATCTAACACCACACCAGCGGCTTCCAAAGCATGAGCATCAGCGAAGTGTTCGGCGAATTCCGCTGTGGCAAAACACAACTCTCGCACACGATGTCCGTAGTCGCCCAATTACCCAAAGAAGCAGGCGGGGCAGCTGGCAGAGTTGCCTACATCGACACAGAGGGCACGTTCCGACCCGAGCGTATTGCTCAAATCGCTGAACGGTTCGGAATGGACCCCGACACGGCGCAGGAGAATATTTCCTATGCGCGCGCGCTGAATAGCGAGCACCAGTTCGAGCTGCTGAATACACTTGCTCAAGCATTTGCGGGTGGTGAGTATCGATTGCTTGTTATTGATAGTATTATGAACTGTTTCCGGGTTGATTATTGTGGGCGCGGGGAGTTGGCGGATCGGCAGCAGAAGTTGAATCAGTTCTTGATGAAGCTGGCGCATATGGCTGAAGGTAAGAGGTGTTGTTCTGTCCTTTTCATGGCTGTTTGGCTGATTCTGCAACTGGCAGAGTTTAATGTTTGTGTCTTGATGGTGAGTGAGAGCTTCTGTGTTTCGAGGTGTTAGGGCTCACGTTTCGGTACAGACAAACCAAGTCCAGAGTGACCCTGGTGCCAATGCTCTATTCGCTGGAGCTGATGGTCGTAAGCCGGTTGGTGGTCATGTCCTTGCTCATGCTTCCACTACTCGTGTGCTCCTTCGGAAAGGGCGTGGGGAGGAGCGAGTTGCGAAGATACAGGACTCCCCTGGTGGGTACTCCGATATTTCCCTGGCTTTGATATTGCTTTAACTCCTCTTCAGACTGCGCTGAGCGTGAGGCAATCTATGTCATTACCAATGGAGGGATCAATGATCCAGACAAGACTTGAAGGTGGTGTGCTCCGAGGCGATCTACCGATGTCGAGGGAAATGCTCTGCAGTCACGATTTTCATGATGTATCAGGTTTTATGCTGCGGCCATCTTATACCATTATTCAACTCATATCATAAATAATAGGTTAAAATACCAAAGAGTTCAAGTTATATTCATGTCGATGTAGTTGAAGCCCTAAAAGTGGAGGTTCACCGCCCACTCCGCCGCTCCGACACCCCGGCAAAATTCTGTGCCAAGAGCAAATCTGCAGAAAAAGTTCAGCTCAATCAACGCAACAATCCGGCAATCAAACCTCCAACCAAAATGAAGGGCGAATCCGTGCAGGTGGAAGGGTACATTACCCTACCAGTGCAGCTCCCAACAACCCCTCTCTTCCCCCAACCCGCAACACACTACCTCTACCTCCGACCACACGAGCCCCGAATCCCAGACCCAGATTCCACCCGCTCCCTCTTCATCGTCAACGTCCCAATCGACACCACAGAAGCACACCTCCGCCACCTCTTCGGCACACAACTCGCCGCAGGCCGCGTGGAAAGAGTTCAATTTGAAGATGTGCAGACCAAAAAGCGCGCCGCGGCAACAACGACAGAAACCAACCTAACTCAATCCAAAAAGAAGCGCAAGCGCGTAACTGCCGACGACTTCGAACGCCACCTAGACGATATCACCCTCCCATCAACCTGGGACCGCAAACTCCACAAGAGCGGCGGCCATGCAGTCGTCATCTTCGCCGACAAGCCCAGCATGGAAACCAGTCTGAAAGCCGCCACCAAGGCCGCCAAGCGCGGCACCACTATCGTCTGGGGCGAAGGCCTACCTACCGACCGTATCCCGGTTCTCGGACTGAACCGATACGTCGCGCACGAGCGCATGCAGTTCCCCGATCGGGGGACATTGCTGCGGGCGGTGAATGAGTTTATGACCACGTTCACGCAGGTGGCTGAGGCGCGCAAGCGCGAGGATCACAAGCGTCTTGCTGTACCCGACGAGGACGGATTCGTTACTGTTTCGCATGGACCGAAGTTGAATTCTGTGGCGAGGGAGGACGAGATGAGGGAGCTTGTTGAGAAGCAGAAGAAGAAGGGTGAGGGACTTGAGGACTTTTATCGGTTCCAGTCTAGGGAGAAGAGGAAGGAGAGACAGAATCAGTTGCTTAGGCGCTTTGATGAGGATAAGAAGAAGTTGGCGGAGATTAAGGCTCGGAAGGGCAAGATTCGAGTAAGTTTCCTCTCTCTTTCGGTTGGACTTTGGGACTGGTGGACTGACTCTTTACACAGCCTGAGTGATCTGGTGCATGATAGCATGGCGTTCTGGGTGTCTTTTTCGATGGCAGGATAAAAGGTTCGAGGTGTCCTATGTACATGTGAGTATTTGTTTTTGCGTTTGTTCTTTTCGTTCTTGTTCGCTCCGAGGATGAACACGCTGGGGCCATAGTAGCGAAACGCGCTTTGCCCGCTGTTATGCCATGACTGCAAACACCAGCATATCTATATCTTCTCGCCTTCTGAACTGGAGTTTATGCCTTGTCGGGATTTATTGTGGTTCTTGGTGTGACATGTGCTAATGGTTGTGAAAATAGGTTCGATACATACATGTTATCTCAATATCAATATTTTATGATCCAATTATATATACATATGTAGTTCAAGTCTGTATCATAGATGGTCAACCCGTTGTCTCTAATTCCGGATCTCCCGCACAGACCAACGCTTGGCGTCACCATCCCACCTCTGGAGAGACGGTACGTCTTACTATGGATGGGATTGATAGCTCTGCCAGAGTATAGAAGTATTCGAAAATATCGGAGACCAATCGCAACCATTGGCTGTATCATGTGATATTCACTCTCGGCTAAATTCCATTCTCCGAGCCTGAAGTAGAAGCTTCAGATGACACACGATATATCTTGAAAGAACAGCCATATCTTGCTGGCATACAGCACATTTTTGGAACATTTGTTGTTCCTCTGTTGTATCAAACCCTCATACAACCGGATAGTTTGATCACTGGACACGCATTCTATCTCTATCAAGAACAAATCACAAAATGTCCCCCGCCTCAATCCAAAATGATCAAGATACCGATTCCGACGGCGACGTCGAGTTCGAAGATGTCCCAATCTCTCTCCCAGCCAGATCCAGAAATAGGCAAGACACAGGAATTCAGATAGACATTCCCTCACGGCAACCACAATGGAGCCCAACTCTATCACTTCCGCAACAGCGCAGCCAACCTATCTCCTCCGGTTCCGAGGAAGAAATCCAGCTCCGAGGCCAAATCAGTACGGGGATAGAGAGAGTCACGTATCGCAAAATGAAATCCGACATGGGCATGGATGCACCGAACACACCCGTTTCCGAACGCAGATATGAGAGCTTCAAAGAGCTCGCTGCAGAGGTGGAAGGTCTTATTGATATGCTTTGGGCGTCGGCAACACGTGAGTTTTTATCTTCTACATGACGATGTAGCAGTGAGAACAGTATTGCTATATACTATCTTTACTATCTTCGTTTTCTCATCTCCTTCATCCATATGCATACTACATTCTAACTCACTCCTCCAGCGGCAATCCAAACCGAAGCCCTCATAACCCTAGCAGGCCTAACCCAGACCTCTCTCCCAGCCTTTCCTTTCGACGCCCCGCCAACCCTGCACATCCTCCACAAGTTTGATTGTGTCTTTGCAGCGCTATGTACAGGCACGCACCCACTCACTGGCGCCGTTTTACCCGGCGCCCAGCTGGGCCAGTCACTTGCGACGGAGACGCAGAAAGTGCGGATCCGGAGTTTGGCGGAGAGGACGAGATATGAAGTTTTTTCATGTTTGGCCAAGTCGAGTGAGAGAGTTAATGCTGGTGATGGTAATGGTCATGGTTATGGTGATGGAGATGGTGATGAGGAGGATAGTGGCGACGAGGTGGATGAGCCATGGATGTTAGAGGCTACGAGGGTTTACGAGAAGAGTCTTATGTTGCTTGCAGAGCAAGATCCTGATGTGGAAGGGGGAATGGACGAGTTTAACTGTTTGTAGTATTATAACTATCTTGTTGCCTGCTGGATTTATTTTATGCCCCATGAAGTGTGCCTGTTCAATAAAGAAATATATTTTTAGAACAGATCTCTTGCAATTACGTCGGTGCAATATACGAGACGCTCAGGCCACACACAAAGTGACCTCAGTTCTGGAGAAAGAAAAGTCCCACTCCAGTTTGCATTACATAGATATTATCCATTGCACTACATCCAAGATCTCAATATTCTAGAAACTTCTAGCTTTTATGGAGAAAAAAAAATGCCAGTGGGGTGCAGGGGCAAAAAAAAAGAGAAGATTATTCTGATACCATGCCAACTTGAATCAAGTAATGAAGTATACAGTAAGCGTTCCCGTACGTGGAATTCAGGTATCAGTCACAATCAGGGCTGAGACTCTCGTTGGTTCGAAGCAAGTGAACTAAGTGGATGTGAGCCCTGAAAGTGGGGGGGGCCATCGGGGCCAACTAGCCTGGGGCTGCGCAGCTCGGGGCTGCAATGACCAGTAGGATGTGCGAGGGTCATTTAGTGTATGCCTTGTATACTTGAATATGCTTTGACTTGTTTCGCCAGAACTTAGAACAGAGTGTGTGTTATGATAGGGTACATATGTACATCTGTGTGGGTGATATTTCCGATGGGAAGGTCTGTTTTCGATGGTTCGTGTATGTGGGTATGTTGAGATGATATAGAAGAGAGTGTTGAATAGTCCACATAGGTTAATTAGGGTTCGACCTTAAAGTACTCATACGACCATGTCTCAATATGCAAGGGTTGGATTAGCTTATTTCCCTTAGAATATCCCTTGCACATACCCCCTTCCATATCAAAAATAAGAAAGTGTGAACGCGTACCGCGTAGAGGGAAATAAAAGAAAATCTCTTCCAATACGAGCGGCCCCCCAAGTCCGGCCAATAACAGAAAACCGTATAAGAAGCCTTCCATGGTTCTCATGGAGCCCTTTTTTTCCTTCCTTTTTTTCTTTGGAATTTACCGGACAGGCGCGGCTTCTGGAGGAACAAAAAGGCGCTTGGGATGTCCTTGCAGCTTAGGGTACAGGACATGGATTAGAGAACCTTGCTTCGAGAAGATGAGCTGACAATATCAGCTGTCGGAGGATACGTGCTTGTATGGAAAGAGAATTACCGTATGGAGATGGTTCTACGGTTCCATGGTTCTCATCTCACCAACTTTCTACAAAATCAAAAATGTTGAACGTACATGAACATTTATACACAATTAGACAGAGTAGATCTTGTCTACAACGCCTTTTCACGTATAATATGAGATATCAAATGATGTGAAGACCCAACAAGTACTCCGTACCTGATGCCGGGGTTAGGCGAATAAGAAGATTACCTCAGCAGATGACGATGAGCCGACGGGATTTGACAAGTCACATTGCGAGGATGGCCACAGGTCCTTGCAGATTTCATGCATTGGGGCTTTCTGCCCCTTGTTCTGTCAATGAAATTGGCTCGGATTTTGTTCGGATGCTTCTTTTGTTTGTTTTTTTTTTTCTCTGGTTTTTTTTGTATCGAGTTGAGAATATGAAAGACGAAAAGAAGGCTGGGGTTGATGGATTACTTTGGTAGACCTCGGGTCATAGGCTATGATGTATCAAGTTCAATGATCCCGGCTTCCCGGGATCCTGGAACGATGAAGAATCTCAGCCCCGCATGATATCAATCATGCAGCGTTGACAGGAATCTGGGGAGTAGATAGAAGATGTTTATATGTATATATATATATATGTTGATAGGTTTTATATAGGTCCAAGCTTTAATAGGCAAGGCTGCCAGTGTATCTTATATAGAGTTTTATACATCTATTCAATACAGTAATGTATACTGTGTAATACAGATACCATACCTCGACTCACGTAATGCGTTTTTCCCACTTCCCCCCTCTTCATCTTCCTTCTTTTTCTTCTTTTTTCCCCCTCCTACCTTCCCCTCCCTTTTTCTTATTGTTCGAAGATCTTTTCAATTTTCTGTTTGGGAGTTCTGCTCTTGCCGATTACTCTTTTTTTCGCCTCGCGCATTGCCAGTGTTTTCCCAGGTTTTACTCTAGGTGAGTCTTTGGAGCCTTCGAACTATGCCTCTTCCCAGCGCAAGCGATCGCAAGCCTTTTTTTTTTTTTTTTTTTTTTGCAAGGGTGATTCGCCTGTTCAACTTCGCCTTGACCTCTTCGGGACAGCTTATCTACCGGCATGCTCAAACTCCCAATCGAATATGAGGAACTGGTCAGATCTGACCTGGATCGCCTGTGTTGGATTTACGAGGGTGGACGGTCGCATACGGACATCAAACCGGAATGACGGAAACGGTCGAACCTTGATGATTGCCTAGCATCCGAGTGGAATCAAGTCTATTTTCGTCTTGCGCACCCCCATTTTCGTCCTGGGGATTGTTCGTCTTCGGCCAATCCGCCCTCCAATCTACCATGTTATTGAGATGCTGCCCGAAGCACTGGTCTTGGCGATTTTTTGGCACCACTTTTTTTTGAGGCTCAGAATTCATATATGCGCCTGAAGAAATCACCTGCAAAATGCTGACTACTCGCCATCTCTTTTTTTCCTGCATCTTTTTTTTCCCACTAGCATTGCTTGCTTGCTTGCTTTGTTTGAGTTTCACTTCATTTTCTTTGCGCATGTCCAGATCTTTCTGAATTTAAGTGAAAATTGATATGATCTAACTTAATATCTTGAGCAGCCTTTCACGTCCGTCTCTTTGCTTGGCTTCGTTACGACTTGATCTTACGCCGGTCTTTCTTTAACGACTCCACGAAGTTCTAGTCGCTCAGCCATCTTATATTCTTACGTCGACTTTCCGGACTTTGATTCTTTGCAACCATGTCTTACAACAACGGCTACGAAAACTTCCCCCAGCAGGACCCTGCCGCCGCTGGCGCCCCGGCTCCCGTTGATACCAACATGACCGGCCAGGTCGACCCCTCCGCCGCTCAGTTCCAGGGTCCCCCTCCTGGTGAGCCTAACTCGGCCCCCGTCCCCCAGCAGGGTGCCGATGGCAAGACCACCCTCTGGATGGGTGAGCTCGAGCCCTGGATTGATGAGAACTTCATCCGCAACCTTTGGTTCCAGATGGGCGAGCAGGTCAACGTGAAGATGATCCGTGACAAGTTCTCTGGGTAAGACTCTGTAATCGTCATTCAATTTCCAAAATTGTTTCTAATGTGGGTAGTAGGAGCAATGCTGGATACTGCTTCGTCGATTTCGCTTCCCCTGCCGCCGCTGCCAAGGCCCTTTCTCTGAACGGCACCCCTATGCCCAACACCAACCGGGTCTTCAAGCTCAACTGGGCTACCGGCGGCGGTCTCGCTGATCGCAGGTAAGCGAGCATCTTATTCGTTGGTTCCCTCCCGGCCCTATAACTGACTTCGTCCCAGCCGTGATGACCGTGGCCCCGAGTACTCCATCTTCGTTGGTGACCTCGGCCCCGAGGTGAACGAATATGTCCTCGTTTCTCTCTTCCAGAGCCGCTTCCCCTCTTGCAAGTCTGCTAAGATCATGACCGATCCTATCAGTGGCATGTCCCGCGGCTACGGCTTCGTTCGCTTCTCCGACGAGAACGACCAGCAGCGTGCTCTCACCGAGATGCAGGGTGTTTACTGTGGCAACCGTCCCATGCGTATCTCCACCGCTACCCCCAAGAACAAGGGTCCCGGTGTGGGTGGTAACGGCGGTGCTGCCATGGGTATGCCCGGTCCCGCTGGCATGTACCCTCCCATGGGTGGCCCTCCCATGCCCTTCTACGGTGCTCCCCAGCCCATGAACCAGTTCACAGACCCCAACAACACCACCGTCTTCGTCGGTGGTCTGTCTGGCTACGTCACCGAGGATGAGCTCCGCTCTTTCTTCCAGGGCTTTGGAGAAATCACCTATGTCAAGATTCCCCCTGGAAAGGGCTGTGGCTTCGTCCAGTTCGTCCAGCGCCACGCCGCTGAGATGGCCATCAACCAGATGCAGGGCTACCCCATCGGTAACTCCCGCGTGCGTCTGAGCTGGGGCCGCTCCCAGAACAACTCCGGCCCCGCCGGCAGCCCCTACCGCCCTGCTCCCCCGCCGCCTCCCATGTACCCCTCCATGGGTATGCCCCCGGCCCACCAGTATGGCGGGTTTGCCCCCATGAAGGTGAGCGATCACCCTGGCAGCCCGATCCCGGATCAAATGTGAAACAGGCGGTCGGCTGACACACTCTTCCAGTAAGCGTTTCCCTTTGATTGAAAGCACCAGCAGGAGTTATTTGTGTCATTTCAATGATGATTCTATTGTGTCATAACAAATTCGTTCCCTGGTTTCCTGGCCAAGGCTATAGCTCTTGATGGGCATTTGTCTCCTGTGCTACGCATTTCCTTTTTACGTGAGCGCTCTTAGCAAGATCTGAGCTTTCTCCCCTTTGTGATCTGTCTTGTTCTTATGTATCTTTCCTTTTTCCTTTTACCCCCCTCTGTTTCCTCCCTATCCTCCTGTGTGCCCCATTCGTATCTTATTTATTTTTTTCGTTATCTTATTTTCGATGTCTCTCTGCCCTTATGCTATCGGGGTTTTCCCGCCACTGGGTCTTTGTCTGCGTGTAATGGAAGTCCGAATTGTCATGCGCTTCTTTTTCCCTTTATACTCCTTGGGCAGGCATTCTGCGAAAAGTTCCATTTCCCCCCACGTCACCACCTTATTTCCTTTGTTCTTTTTTTTTTTCTCTTTTCTTCAAGCAGCTAAATTGAATTATGTTCGCTTTGAGAATTTTTGCGTGTCCTTTTTTTACCCTTGTTTCTCTGTGAAGACTGATTGCCGGCTTGTACAACACGCTTGTTTCATGCGTCTCAGCGTTTGTCGATTCTAAATTCCCTTGATCGTATGCTACAATGTCCTGTACGCTCGTTTGGTGTTTGCATTGCACTATTGCCGTCAAGCTCCCATCTTCCTGGTATTGTATTGTCGGCCCTTTGCGTCTGGATCTTCTACCTATATAAACATCGTCCCTGTGGCTGGCCCCATAGGCGGAGGTTTCGATGAACTCGAGCATATCTGGTTGCTCTGGTAGTTGTCCTTAATTTGGTGTCGTGCTGTATTACTGCTGTCTTGATATCTTAAGATGTACTCTGGGGTTAGGACTGGACTTCTCGAACTTGACCTGATTGTGAGACAATTGTTCTAGATCATTGTAAACCTTTGAATTTCTGGGTGGACTTTATCTAGGTACGGCAGTGGCTTAATGTGGTTCTGTTGTACCAGGTCAAGTGCTGTTTCTTAGGGCTAACATTGACAAGTGACTTGTAGTCTATACCGCCTCTGATATCCCACTGCAATTACTGTACCGCCTACCCTTATTGAAGATACTACTTTGGGAAACAACGATGTTGGAGGTGACTTCCATTGTCTATACCGTCACTTCAACATGCACAATCCATCCATCTTCTTCAACCCACCTTGACACCATGCGCTACAGAAATTGGGATGTCCTTCTTTTCCCCGGAGGCTCAAAGGTCCCTATCCAAGAGTTCAAGACACAATGCTTTGTAACTAAAGATAAAGACTCGCCTTATCTACACAATGCAGTCTTTCTTGGCCCTCATGCACACCTTCCCGAGCAAGGTGTCTTCAATCAGCTGCCAGTCCTCACAACGTTCATCCCGAGTCTGCCCAAAGGCAATCCGTTCCATCTCTCGGTTCATAGTTGGGAGAAACCACGCCCCAGCGTCCAGATCGAGTCCAACATGGAGCCAGAGGATGTTTTACTCTTCGAAGTACGGCTCTTCATTGATGGAGTTGTTGTCGCGTGAGTAACCTACGAATGTGCTCTCCAGTGCTTTGGCTGGGCTGACAATGCCTTGCAGGGGGAGCATCTATGGACAGAGAACTAGTTGGCCACAGATTATAGGTATGTCGTGCGCACTTAGATCGGCGCATTGCCCTTCCAACATCGCTCTTTTCTTTACTGCCTCGCTGACATTCCTTTGGCAGATCTGAGTTCTAGTATGACATATTCCTACCCTTTCTTTGATTCCAGGGTCTCACCGTCCAAGCAGATCTCGACCGAGATGGAAACCAAGACGCCCTTCGATTCCCTCCCTTTCATTCTGAAATACTACAGCAGAAGCATTGGGATGCCGGAGATTCTCAGGGTAGAATCAAGGTTGTCATTGCGGAAGGTTTCTCTCGCCCTAATCGCACGCCCCCGTTCGAGCGATACAAGCATGTCATTGTTTTCTCCTTCCAGCATGCACCACTGGACGTGCTGGAATTCTCCGACATTGCTTGGCCCAATCCCAACATGTGGATTTCGATGCCCAATGGATCCCGGTACGGATCGGCAGCGAGATATGGTACATCGAAGGTAGTTGGCGATGGCGCCCATGGACATTCACCAAGCAAAACTGACAGACCCGAACACCGAATTCCAGTCACGGCTAATACAAGTAGTCAATCCAGCAGCAATGCTGCTACTTACAGCGGTAGTACCCCATCCACTTACAATGCTTGGACCCCTCACCGTGGGTTTCCCATTCCTTCCACGCAGTGGAACGGGTATCCACAAGAACCTCGATGGGATCCACAGGATACGTACAGCGTGGAACCTGGCATGGATGCTTTTATTGATGATACAGCATGGCGACAGCGTGGTGCTCGCTCCTCTCGCGAGGACGTCCCAATGCCAGATTATGTTTCCACAGGATCGACAAACAGCCGGGCTATCTCCAGCGTGACTGGGATGAGCTACGAGCACAGCAAGCAGCCCAGTGTCAATTCCTGTCTTGACGATGAGCAATACAACGAGCTGATCCAAGCTTTGACTCCAACGAAGGCACCTCCAGTGGGTACTCGCGCGCCCTCCAACACTCCCTCCACTGCGACCACCGCGACGTCTGCCCCAAAGCCTTCTGCTGCAGCCGAAGCTCGATCTGTAAGCTACAAGTCTCGAACCCGCCGTTCATCTGCACTCAGGGAGGTATCACAATCAAGCACTCGCGATGTTTCGGGATCGAGCGAGCCCAAGGAATTGAGTCCATCCAAGCTTGGCGCGAGTCCAAGCGAAAGAGTCCGGAGCAAAAAGGAGAATCAGAAAGAGGCCAACCAGGAGACTCCCAAAGTAAAGTCTAACGGTAAGGACATTGGAAAGGAAAACTGCAACTCCAAGGACGTCGAAATCGTGCTGGATGAAAATGAGTCGGATCTGTAGGATCGAGCTGGTCATGATCATGCTTTTCAACTTATACTTACCTACCCCCATTCACTTATTTCCGTTCAGACTTGACATGAAGTCGTCATGTATCCTTTATGTGAGCTTCAATCAATACAATTCTTACCCTATGAGGTCGACAAGCTGGATTCGTAGGGTTGACGGTCTGCAAATTTTGGTAGAGCTTGACTTTGCTGGACAAAGATCATAGCTTATGCATAGAAAGGCCCTCTGCGCAGGTTGTGCTTTCTCTCTTCTTTTTCTGTCATCTACGTAGAAAACTGACAGTAAAAGACATGCAAAAAGAGATGTTGAAGCAACATCTGGGAAGACTGCCGAGAAGACCACAAGAATAGTTCAGGGCACCGAACATATTACCAAAGGTCGCATAAACGGCCGACTATCTAATGGAAACGTCCAGTGAGAGCACGCAAATCGTGTTGCTCGTGTTGAAATACCAATTGATAGATATTAGGAAATAGGACTAGTTCAATTCGACCTTTCTAAGAATGCATCTTGTTACAAAAGATCAAGGGAAACTATGATTGATTCAGTCTCATACTATTTAAAGCCAGGGGGCTATCCCCAGCAAACAGGTTCAAAGATTCAAGAGACATTTCTGTCTCGGCAAGATTCGAAGTGCAATGAATCCAGCTTTTGGAAATGCCCTCAGAGTTCTCTTCATGCGGCAAGTAAAAAGAAAAAGGGTCACCAGAGTGCTGTCTCTGGTGGAAAAGGTCCAAAGATTTGGAGTTTGATGGCGCCTTAGGGCCACCCAAGGATTCAGAGAACCCATGCTTTAACCCTCAGTTATCCTCCGCCTCCCATCTCGGTGAACGCTTCGTCAGTAACCCCGGTGGGCGACCGTCCTATATCCTCCCCCTGTCAACCATCGGAGTCCTCCTCCTCTGGGACGAGGCCACGCCGGGTCTCAGATAGCCCATCCTTCACCTCCCCAAGGACGTGATACGCTTGCGCGCAGTCAGACGTCCAAAATGCCCTCAGAATCATCTTCACTGGGCACCCCACTCCTCTGGGACGAGGCCACGGTGGGTCTCAGATAGCCCATCATCCACTTCCCCAGAGACGTGATACGCTTGCGCGCAGTCAGACGTCAAGAATGCCCTCAGAATACTCTTCACGGGGCAGGATTTCCGGACGAGTACGTCTGTGAAAGAAGCAATGTCAGCCATATGTTGTGAAGGCCATGGATAGGTTGGACCTACCAATAATGTGTCATGATGGTTGTCTTAGAAGGTAGCCTGAGAGGCTGTCTCCAACCAAATGTCGAGACACAAATGTCTCGACTCATGGAAGCAGTCAACTTCCAGATGGGTGATAGAGGAGAATAGAATATACAAAGGGAACATACAAAGCGTGTCACAAGATGGATGATAGAGGATGATAGAGGATGATGGGGGGTGATGGGGGTGATGGGGGTGATGATGGAGGATGGAGGATGGAGGAGAGATGGAGGAGAGAAGATGAAAAAGAAGAGAAGAAAGAAGAAGAAGGGTATTTATAGGTGAGGTTCCTTCCCGATTAGGCAACGGAGCATTGACTATGGCCGACACCTAATACAGTAAAGAGATGACATACGTTTCTCGCTTATGATATTGAGACATTAACAGGCTATTCGATTGACTCAACACATTGACTTGCTATTAACTTGACTTGCCTATACTATCATTATTCTCGTAGGCTGTCTACATGCTCTCCCAAAGGGGATTCAGAAAACTGGACCGAGAAAACCGTCCATATATGGATTCAGATCCAGATTTTGAGACCAGGAAAATAACATGAAACGCATAACCATAACGACATCGAAACTCCTGGAATCTGCGAGGGTAAATATCCAAAGCCAATATCAAATCCGGTCACATCCCATCAACACAACAGCCAGAGCCACGAAGCTCTTGGTTCTTTCAAGTTCCTTTTTTGTGCCAGTGCCATTTCCCCCAAATCACTCCTGTGTCCGATTTCGGTGATATGGGCTGATCGGGGATATCCGGCTCTGATCCGAGAGTACAGGTGAAGTGGAGAGAGGGAAAGAAGAAGAGAAAAGAGAAAAGAGAAAAGACCATAGCTTATATAGCTTGGATGATAGAAGTAGAGAGGTAGAAGAATCCACAACCAGTGATACTGGTGATGAAAAAGAAGAAAAGAAACGGCCGGCATTTGTTGGAAAGTTGTTCGAGATGGATCAAAAGAGAGAAGATGGACAAAAAAAAAGGAAATCGGTGGGAAATGAAAGGGTGAAAGTGCACTGGATCAGCCATAGGGAACTGGACTTCATACTGAGAGTGTCAATGTTGCCCATACAGGCAAGGTAAAGCAAGGAATTAGGTAACCACATCCACAAGTAATAATAGTAATAATAGAAAGAAAGGAAGTGAAGCCAAGAAAACTCGTAGGTCACAGTGCACTAATCTCGAATACAGAAGCGCCCTGGGTCAGCCCAAGCAGTCCCTGATATCAGTTGGATGCTGGCTTTTTAGGACAAGCAAGGGGAGGGAGAGAATGCCATGAACAAGGTGCACCAACGCCAATCTCACAGCACACGCGCAGAACACACATATCCAGGTAATTGGGAGACAAGAAGAAAACAGAACAGGTCGAGTATCCGCGAAAACGCACTAGAGCAATGATCAAATGTACAAACAAGGGTATATCGGAGGTGAAGCACCTGAAGGACCGTTAAGACTTTTACACGTTCATAGGGTGTCACCGGCACCTGTCTCAACACCATCACCCGAATAGGATATACTGGGATCAAACCCAAATCCAGTGGCGTCGGCATCCGTGTTGAGGAATGTGTCAAAGTCGAAGTTCTCCAGAATGTCTGGATTTTCCAGTGCGCTGAAGTCAAGATTGAATGCGGAAGCCTTTGATGATAGTCAGTAAATGGATACTTGGAGGGGACGCAGAGGTAAAAAAACATTGAACATACATCAGGAATGCTGAGGTCAGTGAAAGATTGCTGTTGGTCAGGGGGCGGCTGCACCATGGTCTGGGGAGCAGATGCCGAGGTAGGCTGTGCCTGTTGAGCAGGCCCGTTCGCTCCATTCTTGTTATTAAAGGAGCTAGGATGTTGCGGCGTGACGGGAGTGGATGGGGTCGGCGGCTCTGCGGCTTCGGTGGATGGAGTCGCGCCTGCAGCCGCATTGGTAGCAGCAGCAACTTGTTTCTTGTTGGGTCGCTTGAATTCAAGTTAGCGGATAAAGAGCCTATAGCAGATAAGTGTATACAAACCTTGCGGGTGTCCTTCGTGTCCTTCTTCCCCTTTGGTGCAGCCTTGGTAGCCTGCTGGGGCGTTGGTGGCGCGTTGCCGGCTGTCTGAGGTGACGCGGGTTGACCACGACCAGCGTTAGGACCAGTGACAGGTGGCGCCGAGGGCGGAGGCATCGCGCTTCGTTCCTGTGGGGTTCCAGCCTGAGGCTGGTTCGCAGGTGAATGCTGCGGAGGCATCTGCGGTTGTCCTGGCTGCCATTGTCCGCTGGGCATACGCTGGCCGGCATTGGCCGGAATCGGCTGGCCCATTTGAGCTGCAGTGAAAGCAGGATTAGAGCTAGGAGGTCGCATATTTTGTCCATTGAAGTACTGAGCCGCCATGTCTGGGGGTATCGGGCCACCGTTGAGGTTCATAGATCCGGGTGATCCGCGCTGGGACATGTCGCCGGCGCTTGGCGACCCGGGAAGTCCAGTTGGAGGCATCTTAGGCGTGCCTCGTTTGATTTGGTCGCTTGGATTGGGAGACGCACCCGCCCTGCTACCCGGGGAAGTGCCTGGCGGTAAGACCCCCTGGCCGGGCATTGGGGGCTGGCCGTCAGCACGAGCCATGCTATCCTGCTCTTGACGAGCCATCATCAAACGCCGCTTATTCTGCTGTTCAAGCAGCATAAGCTGCATCTGATAATCTTGAAGAGCATGGTTACCATGCTGACTGCCAGGTGTCTGTAAGCTACCAGGTCGGACTTGGGCGAGTTGACCGTTCGCACCGTAGTACTCAGGACCACCGGCCATAGGATACATGCCTTGGCCATCCGGCATCGGCACCAGATCCGCCTGGTTCGCCATAACACCGGGATTCATCATGCCACCATTCGGGAGACCCTGGGAATTCGATGCTGAGCGAGAGTGATGAAGGGCCAAGTTTTGAGCATATACCTGCATAGATTTCTGTTGCGCAGCTTGTCCCTGGAACTGCTGGAACTGCGCCGGAGTCATTCCTCTCTGCATTCCATTCTGCATCATTATAGCCTGCTGGTTGGGCTGTCCAGGCATTCCTTGCCCCTGCACACGACCATTCGGTGCCAGCTGCTGTCCGTTGACAGCGCCTTCAAGACGTGGGCGTTTCGACGGCGAGGGGGCGTTGTCGGCGGACGCTGGTGACTGTGGTCGATGTCCACCCATCTCCATGTCCGGATCCCGTTGCATTTGCTGCATCATTTGCAAGTGTTGGGTCTTTTGGTACTGGGCCATTTGTTGTTGTTGTTGTTGGGAGCTAAAAAAAAAAGAAAAGGAAACTCATCAGCACGTCCACCACCAACTCAACACTCCGCATGGGGAAGAAAATATTCAGATAGAGCATACAGTCCAGTGGTGTTGTTCTGCAGCACTGTTTTCTGCAGGTTAGGAGGCACCATGCCACCATTCTGTCTCCGGATCTGGTTCATCTGGCCAGGCATCATGGGTTGCTGCCTCATAAATTGATTGTGTTGCTGTTCTCGCAGACGCATGAAGTTCTAGAATTCACGATTAGTCCATGGTTCACATCCTCGGAAGATAACCATTCACCCACCTGGTTGTGCTGAAGATATTGCCTAATATCATTGCTATTTCCCTTCTTGCGTTGAGCCCAGAAAAATTCCCAGAAAAGGCTGAACCAATCAAGGAGGAACGACGAGGGACTTTCGTTAGGTATATTGGGGCGAGGGAGATCATCCGGGATCTTGATCTTTTCACCATCCTTGCCATCGGTCATCATAGAATCAGGGTCCATACCATTGACGTCGCCATCACGCCGATTTCCGGGACTCGTCTTCGGATTATTATCGGTGTTGAGTTTGATGGATTCATCTTGCAAGAGCGCACGAGCGCAGTCATGGTACCCACGCTTCAAAAAGTAATCGTAGATATACGTGTTGAGGTTGTTGATCATGATTTCGGGGTTGTTCATAGCGCCGTCGTTACGAGAAGCCGTGGATCCATTGTTGATCATAGGAACTCCGCCTACTGGGCCCCCAGCCCCGGGGTTCATCCCGACATTCATTTGGTTCATTGTGGCGAACGGTGGGACTGCAGCCACCCTTGCCTGTGGTATCGTAAGAGTTTCAGATCGGATATATGAAGCTTCCGACGCGCGACCTCCGTTTCAGGCTATCAAGCCTAACGCGGGGTGATAGAAGCGACGCGTGGGAATGGATGCGGAGGCAAAGCGGTCAGCGCTTTCAAATATCAAAGGCTTGCGGGCTGGGCAACGCGAGTGCGTAACAGCGCAAATCAAATGGGTATATGATCGCGAAAAGTGAGGAAGTTCAAGATCACCAGTAGCGTCTTTTTCCGGATAAACCACGCGACAGGGTAGAAACGAGAGGATGGAGGCTCGGAGGCGCAGACGAAGTATGCTCGGTGTCTCTGGCTGGAGAAATTGGTGAGCGGTTGCTAGAGAATTAAACACTTCAAATGACCAGGTATAGGAGCAAGTGCGCAGTCTATACGGGTGGACGATGACGAAGATACAAGGAGGCGGAAAAAGCGCACAAGTGAGGTGGTTGGTATTGGGGGGCGGCGCCAGACACCCGATCGGGCAGAATCGCGGACAGGAGAGCACCAAGCCCGTATACAAAGAAAAAGGAACCCCAAGGACAAGAAACGGAAAAATAGCACCGATTAAGAATAGGAAAGGGGAGTCTAAGAAATGTGGATCTCACAGTGGGAGGAGGAGGACGGAATCAGTGAGAGAGAGCCGGGGGGGGGACGTACAGCGACAGGCGCTGCGCTCTGCGGGAGAATCGCTTGTTCGGAGCGGATCAACCTAGACGGAAGTCGGGGCTGGGGATGGCGCTGTCAAGCGTATTTCTGGGAATGCACCGATCTGATAACCATTGAATTTGCGGTCTGCGGCAAAGGAGAAGTAGGAGTCAGGTAAATAGTTGGAAAGAAATGAAAGATATATGTGGAAATATGGGTTTGCATAGAAAAATATAAGGGAAGGGAAAGTCAGAAGGGTGATATGATACCTGATGGGCCCTGCGATGGATCCCAGCGGGAGTCTAAAAAAGTAGGGTAAGCCACTATTTTCACGACCACCACGAAGGTTGAATACCAAAGGTCGATCGATTCAGAAGAATTGAACAAATTGAACAAAGAACCAATGTGGAAAGGTTCTGCTTAGGTTGAGGTTGAGAAAAAGATGGAAAGGAGGGAAATTCGATCTGTAAAGAGTTGAGGGGCGGCGGAGATAGTGGTACAGAACGGGTATGGTCTTATGTTTGTGACATACAGTACTTCACAAATACACTAACTCGCATGTTCCGTTGACCGCTGTTTACCTATGTTAGGAATTATTTACACTAGACCAGACTGCAGAGTTACATTACAATACATGTTTGGTTATGACCATACAGATCAAGCTCCTGAGCGGCAGACTCGCCGAGGATCTACACGTATAAAAAAGGAAAAAGGGAGATCATGCAATTTCTATGGACTGATCGTAACTTAAGCCCTAATTTCAACTATGAATCGAAGGCGTGAGTTCTTAAGATGTATATTTACCCCTATGCCAGTGATCAACCCGCGTGTAGAGGATACATCACAAAGCCTAATTTGCGAGAGAGTAAAAAAAAAAGACAGGTGTACAAAGTAGACTGATTATCGAAAGCAATAATAGAGGAAATCCATCCTCTGAAGAAAGACCAAGAAGAAACCCCGAAACGCCCAGTCTTCACATAATGTAAATGCAAAAGCTCCCGCAAGATCATTACTCTTCCTCAGGTGGCATCTCATCCTCAATGTATCGTACAAGGGAGACCCTCATCTCCGTGGTATCATCTCCACGCAGCACATCACTGACAAAGTGTGCCTCGATCTGCATTTGAACCTAAAAATCCGAGTCAGTGATCGGACCCAGAACAAGGGACCCAATCCGATTGACCAGGGTGCTAGTAGCTTACCATCTCCAGGGACCCTCGAAGGACGCCACACAGAATATTGGAGAACCATAGTTCGTCCTGAGCTCGTCCATCATCGGGAAGTTCCACAAAGTCTGCCAACGGGTTGTCTTCAAAGATAAGAGAGAATTGGGTGTTGTCACTCGTCCAGTTTGTGACTGTAGGTGTGACGTTCAAAAAGATCTTGAAGCCAACCTGATCGGAAGTGTCAGCCATCATAACGTTACTATATCCATATAAAGTAACTCTCACCTTCGCAATCATATCAGCTGTCTCCCGGAAATTGGCGCATCGCCCGACACCTGACTTGGCCAGGAAGTCTTCAATGAGTCGCATTCCGATATTGTATCCCATCTTGTCTAACTGTTTGTTGACATCCTGGTAGTTGCTATCGTAGTCTTGACATAATTGTGCGACAATTGTTCCGTAGGTTAATGTAACCAGCTCCGCATTGACTTTATCGACTCTTGTTCTGCGCATGTGAATAAAGCCGATTAGTTCAGGTTCGACGACGGGGATACAGCGAAGTCAATTGGTAATCGCTTCTCGGTTCCAGTAGACGTGCACTGGGGCTTACTGACTTCCATATTCTGTTTGAAGGTCACTGATTAGTACAAGATCCAATGGATAAGGCATCCAAGCTTTAGAAGTCCACCTACTCTTCTCCTATTCTTGAGGTTTTCGTAGATGACATCTCGGGGATTGTGATCTGATAGCTCTGGCTTTTGGTAAAATAGGAAAACAAGTATCGTCCAGACAAGCACGGGTTAATGTGACCGTCGAATGTTGATCAGGGTGATTGTGGGGAGTCCGTTGTTGGAGTTGCTGTTTGTACACAGTACTACGGCCTACGAAACCGACCCCATTGAACTTGGTTTGATTGGTTGTCTTATTCACCGCCTTTTTCTCCGCCCTTTTTAACTGATGCATTCACGGAGTACTGTGTACGGAGTATATATCTCTAGATGTACAGATACAAATTTGCCTCTAAAAATGATTACTCTTTTTGATCTCTTTCGCCCACGCTCAAATCCTAATGGTTGCTAATGGTGATAGTGTAAACGCCCACGGATTAGAGCCTACCACTCTTGTGTATTGGCAAGTCGCAGCAATCCCTAAGGGATTATCAAGGTCGAGCCAGGTCCCTTCCGGCCTACTCTTGTTATGAATTTCGACCCTTTTTGGCCATCTTTTCAATGGTCTTTGAGATTCTTTATCTGGTATTCTTTTAGATTCCCTATTCAGGTTGAAAGTTAGAAGCATAAAAGAAGTAGTCCTTAATGTATGTAATTACTCCAACCCGACTGTTCTATACACAATATATGATGTGACAGATATATTAAAAAGCAGATTTAGATAAAGGATTGAGGCATCGGAAATTCATATGGTCGAGTAACAAGGATTTAACTTGGAATATCAACTTCGATTTTCAACTCACAATTTCAGTGCGTTCAAATGTATATAATTCTCTATAGACTATATAGGCAAAATTTAAACTGGCTCACTGGCAGTGGTAGACTGGCTATCGGCTCATATTTACTCCGCAGAGTGTATGATATTTTGGTGAGTGGGGTATATTATATTCTGCCAGACAAAAATAACAATCAAGCCTGGTCGCTTTCGTCAACCGGAGACACAGCCCACTCACCGCCGAGAGAGCCTTCGGATTATCGTTCTTCCCGCTTCTCGCCCTGAACTTTTGCTCTCCACTACTTTCGCCCTAAGTCGCGATTGGTCACCACTCAATTCTTTAACGTCCCCAAACTCATTCGAGGTTCTTGCTGTGACAATGTCTGGTGAAAAGCGCCCTGCTCCAGAGGGCTTTGGGACCTCGCACCAGCTCGTGGTCAAGCGGAACAAGGCCGCCGAAAACGCAGGAACCGAGCTTGTGAAGGGTTCCTCCCAAAATGGAGCTCTCATTCAATCTGTACGCGCCAATGTTGCTCTCAAAGCTCAGGAGACTTTCACTGGATATGGCCAGCTAATTTAAGTCTACAGGTTCCTCGCACAAGTGGCTTAGATGCTCCCATCATGGAGCTCACGGGTGAGACTGTCGCCGATTCATTGCTATACACGCGCTAATACAAGGAACGCACTAGGCCACTCTGGGGAAGTCTTTGCAGTTCGATTCGACCCTACCGCGCAGCACATCGCATCTGGATCCATGGATCGCTCCATTTGTATGTCTCGCCTTTGTACTGCGAATCCAGCCGAATATGTTACTGATCGTGATCTGTGGAATAGTACTTTGGAATACATATGGACAATGCGAAAATTACGGCCAATTGACAGGCCACCGAGGCGCTGTGTTGGATCTTCAGTGGTCACGCGATTCGCGGGCACTGTTCTCTGCATCTGCAGACATGACCCTCGGAAGCTGGGATGTCGAGACCGGAGAACGAGTACGCCGTCACGTGGGACACGAGGAGATCATCAACTGCCTTGATATCAGCAAAAGAGGACAAGAGCTTTTGGTTAGTGGTAGTGATGATGGCTGTATTGGCATCTGGGATCCTCGGCAGAAGGATGCTCTGGATTACCTCCAAACCGAACTTCCCATCACCGCAGTAGCATTGTCCGAAGCGGGCAACGAAATCTACAGTGGAGGTATTGACAACACTATTCACGCCTGGGATCTTCGAAAGAAGGCCATAGTCTACTCCATGGCTGGACACACAGACACCATCACCTCCCTACAAATCTCACCAGACTCACAGACGTTGCTATCGAACTCTCATGACTCAACGATTCGCACATGGGATATTCGTCCCTTCGCCCCTACCAACCGGCAAGTGAAGACGTACGATGGCGCTCCTGTTGGACTAGAGAAGAACCTCATCCGTGCCAGCTGGGATCCCAAGGGCGAGAAGATTGCTGCAGGCAGTGGCGATCGAAGTGTGGTTGTTTGGGATGTCAAGACAGGGAAATTGCTGTACAAGCTTCCCGGTCACAAGGGCACTGTCAATGACGTGCGCTTCTCTCCCAATGATGAGCCCATCAGTGAGTATCTACCCTCTTTGCACACCAACAATTTCTAACCTTGTTCTAGTCGTTTCTTGTTCCTCCGATCGGAACCTGGTTCTTGGAGAACTGGGTAAATAAGCATAATGATAGGTATTAATGTTTTAATGAAGATCAGCGGGCGTCAAATTCATTTTTTCAAACATGCCATGTGCATCCGTTCCCAAGCTGGACGCTTGTGCTAAGTCAGAGAGCATCTTCAGTCGTGACTTGTCCGGCTATATATCCGGATCTATGACTTGTACAATAATTCAATTTCCAAAGGAATTTTTTGAATATTTCTTATCCACAGTCTCGATTTCTATGGGATATAGGGTTTGGATAACGTGAATATTCCACTCGGGATATTAGAACGTGGATGAGTCTGCCCGATCTTTCTTTCAGGGCGTTGACAGACTGTCGACTCTAAAATCCAGTAGAATCCAGTGAAAAGCATTACCGAACGGGAAGTAGACCACAGCCTGTACATCCATGGTTCTCTGAATTGCCCGTCAATCTCAGAACTTCATGATATTCTTCAGGATGCTTTAAACTAACTTCTTTTCATCCACAAAATCATAACTCGGCCTTGTGATCGCATAATGCAAAGTGACTGCAATATCCTCCCCGAACGTACTAGTTCGCGCTTCACTCCAGACACTCCATCAGAGGTCGAAAATGGTCCACATGATTGGATACTTGCAGTATAGCCGCACTTCCTCTCTTTGTCTCTTCTAAGACAGACACACACACACACACACACAGACATATATATATATATATATATATATATATATATACACGCGACCCCTATGCTTTGCTGGCTTCTATCATAGTGATTGCCCTCGTCTTCGCAGTAAGTGAGGCCGCACTATGGACTATGCTCGGATTCCTCGTCTCATTGGGCATCCTTCAACTTTTTGTTTATGGCGTCGTTGGTCTGTTTCCAAGTGCTATAGCACCAGCCATACATGTTAGGGAAAGGGGAAAGACGCAAGGCTAATATGTGGCTGCAAGATTATTAACAACTCCTCGACTGTTCAATCTCTTTACGCTGTAATCTAGGTAGCGGGTGTAATGCAGACATGAGGTCGATATAGGACTTGGGACAATCCAATCTAGCTAGATCGAGATATTTTTAATGCACCGTGGACTAGGCCTTGCTTCGAAGTCTGCTCCAATATGAAATGATTGTAGCATGATTTCCATACGACTTTTTCGAATTAGTGCATGGAGTAGGCTTTCAACAAAATGGCGGCCTAAGTATCCACAGCTCTCTGAATTGTTAATACAAGGCTTCAACTTCCAGTCTCAATTGAACTTCACCTTCACTCATTCAACTTCTTGTTTCATCCCGCGGTCTTCTCAGGGGTATCATCTGGAATAATTTCACTTGTTTCCTGTTCCACCGGTTATATTGGAGCAAGATGCATCTGCTACAAACCGGGCACTGTTGACATCTTTTCCACGGTGTTTCTATCTTATGTTTCCTGGGCCTGAGGTTTTCTCGAATGTATTGATACCTTTTCTCTTTGCAATCAATTCATGGCGAGTAATCAACACATATATGTATATCCATGGATGTAGTAGGTAGCTCATGAATGTACCTTAAAGGGCAGTCTTGAACTTCCGAGGCAGGAGCGACTGGACTCTGGAGTCGTTGACCATCTTCCTCCACCCGCCTTTCTTCCCCCGAATCCCCAGGAATTGCAAGATGTCCTTTCTACCGAGATCTACTTTCGGGGTCCCCCATTACTCCCAGATAGAGTTTGTCAACGAGACCATTGCCACGTACCGCAACCTCCACTTCGTACCCAATGTGAAGCCAGAATCGGAAAAGTGGCACCCGCGTGTTGACCAATGCTGCATCGTCATTCTGGCAATTGCTTTGATCGGTGAGTCTCACATCGAATGCTGCAACTTATGGAAGCTACTTGAAAGCTTCGTTGGCTAAGTTTTACGTAGATCAACGTATCCACGCCTCCAGCGCCATCCACCTTACCTTGTTGCTCTTCCAAGCTTTCATGCTCTGTGTACAATTGTATTGCGTGGCGAGATCGATTTCGGCATACCGACGTGAATTTGATGAGCGAAAAGGCCGTGGCTACGATCTCTTCGTTGGACCAAAATACACGCTCACTCTACCCCCATTGGATCATGGTTCAGACGTTGAGGGATATTCCACTGATCCTGAGCGAGTAAGTGTTCCTCGATATGGAGAAAAAAATCCCTGACGGATAAGAGAATGGTGAGTTGAAGGCCCCATGTTTTCAACGTATCCATGGATGTCCTGTTGCTGACAGATGAGCTCACAGTCCGGTTTGATCTTGAGTGATAAGCAAAGAATATGCTCGAGGCGTCTAATTGAATTTCGGTTTTATACATGTATCTATATGGCATGGACTAGTCGGATTTGATGAGGGGACAACAGCCATTATGGTCTCGGTCTCGAGGAGGGCTCTCATATCGACGACATTTTTTCAATTCGGAGTGTATCTGTTAGTCGTCTTCTTAGGGTCTACCCATCGGTCTTAGCTGGAGAACAAAAAAAAAAAATACAATTATCTCAATCTATATGACCTTCTATCCAAGATACCATGCCTCATGGGGCTCATCGTGAAGTTTCAAGGCTTTCATAGCATAATATTGACCCTACATATCCACTTTTCGATGGCGAAGTGTCTGGCCATATCAAGTTCTATCTAAGTATTGTCAATCCCTGGGACTTTCACGGGAGATATATCCCATAACATGCTACATGTAGGCAGCGGGCGATTTGGAGAGCACGATAATATACCACAACCACGCTAGTTCGTCTTACTTGTAACAGGATGGTCTTGTCGGATATGTTGACGCATATTTCATGTACAGCCAAAATGGCTATGTTTGCTACATCTTATATGCATTGTACCACCATAGACCAGATATCTCTGCTATGGGTTTGAGTAGTTTCAAACACATAGAATATCAGTATCTATAAGCGCTAATTTCAAACTAATATTCAAGTCTTCTATAAGCTATGTTCAACCCTTGCAGTATGGGGATGATGCAATAAGCGGGCCAACAAAAAATATTCCCCAGAGGCTTATCTGGCCGATTCCCCCGATCTTCCCACTCCACAAGCCCCGAGGGCCGTACATCCCATTAGACCTGGCTCTTCTCGGAGGTCTTAAATAAAAGGCCATCTGGTGCCCATGACCCACCCCTACGGCGAGATCTGCTCGAAGCGCACGCGACGGAGGTGATGTTTAACCTCCGCTCCGCCTGGATGGTGGTTTGGGCCATCTTGTTATGGCTCACCGTTGTTCATGGCATGCAAGATAGCCAGGTCAAGGGGCTAAGGTATACATGCCCTCATTCCTCTTCAAAGCCATCCAAAACTAACCCACCCCTGTCTATCCGCAGACAAGAAACTGAGCGCATGTTCTTCCATGGCTTCGAGAACTACCTCCAATACGCGTTCCCCGAAGACGAATTACGTGCCCTGACATGCGGCCCTCTTGCTCGCGACGAGAAAAATCCGGAGAACAATGATGTGTTGGGAAATTATTCTCTGACTTTGATTGACAGCTTATCGACGCTGGCCATCCTGTCCTCAAGCCCGGACAGTGGGGAGCGAGCCTTGGCGCATTTCCAGGATGGTGTCGAAAGTTTTGTTAGGCTGTATGGCGATGGCTCGGACGGCCCTGCTGGTCAGGGTGAGAAATCGAGAGGATTTGATCTGGATAGTAAGGTACAATTGTTTGAAGTTGTGATTCGGGGACTGGGTATGATTTCTTCTCATTCATGGCTTATCGATCCATCACATGTGCTCGATTACCGGGTTTCTGTGTCCTACTGCTAACGTGTCTTAGGCGGATTGCTCAGCGCTCATCTTTTCGCCGTCGGCGAGCTACCTATCACCGGATATGAGCCGTCGGAACGGGACGCTGCCTTCGCCAGCGCTTGGGATAAAAGCATGTTCAAAAAAAATGACCACGGCATTCGATGGGGCAATGGGTTTATTTATGATGGCCAACTGCTTCGACTTGCGGTAGATTTGGCCAACCGATTGCTCCCCGCATTCTATACTGAGACTGGCCTTCCCTACCCTCGGGTCAACCTGCGCCACGGGATCCCCTTCTACGAGAATGCACCTTTAAATTCCAATGTCCGGGGTCCTGATGGCAAGCCCAAATCCAAAAACCCGGCATCTGAGCCAGCTGATACTTGTAGCGCCGCTGCAGGCAGTCTAGTCCTCGAACTGACCGTTCTGAGCCGACTCACTGGTGATGGACGGTATGAAGACTTGGGTAAGAGGGCGTTTTGGGCAGTCTGGAATCGTCGGAGTGACATAGGACTGCTTGGATTTAGTATCGATGTCGAGACGGGGAAATGGGTTGGACCATGGGCCGGAGTAAGCAGAATTTCCATCATGGCGAGTGCAAGCATAGACTAATTATCAGCAGATTGGCGCCGGCATCGACAGCTTCTACGAGTATGCCGTCAAAGCCTATATTCTCCTGTCCGAGGGCGAGCGTCTGCCTTTCAACATCGATAGCCCTTGGGCAGCATTAGACTCATACTATGCTCCCCTAACGGACTACCACCACACCGCTAAGGCCTTCCGGCAAGTTTGGGAAGAATCACATACCGCGATCAATCGCCACCTGTTCCGGGGCGAAGGTTATCAACATCCCCATCTTATTGTAGGAGATGTGATCACCGGTGCCACTCGAGCTTTCTGGATCGATAGCCTGAGCGCTTTCTATCCAGGAGTCCTTGCTCTAGATGGAAAGCTAGATGAAGCTATCCAGATTCATCTGCTGACTACCGCCATCTGGACGCGCTACGCGGGCATCCCTGAGCGATGGAATGTGGCTACTGGTGACATCGACAACGGTATGCCATGGTATGGAGGTCGGCCCGAGTTCATCGAATCCAACTACTACATTTATCGGGCGACTCAAGATCCTTGGTATCTGCATGTTGGAGAGATGGTTCTTAGCGACCTCAAGCGGCGTTGTTGGACCAAATGTGGCTGGGCAGGCATTCGGAATGTTCTGACTGGGGAGCTCATTGACCGGATGGAGAGTTTCTTCATTGGAGAGACTGCCAAATACCTCTACCTCCTGTTTGACCAGGACCATCCATTGAACACTATCGATGCCCCCTGGGTCTTTAATACTGAAGGCCATCCTCTCATCATCCCCAAAAAGAAGGCAACCATGTCTCACCAGCAGCAAACCCCACCTCGGGGCCAGGAGGTTGCCGAGGGAGTATGCCAAATTATTCCCTCTCCATTCTTCGGAGTGTCTTCCACTGCGTCCCGCTCAGACATCTTCCATGCTGCTACCTTGGCACGCCTGGATCTGATGCCTGATCGAGGGGTGGCCGCGAGTCCTATTTTGGAGCACTCGCCTGGACATCAAAGTGTGTTTATGTCTGACCTCACATCACCAACCAATTACACATTCTACCCGTGGACGCTGCCACCTCAACTGGTCCCATTCGATGCCACCAGCGCACCTATGGCCGTTCGTCCTACGCTCGATATCTCATTCCCGTCACTCCCAGGCGGGGTAAACATGGGACCTGGAGCGCTGGAACGTGTCCGAGACGGGGTACTTGTAAAAACAATTGGAGGACTCCGGTTGAGTATGGTTCAGGATGTACGGTTGGATACCCCAACCCCTACGACTGGGGAGGAGGAAGACGGGTACCGGGTACAGGTGATCAACAATGTGCCATTGGGCAAAGATGAGAAGGTATATCTCTCTCGCCAAATCACCTTTGATGTCGTCGATCCGTATGATCCGAATTTCACCCGTGTTCGCGACAATGCCATGCTTGACCTCGTCATTGACGTTCTCCCAGAGCCCTCTCGCCGACGTAATGATTCGGCTCATCCACGAGATGAAGAATCTCAACCAGATAATCCTCACCCGCCAGAGCCCCGTCTCGGAGGCCACAGTCCCGCCTCTTCGGTCAACGATGCCGCAATTGTTGACTCCCCGGACTCAACCGTAAGAGCCATGCTATCGTCTCTGATGAACTCGGTGTCGTCTTTGCTTCACAGCGAACCGACCGAACCTGCTCCACTCAGGTTGAGTCTCCCCGCTGCTATTGCTACAGGCATTGGGGCTAGCCCGCTTCCGGATGTTGAAGATGCAGTTACCATGTCCTTACTCGGCGGCCCATCTAAAGACCGCCTATCGTGGTCAAGTATATACTTTGCCGGCGAGCTTTGCACCGAAGGAATTCGCCGTGAGGTCGCCCATCAGCACGAAGTTCTTGTTATCAAACGTGGTGGCTGCACCTTTTCGGAAAAGCTTCGCAATATCCCCGCATACCGACCAACGCGATCCGCGCTGAAGTTAATTGTCGTCGTCTCATACGACGATATGCCACCACACAGCTTTCACGGGCAGAAGAAAGAATCAACGACTCAGTCCGGGTCTCGCTCTGCGCTCGCCGCCGTCCGCGCCGAGTCCACTCTCATCCGTCCACATCTCGACGAAGCTCAGATGACAGCCAGCGGCATTCCACGAAATTACCTCATCAGCATGGTCATGGTCGGCGGTGGAGATGAAACATATGAGCTCCTGCGCCATGCAAGCGGCCTCGGAGTCAAGAGACGATATAGCATGCGCTCTCGCGGCGTCCCAATCACGAATTTACATATTGTTTGAAACATTCACACAGATATAATATACCCTTTTGGAAGATTTTTGGAAGATTGTCGGATCATTTGTGGCGCGCCTGTTTTTTATGTTTCGGAGATGTACATAGGTTTTTAGACTTGAATATAGTCAAAACCTCCAGCTCATATGAATCGAATTGGATTCATTCGACAAATATGCATTCTCTATGTACAACCCACATGCAATTCAAAGCCTCGACTTCTTCTCCATCTCAATCTGAACCTTCCTCCAAGCCTCCACCCCCCTCCTAGCCGCGGTCTCAGGACTAACGCTTCCATCCTTCATTCTCCGATCAAAAACCTCCATAGAAACCCACCCCGTAAATCCACCCTCAACAATCCACGCCCTGGCAATCTCCACAACAGGCAAATACGCCCCAAACTCAACCTCCAACGGGAAAGGCCTCGCATGCTTCGACCAAGTAAACTCCTTCGCCTCACCCGGCAACGCCCACGGATGCGCCAACGAATAAGGCATCTCAAAGCGCTCCGCATCAGAAAGCTGCACATAGAAAATCTTCTCCCGCGGACAATCCCGCACAAATCTCCTCAGCGAATCCCGCAGCTTTGTCTCTGCATCCATCTGCAATCCCGTGGGGGAAGCATTGTCCCCCCACAACCGCGTCCCTTCATGGAATGTATCCAGACATAGCCCGAAATTCGGACGGTCAACCCGCTGCACAATTGATAATGCGCTTTCCCAGGTTGAGCAGTTCGTTCCCCATGAGAGCGGTTCGTAGGCGATTGATACTATCGGCTTTGTGGCGCTGGCTAGGTCGGCGAGCTGCTGGAGGTCGGATATGATTGTTTTCTCATCGCGGGTGCAGTCTAACGTGTAGATTGATGGAACTTGGAGGTATGGTGCGCTTAGCAGACGAGCTATTTCAAGCCAGTGCTGGGCGAGGGTGAGTCTTTCTTTTAGGGGGGTCGATGAGCCTTCGTAATTTTCCAAGGGGGCTAAGGAGAGGACTTGGAGGTTGGTTTCCAGACACAGAGTGTGGATTTTCTGGGCTCCAACTTGGATGGAGATGTTTTGATTTTTGCTATAGGTGAGAAGGTCGTTATAGACTATTTCGATTCCTGCGATGCCGACTTGGGATGCGGCGCGGATTTTGTGGTCGAGTGTGTGGCCTGGGTATTGGCTTATGGAGATGCTGGCGATTGCTAATTTGTTGGAAACCATCTTGGGTTTTCTGGAGTTGAATATTCAATCCTCGATTTGCTTCTCCGGGGGTTCGATGTTGATATATCAAATACAGGCGGAACTCGGTTTCCGATGATCTACCACAATTGGCCATGTTACTGTTCTGTATATATCGGTCATTGATGACCGACTGTGAGGTGATCGTCATCTTGGACCTATAGATCCGGACTCAGGCCTTAGGTGCTAAATATAACATAATATCTTGAAAGTAGCAATAGACACACTAATTCGAAGTCGTACCATAATGAACACAGCGGGAGTTACTCGTATATAGGTAATATCACTGCTGGAGCCTACCCGCAAAGCTTTGAGGTCTTATATGATAGTATCTCAATAGTGGTTTCTCTATTCTTCAAGGCAGATTTGGTTGAGATTGTTCTATTCGCCAGCTGGAGATTATTGTCAGGCTTAGATGGTTTGGGGCCACGGAAGCTATATTGTACATGAAATCAGTATTCAAAACCATCTGTGAACAAGAATTTAGGATATTAATCTCAATTCTCTATGCATTCAACCTGGTTTGTACGAGGTATCCCGTAATAACCCTTCGGTCATGACAAACTAGGTGTACTCCTATTATACTAACCTGCAGAGACTACCTTCCAGTTCACGTCTATATATAGCTCAAGTTCATTGAGATTATTTGAGATAATTTTCACACCGGGATTAACGATCTAGAATACCTGAACAGATGGGTCCGTGACAGGAACGATTATTGCTCTATCTAATTCACAGCTCTGTAAGCCCTATTCCCCGGCAACTACTCTTGATTGGTTCGGGGGATCGAAGGAACTAATATGCGCATACAATACCCTCATATCCAAGCGGGGGAAGAATGCATTAATTGGCGCATCCTTTTGATTGATCTTATTGGAGTATGGGGTACATGGAGTACAATATACGAAGTAGCTCGTGCTTAGCGCGTTCATCTCGGCTGAAAATATCTTGCTCGGGCCTTAGCTGTCAGTGTAGTTTCATGCCTTGTCCATTTCACACCGTATGAATACCTGTGATACCTTGTCTGAGAGCGTTTTGCCCGAACAGTATGGTGGCCGCACGGAATCACCCATTTTGCCACCTTGGCCTTAATACAATTGGCTGTGCTGTCAATACGATGAACATCCCTGCAATTCTCGGTATTTTCGCTATTACAGCCATTGGTATTACCGGGCTCAGCGTGGTTGTTCTGAAGATGATCAAGCTGAGTATTCCGCGAGCAGATAGAAGTCTGTAAGGATAGAGCAATGTCGGGAGTGTTCTGACAATTTACTGGTCGTTCTGCCGCAAAGAACCTGTGGATTCATGAGCCATTTAAATGGCTTCTTTCCTGGTCAAATTAGGCCATGTAAGGCCGTATAGGACGAATAACAGAGGGTGGCGGCTCAGTTGTATATGCCTAAAAGGACAGTATAGAGAGCTAGAGAGTGAATCTAACCGAGGACCCTAGAGAAGATCATTCTATAGCTATTTACCTATTCACCCCCTACCTATTAAAATCTACGCTTTTCACTCTATAATATTTCTGATCAAGTATCCAGAGAGGTTCCTTTTCTAATATCGTTCTGAGCTATACAAAAAAGAAAACAAATGGGAGATATGTAGATCCTGATGTTTAGGCACAAAATCGGGTGTAGGCTTCTAGTTCCCTTTGCTCTGGACTCATTCCCTTTTATCTTTTCTCATCACCTTTTCAAATTCTTCACATTCTTCCACAACACCGAAACAATGCTTTCCAATTCAATTGAACCAGCAGAAAGACACACCAAACTGCCAATACCCACCCCACCAATCACCAAATCACCCCAATATCCAAAATATCTCTACTTCGCCTATGGCTCCAACCTCTCCCCAGCCCAAATGAAATCCCGCTGTCGCATAAACCCCGCTCACTCCGCCACCCCACTAGCAATCGCAACCCTGCCAAGCTGGCGCTGGCTAATCTGCGAGGCGGGCTACGCAAACGTCCTCCCACGACCGGGTCTGCGTGTCGCGAATCAAGACTCCGAGACCGCACATAAGATCCCCGTTTCCGGAGCTGAAGACGCGGTCTACGGTGTTCTTTATCAAATGGATATTGGGGACGAGGAGATCCTAGATGGCTATGAGGGGGTTGATACATGTGCGGCTAATGCGAGGGTTGGGGATGGTGTACCCATTTCTGTTAGGCCTAAAGTGCAGGGAAATGGGTCTTATAATAAGTGGTTTGTTGAGGCAGATGTTGTGAAGTGGTTGGATGGGGCGGAGGGGGTTAAGGGGCTTGGAGATAAGGAGGGAAAGGTGCCGGTGTTGGTTTATGTTGATGAGAATTGTGTTAGGCTTGCTGAGCCAAAGTTCGAGTATATTGCGAGGATGAATCGGGCTATTCGGGAGTCGGTGAAGTTGGGAGTTCCCATCAGATGGGTGGAGGAGGTAATGAGGAAGTTCATTCCTAAGGAGTAGATCACTAGATTTGGAGATACATAGATTGATAAGATCCCTCTACCTAGGTAGATCTCAATCATCGGTCACGTCATGTTCAATTCCTAGAAAGCTACTCCATTAAAATATATGTGATTAGCCATTCTATACACATGTCAAGTTGCATTGATGAAAGCTATTTGTCTATATTGGATATTGTCCGGGCAGCTCTGCGCCAGCTGTGGCGGGTGCCGTCGACCAGCGAAACGAGGCTCCAGACTCGAAGTTCGAGTAAATTGTTTGAGGCCCGGGAGGAGCGGATGACGCTCACCGCAATATCGGGTGTGATCGGACTTTTGAAAAGATGGGGTCATTATAATCGGCAGTTGAGATCGTCGCGGAATGAGTTTTTTTTGGGGGAAGCGGTGTGTATAATCAAGCCTGGCCAGACAGGAGAGTGTAAACCGGCGCGGGGAGCTTGTCGCGTCCGTGGAGGAACTCAAGCTCGAGAAGAAAGAGGAAACCGAGGAGCTCGCCGCCCATCTTCTGGATCAGCTCACCACCGGCCTTGGCAGAGCCACCTAAAAATAGTGTCTTAGTATATGAAGGAAACACTTGGAGATTCGTATCACATACCAGTAGCAATAATGTCATCAATGACGAGGACCTTCTGGCCGGGCTTGATAGAATCGGACTGCATCTGGAAGAAATCCTGGCCATACTCCTTCTCGTAACCCTGGGTCTCGCATGGACCGGGGAGCTTGCCCTGCTTGCGCACGGGGACGAAGCTCGCACCCAGACGCAATGCCAAGCTGGGACCCATCAGGAAACCACGAGCCTCGAGGCCGACAATGACATCGGGCTTCTGGCCACCATAGTTGGCGATAACGTGAAGTTCCAGGGAGCGAATCAGGGCCTCATGCAAACTAGGATCGGCGAAGATGGGCAGGATATCCTCGAACAAGATTCCCGGAGAGGGGAAATCCGGGAACTGGCGCAGGGCGCCGCGCAGTCTTACCTTAAGACTGGCGAGTTCGGCGGCGCTGGTGGCATCGGAGGCGGGGAGTCCGACTTTGGAGGCATCTGGGAGAGTGGAGGACATGATGAGAAGGGAAGAGAAGGGAAGAGAGAGGGGGCAGAGGCTTAGAAGTAAGAAGGTAAAAAAAAAATAAAAAACAGAAAACGTTTAAGGAGGGGAAGAAAAAAAGAGGGTAAAATTACAAGTTGATAAGCAGATAATGGGTATTTTGCCCCTCAGGTCTAGATCGTTACGGGTTTTTCGGTTTTTTTTACTTTGATGTTTTTTATCGTACTTGATTTTCTATATATGTATTTTATTAGTATACCGATCTATATGACCTTAGAGGATAAGGATTCATCTCTTCTTGGTATAATACCTCAACCCAAAATACTGAAATTGTTGCATCCTCCAGAGAACACATGCAAAAACTAATATACTGACTAGTCAACTATAGTATACTTACTATACTCGTACGGAGGAGTTCTTAGATATGACCCAACCAGGTGAGGATCTGCGAGACCCTAAGTGATTAGCCCCGTAAACTAAGTGCTCAGTCCCCTCATCGTCAGGGACGAATTGTGTCGCAAACTGATACCACTCATTCGTCATCCCTGACACTTGTGTCCCGGTTCCCCAGAAGCCTAGACTGTTGGTCTGGAGTTTATTGTTTGAGAGGTCCAAAAGATAGTAGACCCCGACTGGCACCAGACTATCCAGGTATCTTCATAAATGACTCACCCTAGGTTTTGCCTAGACCGGGGATTGAGACTCACATTGGATCAGACCATCTTTCAACACCCTGTAGACTTGACACATCGTACAGCCATTACACCTAGCCCCGGCCAATGGAATGTCTCAAGCCACGACGTGATCTGAAACTCATCACAGTGGCTTTACAGAAAACAATACATGCGTGCTGCATACCGGGATGTCTGTTGTGCAGATAGTGGGGGATATTTGTCCGTCTGTGTCCGTGTTTGCATAATGATCCATCGTTTAGGCTGTAAAATAAGCAAAAGTACGAAAAGGAAGCATCTTTGGGGGGGGGGAATAATAATTAATTGCTTCTACGTCACAGTTCCAGAAAAGAAAAATAAAAAAAGGACAAAAAAAAGAAATCTCAGGTTTGGTTTTTAGGAATAGCCGAACGCGGGGGTCGAACCCGCAGCCTTAAGATTAAGAGTCTTACGCTCTACCGATTGAGCTAGCCCGGCCGGGCTGTTGGAGGAAGCTGTAGCATAGTGCTACATAAGCCTATAATAGAGTCCAGTAAAGTTCACGGAGATATTGTGGTTGCCTCTAAAGTTGGCCGGTATGCAACATTCTACACATAGTTCTGCTTCTCTATTTAGATTGTAAATGTAGTGATCCATGGCCTCAGCGTTTGCCTGAAGTGTACCGTGTAGTATACATATACATATATATATATATACTGTATCATGGCCATTCATCAACGAGCGTCGATTTGGCAGGATTAGAGATATACTCTAACTAGCATTACGTACCATGCATAAACCAGAAGCTCTACTAGGAAAGTCCCAAATGAATGATATCTTCCATCAAGAAAGTAGATATATATGTACACACATACAACCTACACACGTACATCGAAGTATACTTGGCCTCGGCCCAAGCCTAAAGTGGCATAGCCCTCACATGATCAGCACAGACCACCTCGCTTCAAGTTTTTCCGGCCACCCCGTCGCTATAAATCGGCCTGTTTTCCTCCTTTCCATCTCTCATGCTTTTGAAGTTTGAGCCTCGACAGGCCACTTCCATCTCAGATTAATTCTTTCTGATACCCTGTAATACATCTGCTCATGTCCCCCGCCATGATTGCTGAGATGCAGCCGGATCTGCATCATGACCAGCTTGAGGCCGTGGGCAAAGCCTTCGATGCGCTCCTACTAACTGTGTACCAACTGACTCACAGACAAAATGAGCTGTTGCAGCACATGGATAATGTCTTCAAAGAGGTAAATCTACACCCCCTTTCCCTCCCTCTACTTCCGTATACTGGTCTCGCATGACGAAGAAAAGCTCTAGATCAGGAGTCACTTTTGTGGCGATGACGGATTAACATGTATTATCTGATTGAGACCTTGGATACCTTGCTTCTATGCATATGACAAAGATAAGCATTGCTGACTTTGTATCTTGCAGTACACACAAGTGATAGAAATTCTGCCTCCTCAAGATAGACATCATGCACAGGACGTTCAATTCAAGCTGTTTGCTCAGCAAGAAGAGTACCGTCAGGGCCTCGTACACAGCAAGCCTCGAGTGGCGGAACAACCGTTGAATTCCATGGATGTAATCAAGACACTCGTTGCGCATCAAAATGTAGACGAAAATACTTTCTCGGCCATCAAGAACGGCGTCAAAGGGTGCAAATCTCTGCTCCGTTCTCAAGATAGCCTGTCCCAAATATCATCCAACTCGTGCATCCTCGCGCAAGCACCGGCTCCAGCAATTGCGCTGGAGAAGGACTTCACAACGAATGGCACCCAGGGAAATCTACAGTGTCCGTTCTCCAAACCGCATAAGATGAAGAGCACAAATGGCAGTGAGGCTCCCAGTGGGAAAAACTCTGCGCCGAAGATCCAGATCGAAGCCACCTGCGGCCACGAGCATCTGGACCCTATCAAGGCTGAACAAGATGAACGACGATCTAGCCACACCTCATCAGCCCCATCATCCAAAGGAGCATGCCCCGTCTCCCGATGCCCGATCCGATTCCTCGATCAACACTCGCCCGAAGAAATCGCCGAATACGTCGAACGACACAAACATGAGATACCCCGCAGCCATGCAATTTGCGTGAAGCGCTACCAACGAAACCCTCAGGATATGAGACATCTGGACGCCAAATACGGTGGCTTGACCAGCATGATCGCTGGCCTAGGTGTCAAGCACCAAGCCTTCCTGCCTGACCGTCAGACCAACGGCGAAGACCACTCCTCACGTTCTGCGTCGACCGAACGTGTTGAGAAATGGGCCGACAACGTGGACCCCAATACATCCATCGCTGAGATCGAGGAGAAGAACGAGGAAGATCAGAATGAGGATGATAACCGCCAGAGCCACTTTGACCGCCCCCTCCGTGAAGTCCGCGTGGGTGAATCCCCAAGCAGGCCTTGGGGCATTTCAGTGCCTGTCACACATCTACCTCCCGCCTCAGCCCCGTTCTCCAGTTCAGCATCTATTCCTACGTCACCAGATCCTCAAGCCGACAAACCTGATCAACCCATCGGCGTCAACGTCCTTGGTGCAAAGCCTGCCGGCGGCTGTCCATTTGGTCACGGTAAACCAAAGCCCGAAGCCTCAAAGCCCGAAAATGAAACATCAGGGAGTGGCGAAAGACCTCAGGACAAGAATGTCGCTACACCAGAAAAACCTGGTTGTCCATTCAGCCACGATAAACCAAAGACCGCAGTAGGAAAGTCTGAAACCGAGACTCCCTGGAGTGGTGACTGGCCTAAGACCTGGCCCAAGGAGCAGGCCGTCATAGATCAAGCACCTCCACCCCCTGCTGTCCATGCTTCAACTGCTTCTGTAAGCGAGGAACCGACCGCTAAACCCGACATCCCCTCAACATTTTCAACACCCTCACACATGACCTTCAATGGCCCCGTCTTCTTTGGGTATTCCGCCGAGGAGACTGCCAGCCTACTACAGCAGCTCGGGAACTTGGGCAAAGCATGACCGCGAAGAATCATCTCTTTGTATAGTATGTTCATGGAAGGTGTATGGCTCTTAACGCATCACGACGAAACGACTTAATATTTCTATCTTTAGCAAGCACTGTCATTGTATTAGCCCAATTGAATTCTCCTTTAATTCCAAAATCTCAACTACAACAGTACAAAATTCACAACGTAAAGTAAAGAATGCCTCATCGGGGAGCGTCGTCGCTCTCCGAGGGAAACTCAGAGCGGGGCACCTTTATCATTTCCTACATAACCTCGTCTCTCCCCAATGCTCCGAACTACTCGTCTATCTCTATCTCGATTCCTCCGTCCCTCAATCCTACCTCGATTCCCTTCTCCCATAATGTCTGCCAACATGTCCATCATCTCCGCTAAGGATGCTTGCCCTCGTAAGTCGAGTGGTCCCTCCCCTTAGACAGAGAGTCATATCAAAAGGAAACAAAAGAAACAAAGAGCAATAGCTAACTCATCTGTCCTGTAGCTGCCGGCCCTTACGTACGTCGTTCCATCTGCATCTCCATCTACTTCAATTGCTACCCCTCTACACCGGACAACAATCCACCCCTCCACACCGTCACTATTCCAGACACCTACACATATTGAATCGACCATAAAAGAAACCTTCTAACAAACCAACTACAGTCCCAGGCCATTCGCGCAAACGGCCAGATCTTCGTCTCCGGCCAGATCCCCGCCGACGCCTCCGCTAACTTGGTCGAGGGCAACATCGGTGCCAAGACACAGGTTTGCTGCGATAACATCAAGGCTATCCTGACCGCTGCTGGCTCCAGCGTGGACAAGGTCGTCAAGGTCAATGTATGTGTTCCCGCCCGCCTTCGTTTTGTTAGGATTATGTGATTTATGGCTTCGGCTTTTCCAGAGAGAAGCTTTATGAGAACACTTTGCTGATCTGGATCACTTTAGGTCTTCCTGACTGATATGGCCAACTTCGCTGAGATGAACGCTACTTACGAGAAGTTCTTCGTTCACAAGCCTGCTCGTAGCTGTGTTGCTGTTCACCAGCTGCCTAAGGGTGTGCCCGTTGAGATTGAGTGCATTGCTCTCGAGTAGATTATCTAGTCTTCTATTCGAGTGAACGAAAATAATATAAGAAAAAAAAAAGATAGAATAGGAACCAGACTGAACCCAATCAAATTATGTTATAGAAATCCTTGGGAAGATCTTCTTCATCTTAATTATTTCCATTTCCGTTCTTATTTCTCTCAAGGAACATACACGCGCGAGTACAAGCAGATGCCAAATTGGGAATCATAAGAGTCAAGGGTTCATGCGTAATGAGACAGAATGCAAGAGAAAAAGAAAATAGAGAAGAAGAAAGAAACAAACGCAACATCGCTGGCTTGATGTGTAGAGAAAACAGGAAAATAACAGCTAAAAAGGTAAGATAGCTTGTTAGACAGGTGCATATTCACCTTCCGCGGGGAATGATACCGCTCATGCGGCTTCCAGCACCGGCCATCAAGCTCTGTTTCACGATAGCATCGGCAGCAGCAGCGGCGGCAAGTCTTTCCTTCTGACGGCTACGATCGCGGAGATAGCCAGCAGCTTCAGGGCGCATGCGAAGAATGCGCAGGATCATGTCGTCGTTGGGATCAGCCTGCGCCTCCCGTCGCTTCTCTTCCTTGGCCTTCTTCATAGTGCCTAGGTTACGGGAAAGCATGACGCTTTTGGCACGATGGGCAGCAGGAAGGCCTAAGCCGCCGTAGCCAGCACCTGTGGTACCGAGGTGGGCAGGCGCAGAAGCGCGATTGCGGTTCGCTTGCTGGCGGTTGACAGTCGCCGAGGCCATGCGTTCGGAGGTGCGGATGAGGTTCTCCGTTGGTTCGAAATAGAAGAAATTTAGAGACTGGATTTCATGATACTTGGGTGATTTCAGGATATCGATTGGGACTCCGTTTGCTTCGCCGGTTTCGTCGTCAATCGCATGGAAGAAGTTCAGTAGTAGCACGAGCCAGCGCGATACGATATCGACTTCTTGGATTGTCAATGGCTTCTGATGGGATGGCTTATCCGACAGAGGTGGTACGAGTAGACTCTCGATGGTGGCAAGCACTTCCTTCCATAGGCGAGCCATCACCATCTTCATGGCTTCGGGTGTGAGAGTTTTGTTCATGATGGCGAAGTTGTCATTAAAGTAATTGAACAGAGGAGTCAGTGCATTTTCAACATCTGCCGGGGTGGGTCCGGCAGGAGCTGGCTGTGCTCGGTTGCGATTCAAGAAACTCGAGACACTAGACATACTGAGTCCGCGAGAAAGAAGAGATTTCAGCGTTCGCCGGGAAAGACAGTGACTGATGTATGCCGAAAGCTTTTCTGTGATCTTCCGAGTCATATCCCTTTCGGTTCGTTTGAGTGTACGGAATGCCTTGCCGAAGTAGAACTGGATGTCATCTCGCTCGCCTTCCATACTAACTCGGAGTAGAAGCCGACCCTGCGTATCTAGGTCGAGCCAATACTCTCTTGGCAGGAAGTCACTGAAGTGCACAGGATCCAGCTTGATCGACGTGCGACCAACGTAGTCGTGGTCGCCCACTGCATCCCAGTCCCAAATGGTGGCAATGATATTCAGAGGGCCCTGTGTAGTGAGATCCACTGCATCCTCCCATCGGGGATTAAGATTATTGTAGATGATGCGGGTTTTGGCGATGCGTTTCTGATATTCGTCTGTCAAGACAACATAGGGGTCGCTGCCACCACCAATGTCGCATGCTTTCAAGTCCTCTGCCTCCACTACCTTGATTGTAAAGACATAGGTGGTAGACTTGCGGACCTTCTTGAGCTGCGGTGGAGTATTTCTTGCAATGACTTCTGCGCACGCGTCGACATTGATGTCATGTTCGAGTTTATCGAGTTGAGCAAGTGCGTACTCAATGTTGTTCAGTTTCACCAGGGACTATGGAAGATGTTAGCCGCAATATTTATCCGGTTACAATAAGAACATACCTCTGACGAGAATTGGAAGGGCTCAATCTTATCCTTGTTTGTCCAGGTGTCTTTGGCGAACTGCATCAGTTTTTCCTGAGTGGTCTGATTCAATGCTGCCTCCTGCTCGGGGGTGAGACGATCCATCTCCCGCGTGAACATCTTCTCCAAGGAGTCACAGTACGTTGCAACACCTTTCCCAATTGAATTAGATAGATGCGTCATGAACTTCGCATATTGAAGATCATCGTCCCACTCCAGTTGCACCATATTTTCAACAACTTGGTTGAAAGATCGGAAAATGTCAATGACTGACACACTGTGTCGATCGTTCTCAGGCACGAGCTCTGTCGTTCCATCTGCACGAACAGCGAATGAATCTTGTCTTGTAGCTTGGCTGACCCAATCCATGATCTTTTGATCAGTTAGACGAAGCCATCTCCAGACGAAATCCTGAAGGAGATCCTCCACACGAAATGGGAATTGAACACTAAATTGAGTTAGCTAATTCCATAGGAACAGCAGGGAAGTCCAGGAGAGCTTACTCCTCATGGGTATTATGGAACAACCGTCTGACAGTAGCGAGCTGCTTGTATAGATCGAAGCCATCTTCAATAGAAATCTCCTCGCCTCTCGCTTTTGCCAGCTCGATAATCCTGATGATCATTTCATGTGCATCCTCGGCGAACATAGGGAGTACGTTGTGGCACAAGGTGGTAAAGGGGTTAACACTGTATGTAAGTTAGAGACTGATGAAGCAGACAGACGAGAAACAAAGAACCCACCGCATAATCTCCGGGTTGTTGCGGTAGCGTTTTTGGATCTTTAGCGCAAGCTTCGAGATTGCATCTCCGAGCTGAATAACATGGTCGGGATCCCAAGCCTCCTGTTCCATGGGAATTAATTGGCTAAGAAGGCTTTGATACTTCGTCGTCGCCTTTTGGGCAAGTCCCTCTTGCACATAGGTGCTGAATCGATTGATGTCTTCAGGATCCTCAATGTAATTGGAATCCATCTGGACGTGGGTCTCAAGAATGTACATTACTGGACCAAGTGGGCGTGGTTTTGCCTCAAAGCAGTCCATCATAGCCTCATATAGTTCTCGAAGCAAAGCCTCATGGAGTTTGGACAGCAGATTTTGCATAGTTTGATGATCCTGTACGGTCCATCGTCGCCGATCAAAGACCGCGGAAGCCACAAAGCTACTGCGCTTGCGGTTCTCGCCCGAAGGCATTTCTTTCACAAAAGTAAATGCCGAGTCAAGGGTAGTAAGATCAATTTCATTGTCGACAAATTTAGCTTGAACTACCTCAAGGAACAACACGAGCCGAGAGAAGGTTGGAATCCGCCAGCGGAGACATATCTCATTAAGCATTTCCGTGGACTGTTTCGACAGCAGTTTCATTGAAGGCACTTCAGATGTGGCCTGCGAAGCTTCAAGTTCCCGGTCCCGCAGATCATGGGTCAAGGTCTGGGACAGGATGAATTTGTACAAAGACCTAGGGTCAGACGGTATGAATGTGTATGTATCGGATTCATCCGAATCTTCTAGAGAAAGCCCACTCAAGTCAACAGGCTGATCAATGACATAAGATGTTCTGTCAGTCCGACCAGACGATGTCCTTGACAAGTCGTGGTTCTCGTGGGCACTCGAATTGAACTGGGGGAGGGACCCGGGGGTGCTCTTGGCCAGTTCGGGGTTAGATTGCATGATTGCTAGCATCATCTGTGAGAGATCAGGGCCTTCGCTCTTTTTCCACGCATCATAACCCTCATCTGACTCAAAATCATCTCTTGACAAGGTTTTGTGTGTCTGGAGGTTTAAATGGGCTTGGTACGTCTTTAGGTCCTGCAGAGCAGCTTTTTCAGTCCAGGTGGACTTGTTGTTATCGATTTCGGACTGTGCTTGAGATGTGGTTTTCCCAAAGATCTTGGCCACATGTTGCACTAAGGGCATATCCCTCACATCATAACTCAAGGCCCCGATACTTTCTGTCGCAGAGGTAGGCCCGTTGGTTTGCATGAGGTCCTGATCTTGTAGAAGAAGCTTGTTTTCTAGCACCGTCAATCGATTGGCCAACTCTGGGCGGTCCTTGGACCACTCGTGATCTTTTAGAGTGAGTGCAAGGAGTCGGACAAAAAGCGCAACGTGCCGATCCACCATCAGTTTCCAGCTGTCATCGTCGTGATCTTTGCCCTTGCCCATCTCTTTGACTGCATTGGAGTAGAAAATCAGGAGCAAATCTTCAGCCCGTCGGTCCTTCTCCATGCGTTTTCTGAACGAGTCTTCCTTTAGAACGTTAAGAAAGACAGCAAATGTGCGCACCACCAGGTGATCTTGGTATTCTTTCCTTTTCTCCTTTCCCATCAATACACCTGTCAACCGCTTCTCCAGCTCGGACAAGAATCCATGGGGCACCCTGGTGCTTTTGGAGTCCCTGACCAAAGAGAAATCGCTCATTAAATCATGAATGGACGTGGACGATCGTTTTGGTCGCGCCGGCGCGACGGGGGCATTTTGGATGCGACGAGAGCGAGGGTGAAGCAGATAGGCAAGATAGGCGACCCGAATGGCATGACTGTATGCCACGTTGGCATTTAGAGGACGGCGGCGAGATGTGGAGGAGTTGCGCGTATGGCGACCCTCATTTTGGAGGCTGTTAATCCGTCGGTTGACTCCTCGGGATTGGCTAGATGATGTCGACATGGAGTTCTTCAAATTCGTGCAATGTTTGGAGACAGATAGCGCGGGACCATAGAGAAAGGTTGGGGAAGCACCCAGCACCCGAAAGAAGTGTTTCAGATGACTTTTTCTTTCAGTCTGAAGTTGAAAGCCGTCACAAAGCTGAAAGGGCGAATTGTTTATTGAAGGGGGAGAGGGAGGGGTGGGAGGTGAAACACAAAAAGATGCCGAACCAACTGACGTATAGGCGCCGTGTCCAAAAACAATGCTATCGTCTGACTAGGCTATAGGGGTTGTCACTATATGTCTTTTTTTTTTTTAAGAAAAAAATATTCTTTTCCTTTTACCAAGTGGCTATTGTATATTGTTTATCCAAGGAGCCTTGATCCTTGTTTTCCCGGGAATATTCTCCTTGAAGTAAACCTGCAAGGGTTTGATGGTTGCGATGATCGATATTCAGGTCAAGTCAGGTGTGATATCCAAATAGATATATTAAAACATAGTTGAAAGAGATCTTGAAATCCTTTAGAAGACATCTACAACGATTCTAGAACGATACATCTATCTAGAAAGCCAACCCCAAAAGATATAGTGTTATATCAAGTAGAGCGTCCATGCTATCAGATGGATCAATGCTGGAGATCCCACATACGACAACATAAGAGGATTTTGAAGCCAAATTCATTCCGAGCATGCGATCGGGCTTTTTCGGGTTTTGATCAAACATAGGACTGGCGAATCGACCACCAATCCCCAAAGACGCCGAATATAGAAAATCGTACTGGTATTTACACAAACAAAAAGAAACCAGATGTTAAATCACCACTTGTCCTCGCCAGACTTGCGAGCCTAAAGTAAATAGTTAGCCACTTGCCCTTGTGGAAGTTATATCATGTACAATACATACCGGCAAAGCATTGGGGCCTCCCAACTCCTTCTCCAGACCATCGACATAGGTCTTGGGAGCACTCGGCTTGTCAGGGTAGTTAAGGCTGACAACGCCAACCAGACCAAGGAAAGCAACAACGAAGCATCCGAGGTGGAAGAAACCCTTGCTGGGCGTGACGTGGGTATATTGCTCAGGACTGAAAACACCGAGGATTTCGTTATCCTCGTGCACAGGCTCGCCAAAGTTGCGCTTCTCTTGCGCATCCCACCAGCCACCGTGAGGGTCTCTGTGTGCCCGCTTCACTCGAGGAGGGTTGGGGTAGTTGTTGTTCTGTCTCGGGGGTTAGGTCCCGGATGCCAAGTAGGGGAGTGGCATCTGTGCCATATAGATGCTATACCTGTAGAGGATCTTCAACCGCAGCAGCACGGAGAGCTGGGATCTGGGAGAAGGAAGCGCGGGGAGCAATGGCTCGAGCGGCAACCTGGGGCAGGCGCCGGGCCAAGATCCGTTGAGACAGCATCTGGGAGGAATTGAAGGTTAGAAAGGGCTGGATAGTATTTGAAGATGTGATTGAGCTAAAGAAAAGGACTCACAATTATGCTGAGAGACAAGCAGCAAATGAGTTGTTAGAGGAAGGCAAGAGAGCCAATTGGGTAGAGGGGGTTGAATATCGATGATGAACGGATGGAGGTTTGCGGAATGCATGGCCTAAGGCAGCCAGTCACAAGACTTCAGGCATCCACGCGTCGGCGCGACAAAGGTAATCGCTCGCCCGGAAAAAAACCACTCTCCACGTATTCTCATCATCTCCGTTGTTTTTTTGTCCTCATCCACGCTACAAGGCCGATAAGCATGTTAAACTTCTTGTAGCATCTCTACTCGACATTCCCTATTTGTTGATGCCAAAATATTTTACTGCGACTGCGTCATTGTTGGGATAACTGGGGTCACCTGCCGCCAACGGCCCCTGTCGTCTGCGGCTACAAGTCATGCAAAACGGCACCCCCAACGGCCCATCACCCCAAGATGAACGCATAACACCTGTGCCCGATTCCACACCCCTCAACGAGTCTGCAATCGAAAATCCATCGAATTCTGCCCCCCACGAGCCGATTCCTTCAGAGCCAAAAGGCGTCGAAGCTGTTCATCAACCCGAAGAACCTCCATCGAAGAAAAGAAGACTCACAGATTCCTCCTCGTCGCAGCGTTCCACTCCTAGACCGCCATCGCCGCCCTGGAAGAAGGCTGGCTTTGAGGGGCCCACATCGTTCCTCTCCGAAGGCAAACGCAGGTCTTCGCGGACAAACGCCGTGCCGATCGAATTTCAACCTGGGTCGGACAAGAGACACACGCGGGGAGCTCAAAACAAGAATGTTGGCAAGTCCGCTCGTGATGGAAGCAAGCCGGCTACATCCTCGCCGTTATCGGTGACTCAGTCACGCGCCGACGTTAATGGAAAAGTTGGCGCAAAGGCCACTACCAATGGATCGCCCAGAGCGCCGTCGCGCGCGGCCAGCAAGCCGCAGCGTATCTCACAGACTCCAGCACCAAAGCCAAGTCACTCGCGCGCCAAATCTCGTAGCTCCGCTACCCTTCCTCGCCCGCCTAGTGCCAACGCGAATGGCACTAGTTCTCGCTCGCTTCGCGATCGCCCATCACTTTCGAATCTATCACAGGAGGTTAACGGGGCTTCGGAGGATGTCAATATGGATGACAAGGAACTTGAACAAGTATCAAAGAAAATTCCAAAATTGCGCATCAAAGTGAGCAAGCCAGTCCTTCCTATTCGACACCCTGGCCACATACCGCAGAAGAAACATACGTCTTTCAGGGAATGGGTATACCAAAATGATAGCTCAAATATCTTGTCAGAAGAGGAGGCTACGGTTGAGGCACGCAAACGGCGCGAAGTTATAACTGCTGCTGAGCCCGGTGGACCGCTGAGTTCGCAAGTCTGCTCAGCATATATCACAGAACAGCAGGAGGAGCCTCCCCCACAATATTCGCACCAGGATCACTTGGTTTCGCATGCGCTCTATTTCCAGAAGCTCCTCGACAAAGAACACAAACGCCATCGTCAAACAGCCAAACAGTTTGCGCAGTGGTGTGCCGACGCTTATCGGAAACGCCACAAGAACCCCGAGGATATCTTACGTGAGCAGCAGGAGGAGATGCGTGGAAAACGCAAGCAGCTATCAAAGGATCTTCAGAAGATGTTTGACCTGACCCGTGCCGATATTGATCGGGTCCGCCTAGCACGTTGGGAAGAAGAGCGGAAAATGGAAGACCAGCAGGCGCTTGATCGCGCCATTAAGAAGTCTACTATGCTTTTCGAGAAGCGTCGATCGGAGATTCTAGGCGAATTGCCCAGCGATGCTCCGGCGACGAGTGATGATGAGGATGGCGCATCAGGCCACTCGTCTGGATCAGCCGAAGAGGACGAGAGTAACATGTCAGATTCTGGATCAGGAACCGACGACGAGGCTAATGTGGACGACGATGCCTCATTGACCGCAGAAGAGCTCCGACTGAAGTACGCCAACTTACCGACTGAAGAATATACTGACCGGATGTCTGTAGCTTCGGGTAGCACGGCAATGACCAATCCCAACGAATCCCTGGATCCCGAAGCTGTTTTAGGTGATATCGATTCACAAATCACCCCCGAAGATAATCAGTTAGACGATGTCGATTCAGTGTTGATGGACGATAGTGATGCCTCCACAGATATGGATGATGATATGGGTGACAGTGACGAAGAGGAAGAAGACTCAAGTGAGGAGGAGTCGGAAGAAGACGATGAGACTGGACCTGGCTTACTAGGTTTCTTCTCAAAGAATGAAACCCCTGTACTAAAAGACGGTGAAGAGGCTCTAGCTGTCGACCACCACGAACAGAACGTCGATATCAATCCGGCATCGGAGGGTGAAGATGACAACGACTCAGAAGATCCAGATGAAGTCTCACTGGTGCCAATTGGACCAACGACCAGCGAGGGCGAATCAACAGAAAGCACGCCATTACATGTCGCCAATGCTTCTGAAGCCTCTGCTGCCACAGGACGAGAAACACCTGCCGTTGACACCCCGATGGAAGAGGAGCTCGCCGAAGCTGAGGCCGAAAAAGTAACTCGTACTGATATGGCGGACGATATTGATCACCACCAATCTATGGAAGTAGATACCGTTCATGCCAGCCGGCCAAACGGGGGTATGCCCAGTGAGCCATCTCCGGGAACCTTTACAACCAAACCATCCGAACCTGGTTCGGTCTCATCGCTCGAGCCTGCAATCGAAAAGGCATTGCAAATAAGTCACTTGCCTGCCCCAGGCCTGCAAACGCCCATTCCATCAATCCTACGTGGTACACTGCGTGAATACCAACACTACGGATTGGATTGGCTTGCGGGTCTCTACAAGAACCACATCAACGGTATTTTGGCAGACGAGATGGGTCTGGGCAAAACGATCCAAACCATTGCCCTTCTTGCCCACCTTGCCGTGGACCATGGTATCTGGGGGCCGCATTTGGTCGTCGTTCCCACCAGTGTCATGCTCAATTGGGAAATGGAATTCAAGAAATGGTGCCCGGGGTTTAAGATCATGACTTACTACGGTAACCAAGAAGAACGCAAACAGAAACGCCGAGGCTGGACAGACGACAACGCCTGGAACGTGTTGATTACATCGTACCAACTCGTTCTGCAGGACCAAATGTCTCTCAAGAGAAAGGACTGGCACTACATGATTCTTGACGAAGCACACAACATCAAGAACTTCCGCTCACAGAGGTGGCAAGCCCTGCTGACGTTCAAGTCTCGTGCAAGGCTTCTCCTAACGGGCACACCACTCCAGAACAACCTCACAGAACTGTGGTCTCTTCTGTTCTTCTTGATGCCTTCCGATGGTACTAATGGCGGCGTTGAAGGGTTTGCTGATCTAAAAGATTTTTCTGAATGGTTCCGGCGCCCCGTTGAACAAATTTTGGAGCACGGCAGAGAGACCATGGACGAGGAGGCCAAAGGCGTGATCACCAAGCTTCACACCGTTCTCCGCCCGTATCTTCTTCGTCGACTAAAGGCCGATGTTGAGAAGCAAATGCCTGGCAAGTACGAACATGTGGTCTACTGTAGGCTATCAAAGCGTCAGCGATACCTTTACGACGGCTTCATGTCGATGGCACAGACCAAGGAGACCCTCGCATCCGGAAACTTCCTCTCCATCATCCATTGTCTGATGCAACTCCGTAAAGTGTGCAACCACCCCGATCTCTTTGAGACCCGACCCATCTCCACCTCCTTTGCGATGCCGCGGTCTGTGGCTATGGACTTTAATATCAAGGAATCCCTCGTTCGACGACGACTCCTCTTCGAACACCCACTGACCAAGATCGACTTGGATTTCCTCAACCTCGCACCCGTATCACGGGAAGATATCTCACGACGGCTGGCCGACGACAGTATCAGGCTGATGGCTATTGGCCCGTTCAAGACTCTCCGTGAACGCCAGTACAACCGAACGAACTGGGAGATGGGCTTTGACGGGTCCAACATGCAGACCATCTTGGAGTCATTGGAGAACGCCTGTCGGAAGAGGCGAATGGCGGAACTAGAGCGGTGTCTTTACTTTGAATCCAAACGGCACGGCCGTCGGCCTGTATATGGTAGCAGCCTTATTGAATTCCTTCGGGCTGGGACTAAGGAACACGCACTCTCCAATGCACCGCTGCGGAAGCGCTCAATGGCCGACTGGCTGTCAAGCCGATCCTCCGTCCTCGCGTCGATGATTCTGACTGTTGAGGAGCGGGCTCTTGAGATGCATGGCTATGTTCAGAGATTCGCCTGCGTCACCCCCGCTGCCGTCGCCGCGGGCATGAACGAAGCCGCTTTAACCCCCGTCGAGACCCGGCTTTTGACCAATAATCGCCCAAACCCGCCATACGATCCTTTCCATGAAGCACGGATGCGCCTCTCTATTGCGTTCCCGGATAAGAGATTGCTTCAATACGACTGCGGCAAACTGCAGCGCCTTGACAAACTTCTACGGGACCTCAAAGCCGGCGGCCACCGAGCCTTGATCTTCACCCAGATGACGAAGATGCTCGATATCCTCGAACAGTTCCTCAATATTCATGGCCACCGCTATCTTCGACTCGACGGCACTACGAAAGTCGAGTCTCGACAGATGCTCACGGAACGATTCAATAGCGATCCCCGCATCCTCGCTTTCATCCTATCCAGTCGATCCGGTGGTCTCGGTATCAATCTCACGGGCGCCGACACAGTCATCTTCTACGATCTAGACTGGAATCCAGCCATGGACAAGCAATGCCAGGATCGCTGCCACCGTATTGGTCAAACACGCGATGTCCACATCTATCGTTTCGTATCCGAGTATACCATTGAATCCAACATCCTCCGTAAAGCCAACCAGAAGCGCATGCTCGACGATGTCATCATCCAAGAAGGCGAGTTCACTACAGACTACTTCACCAAGGTGCAAGGAATGGTTGAAAGCGACGAGCGCGACGGTCAAGACGAAGCAAGTGCCGCCATGGACCGAGTTCTCGGCAACCGTGTCGGCGGAACTCGCGTGTTTGAAGGAGCCGAGGACAAGGAGGATCTCGATGCGGCGAAGAACGCCCAGAAAGAACAGGAACATGCCGACGATGGCGACTTTGAGGAGCACAGCGCCTCCCACGGAACCCCGGCCCAGGCTGGCACGCCGGTTGTGGAAGAAGCTGTCGCTCCACAGGTGTCTGACCCCTCCGAATGGGAGCCCGGTCATATTGATGATTATCTTTTGCGCTTCATGGAGTGGAATATGAAGGATGAACCTCTGGTTTTGCCTGCGGATAAAAGCAAGAAGAAGTCCAAAAAGGGCAAGGAGCACCGTCTTAAGAGACGTCGTTAGATCAATGTCCTCATGTATACTCTCTCTGACTCTCTCCCCTTTCATATTTTTAATCTTTTTGCCACATTCTCTTCAGGCTATTAGCTTTGTAATAGTCTCTGTATAACTTGGAGATGTTTCTAATGTGTCTTTTTTTTCTTTTCTTATTGATTTTCCCCCTTTTCTATGTGTTAATCCTATATCAACAAAAGAGTCCAATAGAATCAATTAAACAGAAACATAGAAAAAACAACTCGGCTTAAATTATATTCAAATCAATAGTCTATTTCTCGGAGATTATACTCAACTAGCGTGGAGTCCGGAATCCATCCGGTCTTCATGAGCAGATCATTTTACTCCAAAAAGACTCTGGGTTGGCCATTGAAAATTGAGTTCGGTCTTTATATTAATATCGATAGTGTGAGGAAATTGTAGAGCAAATAGGATAGTCAAGTACGGAGTAGGAAAAGGGGAGGTTGTTAATAGTGTGCTGAGGGATGTCTGTATAAGGGGGCGACGACGGCGTGTATATCTCCGACTCCGTATATTGTACGGAGTAGATGTATTTAGCTACGAGGTTCAAGACAGAATAAGATCTCGGGAGGCTTTCCCCTATTCTCTTTTCTCCAAGTTCTTCAATATGATCTCCGAAAGCCAATTTCCACTTACCTCGGCACGTCGTCACCGATATCAGAACGCGTGAAGATACTCCGTAGTGGGGTTGAGCCTCAGTTCGGATACAATTCGGATGCGAATGTTTCTCATATGAGGGAAATAGTCTGTGGATATGCCGTGTATTCCCTCCCCCGTTGACATTGATCTGATTGGAGTCGGGTTCCACTGATCTTCTCTCCGAAAACGGGAAAAAGGGAATTGGACGGCCTTGGAGATATTCTAAGCTTAAGAAGTGCGTGCAGCAGATCCATGGTGATCTGGGGATTTCTCTACCCTTGATCATCCCTGTATTCCCTCGTATGATTTAAAAGCTTTAGGAAGTATTCCGGAGTAAGATCTGACCGTTCATCATTGGACCGGGGAAAGGACAAGAGGAAAAAAAGAAAAAGAAAAAAAAGAGAGAATAGAATGAAATGCCATGCTTTCACAGGGCCGAGAACACAGGGAAAGTATTTGGAATGACAGTTGTTTCTTTGTGACGGGCGGCTGTAGATACTGTCAAAGAAGTGGTCACCCTGTCAGATTGGAGGCGCGCGGATGAAAATGCCGATACCCTATCCCTGTATTGGATCTGGCCTCCCTGCCGTTTTAGGAAATCCGAGTGTCGGATATATGAGACAAAGAGAGTAAGTGGGTTCTCATATCGAGGAAGACGAATCATCATTCCCCAGGATTGTCATTCTCCATGGATGAGATATGATCGGTTAAAAGTCAAGATATCTAGACCCAACAGCCGAAGCCGGACATCTGCCGTTCGACAGATGTGACATATGCAGGCCGAAGAAAAGTGATTGGCAGAAGCTCGTGGACACTTTTCATGCATGCAGTGTCGGGCCCGTGCATTTTTCTGATCCAAATTGAACCGATGTCTTACTGTTGTACTCCGTATTCCTCTTGATTAACAGGTAATGGTATGGGAAATCCTGTTCAAAGGGGGAATTCAGGAAGTCGTGGAGCCCGATAAAATCCACTATTGAGGACCCGGGCAGATCGTCGCCGATCAATTTACTAGATCGATTGGCGTTCGCACGAACTGGTTCTCCATGGGCTTTCTACCATTGGTGTAAGTCGAGAAGGGGGCTTTACGCTAGTTCTGACACCATGTGCCCTAGCTGATTCACCGTAAAAAAAAAGGAAAAAAAGGAAAAGAAAAGGCATCGGTGCCTTGGGGAAGTTTGAGACCGCTCTTCCCCAGGAGTTTGCGGCCCGAATAGTGTTTCGATCTGAGCCCATGTGATGAGCAATTTGGAGAGGATGTCCAAGGTTCCATGGAAAAGTTCACTTTGCTTTTGAGGATGTCCAGTCCAAAGCCGCCAAAGCCGTCAACCCCGTCAACCCCGTCAACCCCGTCAGAACTGTCGGATCTCGTCCCCTGAAGGACCCCGAGGTGGCGATGATCGGCGACCATGAGCTCCAAGACGCCATCCGCAGGTTGAGGGCTTATCTGGTTTGGAGTATGACCGTATTGGGATAAAACTGGGGACACTAGCCGGGCCCCAATGCACAGTAAATCACTCCTGGGGAACTATAGGCCGTGTGTCTCCCGTATAACCGTTGTATTGGATGTCCCTCAATTCTCGGACTTGATCGTGTCCCAAGGGCATGTCCGAACAGGCCTGGAGATCTCGATAGGTCGGATGTTCGAAAGAAAAAAAAAGAAAAGGTGATAGATGATCAATCGAGTACTATCTTTGTTCAAACGCGCCAAGCACTCAACTGGGGATAGTAAGACCTCAGCAGATGAGCTGTTCCGCTTGGATGAGGTGATCCACCTGAATGACATCGCCTGATCGTCGCCAATGAAGTTTTGCCGAACCTCGTTCATGATCGCCGTGTGCTGAACGCCACGGACGCTAAGACCCAATCCCTGAGAGATTGTTTCCATAGACAATGGAGATCTGGAGTGGGAAGTGGGAAGGGAAGTGGGTGAAGTTGGGCCCTCACCACGCTTATTACCACTTGGATTATATCTCTCTCTCTTTCTCTCTCTCGATTATCGAGATTTTATTTCCACGCTATTTACTTTGATATATAATAGTCTCGCCCGTTTCCTGTCTCTTTTTTTGGTTGATCTTGATCTTCCCATTTCCACTTCTCAATTGGACTGTGCGTTGATAATGAAGACCTCCATCTCGTCCGATGTATGGGAGAAGAAGAAGGCGGTGATCTCCAAACTGTATATGGAAGAAGAATGGCCCTTGAAGCAGGTCATTAAGCAGATCCGTACCGATGATTTCAATCCTAGGTGAGTACTTTCCCGTCGCCACCAGCTCGATGCCATCTCGATACCGGACTCTCTCCTGGACTATCAACTAATACCGCCAGTGAAACCCAACTCCGAAGCAGATTGAAGAAATGGCGAGTGACCAAGCCATCCCGTCAGACTCGAAAGAAGAGTCTGGCTGAAGCTTCGGGAGAAGAGCCAGATTCCGACAAGGATGTGAAGCGCAAAGCATCGACCATCCAAAGACCACTACCATCATTACCAGCAAGAGAGGCGCCAACAGTCCGCCATGAATGGCCCATGACCCAATCCATCTATGGACAATCGTCCACCCTCCAACATTCCGTCCCAGACCAGGATCGGAAATGGAGTTCTCCTATGGTCCAACAACTCACCCCAAGCCCTTCCGGCGAGCACGTCCTCGTCCCAGACCGGACAACCGTCTCCTACCCAGATCTCAGTCCAACAACAACATCCTTCGACCACGTCCACACCTCCCCAGTCGGTGAGGGTCTTATGCTGAACACAACCTCAGCCCTGACCCCATCCTACCCAGCCTACCCACTTTCCCCAGAGTCGTGCCTCCCAAGCCCAGGCACAACAACGACCCCCGGTGGCATTGGCTGGCCACCCCGAGCCGTTTCAGTAGACTACGGGCTTAACCCATCTCAGTGGTACTCGCTGCCCTTTGAAGCCATCACTCCCCCATCATCCGTCCCCCAGTCAACAACTGGTCCCATGGCACCTTCAATGGACCGCTACATCCCCCAGCCTCAGTTTTACCTTCCCCAGTACCATCACTACCACAGCGAGGCACCAGAGTATCCGCATGACTATGATGCCAAGAACTGGAAGCGGGCAATGTCGTTACAATATGATATGGCCGGTCATCTAGCTGCCCGACCCGATCACGATAATAAGCATCTGACTCCACATACACAGCCTCATGGCCAGACGCATATTATGGCGTCACCGTCTCATAATCAGTCTGGTGGGCCTCATTCCGTGATGTGTGCTCCGATCATGCCTTATATGGGCCATGATCATCATATGCAGAAGCCTCCAGGAATTGGATACTAGGGGCTCACTTGCACTGGCGCTCTTTCTGTTCGATGCCTGTGATACCTTGATACGTGTGCATTATGGGCTGATTCTCTGCTGTACCATACCCAGTGATATTTATTTTGATTTTGAGGAGTTTGGAAAAGGAAGTTGTGTACATTGATACCTATTGATTGAGCTTGACAAGTCTATTATATATATACGACTTATATACGACTTATATACCATTTATATACCATTTACAACATCCATCAAATGTACTCCGTACAATCTGTACAAAGATCTATCAATGCCAAGATCTGTCACCCGAAAAGGAACCTCGGCATCTTGCGGGGAAACCTCCCCCAGTCCTTCCAGAGCTCTTTTTATTTGGACATCCCCGGACCACTTCGATCGCTTCTTCATTCACTCCAAAAGTTTCCAAATCTCTCACCTCAATTCCAATCTACATTCCCACCAAAATGCGTGCCGTCCAAGTCAGCGAATATGTCAAAGTAACTCCAACCCAACCCGAATTCTCAACCCCAACCCCAGGCTTACCACTCTTACAGGGCCCTCTAGACCTCAAAGTAACCACAGTCCCAACGCCAACCCCAAGTGCAGACAAATACCTAATCAAAATCCACTCTGCCGGCACAAACTTCTTCGACATCCTCCAAATCCAAGGGAAATACCAACATCAACCACCGCTCCCTTGGATTGGCGGCGCCGAATTCGCGGGAACCATCATCTCCGTCCCGACTTCCCCAAACAACCGCTACAAACTCGGCGACCGCGTCTTCGGCGCCACACAAGGCGCCTACGCGACACATGTCCTAGCTGCGGAGCAAACCCTCCTTCCCGTACCGGAAGGGTGGAGCTTTGAAGATGCGGCGGGACTATTCGTCACGGCGCCGACCTCGTATGGCGGTCTTGTGCAGCGCGCTGGCGTGAAGGCCGGGGACTGGGTCCTTGTTCATGCCGCGGCGGGCGGTGTCGGACTTGCTGCTGTGCAGGTTGCTAAGGCTTTGGGGGCGACTGTTATTGCTACGGCGGGAACCGAGAGGAAGAGGGAGATTGCTAAAGTTTTCGGGGCTGATTATGTGGTGGATTATACAGATAAGGCGTGGCCGGAGGTTGTCAAGGGGATCTGTAAGAAGAACCGGCAGGGCAATGGGGCTGCCGGAGTGGATATCGTTTATGACCCTGTTGGAATGATCGAGGCGAGTTTGAAGTGTGTGGCGTGGAATGCGCGATTGTTGGTGATTGGGTTCGCCGCGGGGAAGATTGAGAAGGTGGCGCTGAATCGGGTGTTGTTGAAGAATGTGAGTATTGTTGGTTTGCATTGGGGCCAGTATGCCAAGTTTGAGACGGAGACGGTTGGTGAGGTTTGGCAAGGGATCTTTGACCTTGTTAAGCAGGGGAAGTTCAAGGGCACGGCGTTCAAGGACGAGAGCTTTGTTGGGTTGGAGAGTGTGCCCAAGGCTTTGCAGGCATTGGGGGGAAGAGAGACTTGGGGGAAGGTTGTTGTGAATATTGTGGGTGATGCGAAGAGCAAGCTGTAGTGAAAGATACGTGAAGCAATAGATTCGATTCAATATTAAACTGATGGATGTAGATGCGCAAGGAGTCATGCTCTCGTAGACAAAAGTAAAATCCCAGAAGGAATCGACTCGAGCAAGTATAACATGAACTATGAAGGCCCTTTTGTTCTGGCAACTTTGGTATTTCAAAAGTGAGCGTGAACACCCGAAGGTGCCCAGCTCGCAATCCAGCTCCAGTCAGTCACGGCCACAAGACGTAGCGCTGTGGTGACTGTTCTCTAGAAAGAGAGCCCTTGATTATGTCCTTGTGGACTGGGACAGCTGGATTGATGAGTTGCGGACAGGATCTGTCTAGTGATCTATATATCTGCGGTTTTATTAGCGTAGTAGTATTGAAAGACATAATTGGAATAGCATTAAATTCCGAATGGTTTCAGTGTCCAGAGGTGCTCATAGGAATGTCCAGAGGAGGTTGGTGAAAAAAAAAAAAAAAGGAGAATAAAGGAAGGTGACTCAGCAACATACCGCCCAGTTTCTGCCACTCTGAGGACACTATACAAATGGCTTTTTATACATATCTGGGCTAGACAGTCAGCTCTTGTTGTTAAATATGAAAAGCGCAGGGTGACCTTAAGTTGGCACGAGAGTGTGACGAAGAAGCATGACAACACGAAGATCGAAATATATCATTAGCACGACACCCGAGAAGAGGGACATGGTTAAGGTCGAGAAACATAGACTCTTTTTCACGGTGTCTTTTGTTCTCTTTAAAGATATCAGATATCAAACTAGGGAGATTGCAGAGGTGCAGTGGGCTGTCTGTATTGATACGGGACATGGGTTGATGGCAGAAAAGGACTCCCCTTCCTCTTTCTCTCCTTTCTCTCCATAGCCCCCATGAGATGTAGGCAGAGGATTGTGTCTGTTCTATGCACTACAAGGATAATAACAATACTCAAGTTGTTGAGGTCTTCGTAGGCCCACACTCATATGAACCCTTTCTCGTGGAAGCCTTTTTTTTTTGCCAAAGGCACGGCTGAGCTTTGGAGACTTCTTTGACATGACGAGTGCCACGGAATACATGGGGAGATGTTTCATCACACTCCTCTCTTGTTGAGTCACCTAGATAGCCACTGAATACATTTACAGTCAAAGATGCGCATCTTCACATTCAGGTTTCAATCTACGTGCATTTGATTCAGTTAATCTGTGGGAGACGGTCTGTTAGATAGCCCAAAGATGGTGACCATCAAGGACGTAGATGTAGATGCATATGTAGAAATCCCAAACATGAAAAATGGAACTGAACAAAAGGAAGCAGAAAATCATAACCTCATGGTAATCGTTCATGGGGATCGTTCATATCAATCGTTCATATCGTAGTGAAGTCGTTGCAATCAATGGTGGCGCTCACGCATCTCAACAACAGTAGTCCAACCCTCACAACAAGAGCGGCTCATGTTATGTCCACACCAGCAGCAGGTCACCTTCCGAGGCAGAAGAGGCGCAGGTCGTAGATCGGGCTGGGGAGCTGGGAATTGGCCGAATGGCAATGATCGCGATCCGGTCAGCTTGCGGGTACTGCTATTGGGTTGTTTCTTGGAGAGAGATCTGCCCAGCTTGGGATCTGAGCCTAGACGCTCGGGGCAGGCGAGACGGGCATAGACTTCGGAGGGTGGGTCGTGCCAGTACTTGCAGCGGCAGCAGATCACAAAGATCTTAGCGACGGTTTGTGGGTTGCGGGCTGTTTTCTCTTTTTGGGATTTTCTTTTGAGGATGCTCATGGGGCCTGGTCGCGTTTGGAGGCTGCCGGTTTGGCTACCTGGTTGGGTATCCAGTTGACTGCTGGGTTGGATGCTGGGGTGAATTTCGGGCTGAGTGCCAGGCTGGGAGCCGTACTGTATGCCGCGATAAGTGTCGCGACGAGCAGCAGGCTGCAGGATAGGCTGCAAGGCCGACTGGCTGCTGGACTGGACGCTGGGCTGGATGCTAGGTTGAATGCCTGGCTGGGTGCTGGGTCGAACTCCAGATTGCAGACTAGGCTGAATGCTGGGTTGAATGAGTGGACTGACGGGAGCCTCCTGTACGACCGGGAATTCGACAGCAGAGATCGAAGGACTGGTATCCACGCGAGTCAGCGAATTGCGTTTGAATCCAGGGGACTCAGGGGTATCTTCATCGGCAGTGTCATAATTTGAATGACCGTCGTGGGAGGAGGCGTGCGAAGAAGTACGGCTATGTCCTGGTATGAGCCCTCCGGGTCCTCCAACGGCAATGATATTCCCTGGGAGTTCAGTGGAAGTGCAAGAAGCTCGGCGGGGAGATCTCGCAGGAATAGCGTAAGTGCCATCCGACAGGTCCTTGGATGTTCGGCTGTTTCTCTCGCCGGGTGAAACACTTCCTGTATGGAATGGGGATCGGACAGCTACCTGGAAAGGACATGGCGGGATGTCTCCGAGCGTCTCGGTTGATGTAGTTGGCATTCTCCGATTCTCTTGGCTCCGTCTTTCGCTCTTCACTGGAACCTGTGGGAGTTCGACCGACTGTGGAGATTCTTGGAAGTTTTCCTTGAAACGACTGGCAGTTCGTTTTGGGGTGTGCGACGACGCAATCGGCAATTTGCTTCTCTCTCGACCCTCGGGAAGAGTTTGAGTGGGGGAGTGGGGGAGCTGGGGTGAGCTTGCATGGTCAAGGTTCTGTGCTGTCGGTGATTCGGGAATACTGGAGTCATTCTGGGTCGATTCATCTGTGTGTGCAGGGTTCAGCGCGAGGGGAGACGATTTGTATGCTCGTGGGAAGGGATCCACTCGATTCTTCCTGGCAAGATTCGCCGCGGAGTTTGTTTGTGCTGGGTTGGGTGGTAGATAAGACCTGGCACTGGATGGACTTGGCGCATTTTCTGAAGCTTCTGGAGTTTCCGGGGGTGTCATTTCCTGTAACTGACGTGTCGTGGTGACTTGAGTAGGGGAACTGGGATAACCGGGTGGATGGAAACTGGGCTGGCTCACGCTCTGCGGCATTGGCATGCTAGTAGCCCTGACAGAATGACCATGATGAGCCACACGATCAAGAGGATTTTCTGTGGCGGGCACACTCTTTCTGTCATGCTTCAGAGCTGCGGAAAACAGCTCCCTATCTAGATCGTCCGAGGATGCCAGTGTCTCGCGGTTCCGAGCAGCGTTTCCAATGGATCGACTACCTTTCGGAATCTGCTCCGACACTGACCGATTGGACTGGATGTCTTTTGCTTTCCAGGCTTCCCACATCCTCCAGTTCTCCCGAAGATCATCAGACTTTGCGGAGGCGTGCAATGAGCGGCCCTGCTGGGTCGCGTTGGGCATTTTATTCGAAGCGGAGAGATTTAGTGCGGTACCATGCTTGGACTGTAGCTCTCGAGTGATGGCCGTTCCAAACCTTTCCGGTAGAGCTAGCGGCAGAGAGGGCGGGTTCGTATCCGTCCTAAGCTGGCTAAACTCGGCAGACGGAAAGTCCACATCGCTCGAATTTGAATTGCGGCGTGATCGCCGGAATATCGAGGAAAACCCACTTGACGATTTCGGACGCTCTGCATTCGCACTGGAGCTTCTGCTTGAGCTGCTCACCGGTTGTTTCTTGGTCAGACGGCGAGCGGATCGTTCATAGATTCCGAGGTCGGCCTTGGATTGGGCATCCTCAAGTGCTAGCAACCGTTTCTCGAGTTCTTTTCTCTCGGCTTCCAAGCGCCGTGTGACGCGCTTTTCTTTCTTGGATTTGTCCCACGTTGGAGATTTGCAGATAATGTCTCCATCTCCATTGGGGTGGCTAGGCACGGGCGTCCTTTGTTGGATTGGAGTATCATCCTCTATAGAGGCCCCGTTTGCGATTGGTAGACTCGATCCAGGTGTACCGGAGGAGGGTAAACGAGAGTGAGAGGAGTAAGAGCGCGAGCTGGGGCCGGTCTCATCGTGGGAGTGTTGCGCATAGGAATTACCGTCGGCTGCTTCCTGTGCGAGAGCTTCACGGGCAAGAAATGGAACTGGGGGAATAAAGTCGGAATGTCTTTTCTTCACGGGGTCAAATGAAGTTCCTTTCTATAATATTCTTAGTCAACTTACATCCATAGATTTGCTAAAGACGCGGTGGATGTGGTCTGAGATGGATGATCGACGGGCCCTGCGGGGCTGATCGACGGGAAAGGCCATTGGGATTTTTGGGACTTATTGAACGAATGACATTGAAAGTTCACAGATGTAGAGGGAGAGATTGAAGGAATCGTGATACGTGAGTCGTTAGGTTAGAAAAGGAAAAAAACGAGAGACAAAGGCCAAAGGCCAACACGAAAACAAAAAAACACAAGAGAGAAGAGAAAGAAAAAGAAAAAGGTGAAGCAGTCGAGAAAGAAATTCCGAAGGTGCGAAGGTGCTAAGAGATGGTGAGGCGCTGGTATTGGCTGTCATCTGAAACAACTCAACTTTTTTTAAGAGTCTCGATCTTTTTATAGATACTATATAAGATCTTTATATCTGATATCTTTGACATATCAACTTATATGCTATAGATTCTCTATATCTCTTAGCAACTGAATTTAGTTCAATTCTAAACTCGAATGAATCATGAAACTTGTCATCTCCCGATACTCTCGCCCCTCGCTTGGCAAATCTCACCTTTGAACATCGCCTCTAAATTATTCAAAATTATTCAAAACTGGAACTGGGATAGAAAAAAAAAACATGTCCGACTTACCGCCAAGTTACGAGGCATCACAATCCTCACAGAATGCTTCAGTTAATCCACCCCCATATCACAACTGGCAAGAAGCAGTCCCAGACACCGCCACATTTCCACCACCCCCCATTGCCGGCTACCTAATCTCAGGGACAGGGAACGCCTCCGAAGATGACGCGCAGCGCGCCCACGATTTCTGTGACTCGGTTCCACTCTGGCTCCCAACTCAGCCCTCACCCGCAGTTTACAATGACGTGCAGGTCCATGACTTTCGACCTGTACAGCCAACTGAGCTGCATGGGCAGGTCTCGGCTGTTGCACGTGGCCACTGGCGTGGACACAGCGTCGACGGGAATGGGGATTGTGTCGTTCTGACCCAGCTGCCCATGTACTTCCCTGCTGCAGACTCGCCCTTTGTCCGGGAGCAAAAGAAGACGATCTACTTCGAGGTCAAATTGTTGGCGCTGAGAGCCGGACCGACCCCGCAGGACTGTAGTGGGGTTTCGATTGGGTTTGCGGCACAACCGTATCCGTCCTGGAGATCGCCTGGCTGGGAGAGGGGTGGGTTGGGAGTGTTTTCGGACGATGGGTGTCGATTTGTGAATGATTCGTTTGGGGGTCGGGATTTTACGACGGCGTTCAAGGTGGGTGAGACGGTTGGATTGGGGATGGAATTTGAGCTGCCAGAGAATATCTGCAGTGGGGAAAAGCAGAGTACGAAATGCAAGGTGCATATCTTCTTCACGCGGAATGGACGTCGATCTGGGGGGTGGGATCTACATGAGGAGGTCGATGCGGATTCTGGGGGTGTTGAGGGCCTGGAAGGGGACTATGACCTCTATGGGGCGATTGGGCTGTTCGGTGGCGTCGATTTCGAGTCTTGTTTTGAGCCTGCAGGCTGGCTATGGAAGCCGGAGTGAAACGTGTGATACGTTTTGATCTGCCAAGTAAGGAGGGCCACAAGTCATAGGGCTGACCTTTTATTTTCTTTTGTTTTTTTTATTTTTTTATTTTTCTTCTGCTTCTTTTCTTTTGGCTTTCTTGCTTTATGGATGCAGAGCTGCATAGTTTGTATAGCTTACAGCTCTGTAGCTATACATGGCTATAGCGTTTGATGTGCTCATTTAGGTATAATAAGTCAAGGCACAATCTCAATGAGCTCGATAGCTTTACTCTGAGCAGAAACAGTAGAATCAGAAAAATATCACCGCTAAGAAATAGACAGCTAACATCTTCATGTCCAACTCATTTGCACAGCCTATTTTCAACGGCCAACGCCGAGGCTATATGTACCCTGTATGGCGTAAATGAGATTCTGCATACGGAGTATGTATTCTGGAAAGGGAATTATATTTTTCATTTTATGATATTCCACAATATTCCTAGTAGCTGCATCGCATTAGTGGCCGGGGGGATGCACGAGGTGCATTTCCGTTGCGACGACGGTCTTTGCGACGTCTGATGAGCAGGTGCATCTCTGCCGCTTTTCCGTATGGTCCCCGGGCTATCCTAGCTGCATGAACGGCAGGAAATCGTTTTATTTGACGTCAGGATATGCCGAGCGCATTGCGTTCTTTGTCCTTTTGCATATTGATGTCGATTTGGGCGTTTCGATACGAGAGCGGAATGGGGTTCGGGGATTTCTTGTGCTCAGACCCGAGTTTGATATCTACACTTAGCACGGAAACAATGATCACCATGTACCGTGAATGGATCAGTACCGGTAGTACCAATGAGGCTGATGGAAATGGACAAGATATCACGGAGTCGACTCGGTACTTCCCAAAGGAACAGAATGCGCACTGACAGCAATATGGAGATAAGCCTACGCTCGGTGCTCTCATGTTCGTAAGCGACTCTGCGTCTATTCATCTTGTATGTGCATCTTTCAATGACCAGTCCAGGTCGAGAAGCCCGATGGAAGAGCCGCAGTGAAAGGGTTTTGGATGAATCCTAAAGTATTCAAGAAACCTAAGTCGTAAAGAGATCAAGATATCAAGATACCTAGGTATAACAGATGGATTAGGAAAGGGAGACGCCAAGGCATAAAATACCTCGGAGACGTACAGTACGTACAATACGCACAATACGTAAGTCAGAGAACCGACGTGGGAAATGAGAGCATCCCGGTCAAACATCCACATACTCCGGAGTAGAGAGCTGGAAATGGCACGGATGCTTTTTGGTTTATTTCTTTTTTCCCAGGCCAATCATATTCTATCCTATTCGGAAATTATCTTCAATCTACCTTTGTTTTTTTTTTTGTACGGAGGATAGGTAGTAATGCTAGGTTTGCCGAGGTTTTTTCCTTGCTACAATGGGTTTGTATTCGAAAAGATCCACTGGGGACCAAATCCTCTCAACCTCTGAATAATGACAAGAATCGATAGTCAATTTAAAGCTGAAAGAGGCATCTCGGCTGTACTAATCTCCTAAAAATGGGGGGGGAATGTCTCTGATCGACTGCATGTCATCGCCCCTTTTTCCCGTGACAAGAGGATCCCGTTTGGCCCCCATTTGATATCCCGGAGTGACCTCGGGTCTATGCGTAAAAAGAAATCCACCAGACCCTCTCTTCCTGCCTTTTCACCACTCATAACTTTATAAGCGAAATAGGAATCCGGCCATTCCCGGTGGAGAGCGGGTTCGAATACTGGGAGTCCGTGCAGCCGAGATACGCGTCTGTTTCACTCAAGACGTGATCTGGGCGCGGCCGGACACCGTGGCTATTTTGTACTTTGCAAAGTCCCTTTCGGCTCGGCCGGAGAAAGAGACACCAAAAAGAACGGTGCTAAAGATACAAGGTACAGAAATATAGGTGCATATGCAGCGAACCCAGATGGAACTGTTGCAGATAAGAAATACACAAAAAGAGAAACCCCATAAATTGCCACTTGTAGAACCCTGAGAGCGAAGAGGTCTTAGCCATTTCTCCCAAAAGTACCCGATTGCGAGTTTGGACGATCACCGAGAGATATCCATATTGGGCCTTTTGCAGATGCATGCTCTCCGTGCCCCCATTCCGTTCCCGGTGCACTTTTTTTTTCTTCTTTAGACGCCAAAGCGACACTGGCGCGAAGTCAGCGGTTGTCTATTGGAAGGTGGTGGACCAATCATACTCCTTTCAGATTGAGAGTCGGCTTATATATAGGACTCTCCGTGTACTCCGTACGGAGTACCTCTGGAGTATATCGAGAGAATAGTCTAGATATCAGATATCATGCACGGTCCAATTTCATGGTATTCTTGTACGGGGTCCGGGGATATTTACCTTCACGCCACCGAGGCAGCTGGTTGCCCTTCATTTAAACGCATCAGGCGATCTGTCTTTGTCTTGCTCTGCTACTCCCATTTGCTATATCAATCCAATACCCCACCTTGAACGAGGAAACTACACTTGACCGATCGCCACTAGGATTATCCGTTTCAATTTTACATCTTCTGCAGGACTTCAATACGGAGTACTAACCTGCTCATCATTCCGTTCTCCGAAATCCGAAAGAGTCCCTCCCCCCCAAAAATCCCAAAAATCCGTACTTTTGAATATTGGAATCCCGAATTGATTCCGTTTTGCTGCGGACCACCATTAGTGCCAAAATTGTTCCACAAATCATCGTTTTATCAAAACTATAGAAGATGGGACATAATCAGGAAATCTAAAGAGATAGTGTAGTCCAGAACGGTCGCTTATAAAAGTTGAAGGCCCAGGGCAAATCGTTGAAATGCTTGCCTTTTTGCCGACAGAAAGATAAAGAGAAATGTTTCATGGTACCTGGAAACAAAGTCCCTTTGGTAGGGTTGCATTGCTTGGAAGGACCTGACTATCAGGTATCTCTATATGCATCTAACCTAACTAGTTGCCTGCTTATGATCTTTTATACATATATATTTTCTGATAAAATCACTAAACGAGTTAGTCTTGAAAAGCACAGCAATACAAAACAAGAAAGGTACAGATATTCCCCACACCCGAATATGCTGAAATACAGTGAAAATGCCGAATCACCGAATCGCTATTTAGGTATTGAGCGACATAGCTATATCACTACCGCGCCTTGCTATACAACATCTCGCTCAATGTCGAAGATAACTGAATAGAAGCTTACCAAAGTGACAAAGAGATGAAAATTGCATGGGCCGCCAGTACCTCGAGACTCTAGATCCAGGGTCTCTGACGCACGAGGCAAAAACTACTGCAGCACACTCAAAACGATGAGCTTTTTAGTTTTTGATTTATTGGTTTTTTCTTTTTCATTTAAATTATTTTTGACTGATTTTTATTTTATATCTATGTATTATTACTATTATTATTATAATTTTTTTTTTAGTTCATCGCATGTGCTGCCCTTCTTACTTTATAATCGCTGCTTCCCTTCAATTCAAGTACTTATCTCTTTTTTTTCCCTTTTCCTCTTCTCTACTAAAGGAAGCATTGTCTCCTTTGACATTCGTTTTGATTTTGCTTAGGCAATTGACCGAACTTGAATAGGAGTTGCTTATACCTCCCATCTAAAAGAGAAGATCGCCCCCCCTTCTCCCACCCCCCCCTCCAAAAAAAAAAAGAGTTAGGGTTACGTGGGGACAGTCCGAGTTTCACACCATGGCATTCCCGTTTCTGCGAGCATTCGTCACACTCTTGTGAGTAGAGAACCTAGGAACCCAATCCAAACCCAGCTAACGAAGGAACAAGTCTCTATCGTTATACCCGACTCGTGTTTAACTTGTTCTCCTTTTGGACATTTAAACCAATCCCACCACCGGAAAATCCCAAATTGACCTCCCAAGATGTGACAGTGATCATTCCATCGTTGGAGGGGTGTGGCGCCGAGCTGGTGGAGACCATACGGACCATTCTTGAAAATCAACCTTTTGAATTGCTCCTGGTGACAATTGAGGCCAATCGTATGAAGGCGGAGCAGATGCTGCAAGCCATGCCGGCATCGGAATCTCGAATCCGATTGTTCACAGTTGAGCATCCCAACAAGCGTCGTCAGATGACCCAAGCCATTCCCGAGGTCCGAACTGCTATTACCCTTCTCGCCGATGACGATGTGAGCTGGCCTCGTACTCTCCTCCCTTGGATCCTAGCCCCCTTTGAAAAAGAAGAGAAATACGGTGGGGTGGTGACCTGTCAGCGATTGCGCCGGGCCATTGCGCCGAGCCTCTCACAGCGAGTCTGGGGTTTCTTGGGTGCGTTGTACCTGGAACGACGCAACTTCGACTGCGGCGCGACGACCCATGTGGACGGTGGACTTCCCTGCATGTCGGGACGGACGGTTGCGTATCGGACGCAAATTCTGCAGAATGAGGCCTTCACCTATGCTTTCACCAATGAGGAGTGGTGGTGGGGCAAGTATCAACTCAACGCCGACGATGATAACTTTATCACCCGTTGGATGGTCTCGCACGGATGGGAAACTTATATGCAGTACCACCCAGAGGCAGAGGTGCTGACTACTCTCGAGGACAACCCTCGTTTCTTGAAGCAATGCGCCCGTTGGTCAAGAAGTAATTGGCGGAGCAATCTGACTTCGATGTTTCACGAGAAGCACATTTGGCAGTGAGTGTAACTTTTCTTTTGTGTTTTTTCTGCTTCTGATCTGGTCCGATTGGGACATACCTTGACTTGCCCTGCCTTTTTGATTGCTATGATCGGGTCAAAAAAGAGTTGGTTAGGCATAAGATGGTGTGACCGGAGACAAAGAGAGTGCATCACTAACATATTCTCCTATAGTCGTCAACCTTGGAGTGCTTATGCCGTTCACCTGACCACTTTGTCGCCGCCTGCCTTTTTAGGTGACATTTTACTTGTCTGGCTGTGCCACAAGGCAACTGGATCATGGGGAGAAGCATACCATGATCAATCCATGACGATGCTTTATATCTGGATCTTCACGAGCAAGTGGATTAAGCTATTGGGCCATTATCTTCGCTATCCAGTCGATGTGTTGTTACTACCCATCTCCATCCTCTTCGGTTATTTCCACGGTGCAATCAAGATGTACGCCGTAATGACATTGAACGTGGTGAGTGATAATTCTCTGGTCAAAATTCTTGTTTCTGTGTTATGTACCAAAGCGCAATTCCCTCCTATGATAGCTCAGCATCATAACGCTTGGGTCACTGTCTCCTGCAGCTCTGCTTACCCCTCGATTGTTTGAGATCGCGCAGCTATCTACTGGGACTTTTTTTTTTTGTTTTTTTTTTTTTTTTTTTTCGAATCTCGCATTGGCCATAGACCCTGGACTGACTTTGAGCTTTTTTTTTTCTTTTTACAGACAACATGGGGTAGCCGCGATGGCGCCGATGATTACGACGCTGAACGTATGAAGAAGCGGACGGATGCTGATCGGATGAAGCAACCGTATTACCCGCAATATCTCATCAAATGAGGTCTTTCACCAAATTTATCTCCTGTTCTCTTTTTTCTCGGATATCTACCATCGGGGATCATACTGAACAGGGGAGAGCTTCTGGCCCACTAAGTTGGTCCTTTATATTCATGACGAAACGCCGTGACGACACCCATATGCTCTGCTTTGATTTTAGATCTGTCCCCTTTTTTCCCCACCCTTTTACCCTGGCGGTTCTGCCCATCTCGCCAAGTTGTCCTTGAGAGTGATAGGAGCAACAGCCCTTCCTCTCCATCAAACCCTACAACTTTACTTCTGCCCAATGCTTTCCTTTTCTCTGCACATTGCCTGGTTATCACAAAATGGTAGGGTCTCGATCCATTGAGGCCTTTTTACCCTTTCTCTTCTTGTAAATTACAAAAGCATGGGCGGATGTCGTTTTGCAATTGTTCCGCGATTGTTCTGCGCTTGACTCTTCGCGTCTCAGTTTACTTTTCAGCTTTGATTCCCCTGGATTTTCCGTGAGAGCCATTTGTCCTTCTTAGATGCAAGGTGGTAGTTTGAACTTTTACTTGAGCTCTCGCTTTGTGCTTTCTCAAATTGCAGATTAACACTAATTGACTGGAATATACACACAATTTGTCCCATACAACATATAAAGAATAGATCCTTGAAGCCTCGGAGCAATAGATTTGGTCATAATTTCGTATTCTGATGCCATGCAGATGACTCGGTCTAGAACCAGTAAAAGGCCTGGATGTAGTAAGAAAATAGCGTCAAAGCTCATTGACATGTGCAATTTATGTGAGACAATGTACTGTAGATTGTACATGTAGATCGTGTTTGGGGTTGTGGCGCGTGTGGCGAGCCAAGACTTCGGGAAATGTTCGAGTTCCAACCTCGAACTGGAGGATTCAGGAACCAACTGTCCTCCATCAACTCCTTCGTTCTCTACTATAACCCATTGCTAGGGATCTGTTCCTCCAGGAAATGGTCGCTTTTTCTCGCGCTGCGCTATCGTCGCAGCTATCCGCCGTAGCCCGTCCTGTCTCGCTATGCCGGTGCATCCACTCGTCTCCCTTCAGATCAGCCGTTGCACACCCAGTCACTGCCCATGGTCCTCCTCCTCAGGCCCCAGAGTTGAAAGAGACCTCAAAATCGAATGATGGGGAGCTCCCATCTTCCGAGGGAGCTTCACGATACAATCTCACCAATGCGCTAAAGAAGCGGTTTTGGAAGGATGTCCATGTGCAGGGAAAGTCAGGTATGAACGCAACAGATACTGGCTGTCTTTCTCATCAACCATCACATCTTGTAATACCCGCCAGCTAATGCAGCAAATTCTTCATCCAGATGAATATCAAGTCCTGCTTGACAAGCGACCCGTCAGAACGCCGGCGAAAGAAGTCCTTACGATTCCCTCCACAAAGCCTCATCTCGCCCATGCTGTTGCGCTGGAGTGGGATGTGATGCCATCCGCCCAAAGTGCGCTCAAAAGTCACCTTATCCCCATGACCTCCCTCGCCGCCCGCGCCGCCGATATTGCCCGCGAAGATGCCGAGGGCAAAACCACCACCAGACAACAGATTATCACAACCGCCATGCGTTACCTAGACACTGATACCCTACTCTGCTGGGAGCCTGAGCGACAAATGCACGTGTTAGAACGGACGACGGCCGACGGAAAGCCTATCGAGAGTCTCCGCCAGATTCAAACGAGGATCGCGGGAAATATCATGAGCTTTTTGTCTACCAAGGTCTGGCCTGGCCTTGAAATCATTCCCATTCTCGACACCAATAGCATTCTACCTCTCTCCCAACCGAAGGGTACGAAAGACAGTATCCGCACCTGGGTTTCGGAATTATCTGCGTATGACTTGGCCGGCCTTGAGAGGGCAATCCTTGCTTCCAAGAGTCTTCTCATTGCGGTCCGTCTGGTGGTGGAATGGAGTGAGAACTTCCGCCACGTTCAGCGACCCGAGACCAAGAAGTTCGGTATCGAGGAGGCGGCTGAGGCATCGAGTCTGGAGGTGACCTGGCAGACTGACATGTGGGGCGAGGTTGAGGATACTCACGATGTTGGCAAGGAAGACTTGAAGCGACAATTGGGCAGTGTTGTGATTTTGGTGAGTGGAGAGACTCGATAAGTTCCGAGTGTGTAAAATGGATATACTGTATGATAGATATAAATGATATAGATGGCCTGTATGGCCTTTGTATAAATGCCTGTACATCCATATCGAGATCAACATCATCATTGCCAAGGCGGAGATCAGCATCATTTGCCCCCCAAACAAGGGCCCGAGGGTTCCCCTCCCCCCGAATTTCTCATCTCAAGTACTTTCAACCTTTGCGCAGTCATTTGTATCGGGGATATCCGGTTTATAAGGATGTCTGAGAAACCTGAAGGGTAAGTCCAAGGTTGTTCCCTTTTGGTGGGATCCATGGTTCATCGTGTACTATGACGGCTGTGAGGGAGTCCGCCCTTTTTGACTTGTCTTGGGTGTCTCTCAAACCGGGTCACCTTTGAAGTCGTCATATATGAATGGTATATATGTGCACGGTGTATGGCCTTGGTACTGACATGCCACTGTCGTTCAGGCACAAACGCTCTCGAAGCGCAATAGCTCTTGCCCTCCTCCACCGCGATAAATCCAAGAGCGAAGATAAAACCGACGGAGATACCAACTCCGTTGACTCTACCCCCTCGAACCCCGGCTCGTTGAAACACACCCGCAGCAGCAGCCGCCACAGCCGTCGCAAACAAGGCCAGGACCCGAGTCCACAACCGGCCATTCAAGAATCCGCCGAGAATATAGACACAGCCAAAGACATGCCTTCCTCGAACCAGATGGAGACTGGGAGCATGTCACTTGAGCAGTCTGTTCGCACCTTCCGTCTCTTCGAGATTTTGCGTAGTGGCGATACCACCGCCATTTCCAAGGCCATCAAGGATACTGTCGACCCGCAGGGCGTGAGTTACCTCAACGGCACAACTGTCCTCCATTTGGCTCTACAGTGCGCTGAGCCCCAAGTTGTGGAGTATGTGCTGTCCACCGCCGAGAACCTCGATATCAACTCGCGCGATCGGGATGGAAACACGCCACTTCACATTGCCGCCCAGCTGGGTCGGGCCCCGCTTGTTCGCGAATTGCTGAACCGACCGTCTATAAACGATTCTATCGTTAACTATCGGGGTCAGACGGCTCTCGATTTGGCCCGTACCCCTGAAATCTTCCAGCAACTTCAGCTTGCGCGGTCTCTCTTCATCGATAGCAAAAACCAGGAAATCCAGGCTTTGATTGGAAGCTCCGATTACAAGGGGCTAGAGGCTTTGCTTGAGGAACCTCGAGTGGAGGGTATTATGGATGTGAATAGCTACGACCTGGTTACCGACCCGACGACAGCCCAATCCGGTGGCACGCTTCTGCATGAAGGTGCTAGAAATAAAGATTCGCAGCTCATTGAAATCCTTTTGACCCATGGGGCGGACCCTTTCCGTCGCGACAAGAAGGGGAAACTACCGCAGGATGTTACCAAAGATGATAAAACCCGCGCTCTCTTGAAGAGATCCCCGGCTGCTGTGATTGCTCAGCGCGGTATTCAGGAACGAGCTATTCTCGGAAATAGTAACGCTCAAGGCCTTGCTGGGCGCGTCTCAGTTGGCGATGCCCCGCTTGGAGGCAAGGATGCCCGCGAGATGAGAGGCTATCTCAAGAAATGGACGAATTACACCACGGGATACAAGTTGCGCTGGTTCGTTCTGGAGGATGGAGTATTGAGTTATTATAAGCACCAGGGTAAGTCCGGGATTTATCTTCAGTCTTGTCATCGTTCCTTCTGCTGTCGACCCCTGCTGACTTTCTTCATAGATGATGCAGGCTCTGCCTGTCGCGGTGCGATCAACATGAAGATTGCTAGACTTAGCATGGATGCGCAGGATAAGACGCGCTTTGAAATCCATGGCAAGTCATCGGTCAAATACCACCTTAAGGCCAACCATGTTGTGGAGGCAAAACGCTGGTTCTGGTCTCTCAACAATGCTATTCAGTGGGCCAAAGATGAAGCGAAGGAGGAGGAGCGTCAGCGATCAAAAAATGCAGAGGTGCTTCGCCAGGCCAAGATCGATCAGACAGAAGGACGCCCTGCGGATACACCATCGGAGTCTGGCCTTTCTCACAAGCCCAGCACAAAGGGTCTCGCTCCTCCCTCTTTGGGCGGTGGCAGCAGCAGCGGTGGCACAAGGCTCAGCACATATGCATCCCGGACTACCCTGGATATTCCAGCTGGAGACGAAGATAGTTCCGCTTATGGCGGCTCTTATGACCAGATTCTTTCTCCAAACGACATGAACAGAGTAATGAGTCATGTCACAACTGCGCCGGACGAAGAGGCCGAGGATGAAGAATTCGTCGACTATGGTTCAAGCCACGAGAACGAGATGCCAGTCGCCGATAAAGATGCTCTCAATATTACCGCACAATCTGCGAAACTTCAGTTGGATCTTCTTGCAAACGTGGCTGCCTCGATACAGACCGAGAAATCCAAGAATCCGGAAATGACCATCTCGGATCCAGCCCTTGAAGAGGCCCTCGGTGCTTATGAAGCCGCAGTCAGCAGCCTCAAGGGTCTAGTGCAGAATCTACTTAAAATCTCACGAGACCGAGATTCTTATTGGCAATCTCGTCTCAGTAGAGAGGAGTCCATTCGTCAGATGTGGGAAGAAAGCATGGCACGCGTGGCCCGCGAGCACGAAGAGCTACAGTCCAAGATGGGCGAGTCCGAGGAGAAGCGGAAGCGGACGAAGCGGGCTCTGAAAGAAGCCCTAGAGAGCGCAACAGGCAGTAGCCGGTCTTTCGCCGGTGCTCAACCCCAGTTGCCAACAGAGAACCAGGACCTTGAGGTTAGCCAAACTGAGAGTGGGGTTTCCGAGACTATAGATGAAGCAGACCAGGCTACACAGCAAATATCCACGAAACCGGCGCCCAGTCGCAATCCATCGACCTATTCCAAGCTTAGCAGTCTTTGTGATTCAGAATCAGACGGAGAAGAGTTCTTTGATGCTATTGATGCCGGTGAGATCGAGGTAGAGGATTTCAAAAACGCCAACGAGAGCAAGGTGGAACAACCTCAAGATGAAAGTGCTGAGCTTCGGGCTGTGAAGAGGACCATTATTGCACCATCTTTCAAGGGTTATGAAGATCCCGTTAGAGAGCGACTTAAGATGGATGCTGATGATCGGCCAAAGATTTCTTTGTGGGTATGTTGTGGTATATTCTTGTTCCTTTCGTTGTCGGTGCTAATTACTTCTCAGGGCATTTTGAAATCTATGATTGGAAAGGACATGACGAAGATGACGCTCCCCGTGTCCTTCAACGAACCAACTTCACTGCTTCAGCGAGTGGCTGAGGATCTTGAATATACCGACCTCCTTGACATCGCTGCTGGTCGGTCTGACTCGATGGAACGCCTGGTCTATGTCGCCACCTACGCCGCAAGTGAGTATGCTTCGACCATCGGCCGTGTCGCAAAGCCTTTCAACCCCCTTTTGGGTGAGACCTTCGAGTACGTGCGTCCGGACAAGGGCTATCGATTCTTTGTGGAGCAGGTCAGCCACCACCCACCGATTGGAGCTGCGTGGGCTGAGTCGCCCAAATGGGACTACTGGGTAAGTGTCTCCGATATTCGTGACCCAATGCCTGTTACCAGAGCTAACCTCAATTGCGTACTCAGGGTGAATCCTCCCTCAAGTCCAAGTTCTACGGCAAATCTTTCGACATCAACCTTCTGGGCACATGGTTCCTGAAGCTGCGACCTTCCTCGGGAGGAGAGGAACTTTACACCTGGAAGAAGGTGACCTCATCGGTTATTGGCATCATCACTGGTAACCCCACAGTGGACAACTACGGTATGATGGAGATCAAGAACTGGACTACCGGCGAAGTCTGCTACCTCGATTTCAAACCCCGTGGTTGGAAGGCCTCATCGGCCTACCAGGTGACAGGAAAGGTCGTCGACAGCGAAGGCTCCCCCAAGTGGAGCATCGGGGGCCGCTGGAATGACAAGATCTACGCGCGTCATACCCCCGGCTTTGAGGCACCTGTCTCCGGTCAGGATCCCGAGTCTGCCAAGACCTTCTTGGTTTGGCAGGCTCATGCTCGTCCCACCGGTATACCCTTTAACCTGACCCCTTTCGTCATCACGCTCAACGCTCTCCCCGAGGGTCTGAAAGAGTGGTTACCTCCCACCGATACCAGACTGCGACCCGATCAGCGTGCTATGGAAGATGGTGAATATAGCTTGGCTGCTGATGAGAAGCACCGTGTTGAAGAGAAGCAGCGTGCTAAGCGTAGAGATCGCGATACCAACGGCGATGTCTACGCGCCGCAATGGTTCACCCGTGACAAGTGTCCAATTACCGGAGAGGAATTCTGGGCTCATAATGGAAAATACTGGGAGTCCAGAGAAGCGCATGATTGGAGTCGATCCGAGGATATCTTCTGAGAGGCCGTTTTGACTTATTGTTTTTGCTTGATCGCTTTGTACAAGACTCGATTGTCATAAATAAACGAATCAATTCTTTGCACAGCTTTCTTTTGGTTATGGGCTTCTCTGAGAATAAATCTCACAACATGAATGAGGTATCTTCAGGTAAAATTCACTTAATCCATAGAATAAAACCGACAATTCAAAGTCAGAAGTTGAAGATATCTTCGCCCAGAGATGGTCGTTATCAGTCACGTGTCGCCGCAAAAACATCCCCAGAGCTATCCGTGGTCTGATCAATTCCCCTCCACAACCAATTGACGTCGCAATGACAGGATACACTTGTGTCCGGTGCCTACAGGTCCTCCGTCAAGGAGCCCGGGCCTCAGCTCCTCAGGCTCGTCTGCAGAGCCTCGTCACCGCGCGGAGCAGAAGCCCCATCTCCCAGTCTTTCATCCGCAGCTTCGGCTCGCAACGCAACAGTCGCTCGCTGGGCAGTTCTCCGGAGCAGCCAAAGCACATACACAGCCAGTCCTGCTGTTCCCTAAAGTCCTCGCCTTCGCCTCTGGGGGAGCGAGCAGCCCACACGGCTACCAGCTCCTCCGTCAACACTCGGGTTAACAACACTGGGGCCGTCTTGAAACCTGACAACCTGTTCCACTCCTTCTCGGACTCCCCCTCGCCGGCAATCCGCAAACGTGCCCAGTTCATCAAACAGAATGCTTTCTGCCCCCATCCAAGCCACCAGCAGACCCGTGCGCCCGTCTCGCCGCATGACCCTGAAGCTAGAAAAAGTACCGATGAGGCAAACCTGCCCCCGGCCCATTCCCACTTCGAGTGCCCCGACTGCGGGGTGCCAGTCTACTGCTCCGAGGGCCACTGGATGGACGACTTCGAGGCTCACCTCGAGATCTGTGACACTCTGCGCCAGATCAATGAGGACGACCACGACCTGAATTCCGGCCGCTTCTTCCCTGAATTCCATTACCCCGGTCCTCAGGATGATAACTTCGTTATCAACATGACTAACTGGGACACTTACCTCTACACCCGTGAATTCGCCGCTATCAACGACGACCGTTCCATGCGTCAGGTCACCCGCATGCTCACCTACCCCCAGACAATCGGCAGTGTCCTGCACGAGCTTAGTCCGTACAGTGTTCGTTCCGGTGGACGGCTTACACCGGAGGGATTGAAGAGTATGAGTGGTAAGTCCTGATACTATACAGCAGCAGAGCATATGCTAGCAGTGTCCCCCAACATCCCATCCGCATGGCAAACTAACCATCCCCCAGCCCTCCGCTACACCCTCCACCCCCTAAATCCGGTGAAAGCATCGATGCTAAAGGCCTCCGCCTGCACGCACCCCCAGTGCGGATCTTCATCCTCGGCGCCCGCGCCGAGTCCTCCCTCCCCCGCGACGTCTGGCTGCAGCTGCAGTACATGTACCCGCGCGCCCTACTGCACCTAATCTTCATCGGGCCGGAGAGTATGGCGAATCGAGACGGAGAGTATCCGCTTCCTGAGCGCACGCCCGAGAACCCCTTTGGTGGCATTGTTGAGGACAGACTCGGTGGCCAAATGAAGATCACTACCTATGTGGACTACTTCCACACTATGAACAAGGCTCAGTACTTCGGACCCTTTGATCCTTACCTGGATTGCTTTATGCTCTTCCATCCTGGTCTTGGTCACCCAGCTAGCTCGCATGAGTGGGAGGAAACGCTGCCTCAGCTACTTGAGACTAAGGTTCCTATCATCTGTACTGGGTATACGCAGTGGGATTTGGAGCGTGATATTAAATGGGTGGGTGAGAAGTGTAGTGGGGAGTTTGATGTACTTCTCGAACCCGGGGAGAATATCTTCCGCAGTCTGCGCTGGGATCTCAATGATCAGGATCCCCATGATGTTTCTTGTGGAAACTGGGGATTGTGGGCCTTCCGAGGCAAGAGGTATGTGGTGTCTTTTGCTAAGTAGAGGGATATTAGCTAACTTGCGACAGATACGAAGCTGCTTTCTCCAAAGAGTAGGCTAGTTATCACTCTCCTCTGTGTACGATATTTCTTTTTTGGTGCCCGTTCTCGGGGTCGATGTAGTAGATAAGATTAGTTTCAGTCCTCTCCAAAGTTATTCATGATCCTTGATGCGCTTGATTTGGCCAGTTGTTTTTCAAGCGTACGCCGTAGAGGAAGCCATAGATGAGCTCTCATTGAGAAGCCAAGACTCCACACTATATGTGAACTATATGTGAAGACTCTACTCTCTAATTATGATATGGAGAAAGGTTACAGATTAAGTAAAATGTCAAAGGTAGTCGCGATGAGTTGTGGGAATTTCACAAAAAGATAAAGCTCGTAAGTCTCACACTCGTTAAGTAACAGTAGTATGACATCCAAGCGCAACGATGCAAGCATCGATGCGAAGAAAGAATCCAGAGTCAACCAAGACAGAAAGGAAGTAGCATTAACAGAAAATGCTTGGATGAGATCAAAAGGGGAGTATTGAAGATAGAAGAAAGGGTATAAACATCGGAAAATCGGAAAACACGTAAGAACCACCGTGAACAAAGAGTCAAAGGTTTGAAATAAAAAAAAAAAGGTATGTCAAGAAGAAAGAATATGTAGAGAAGAAAATATCCCAAAAAGAAGAGATGGGAAGGATCAAGTGGGGGCCATTCTAGATGGCGTCCAATACCCCAAGGCTGACACCGGACGCAATGCGACAAAAAGTCAAGACTTAGATCGCGAGCGGGTGTAGCTCAAACATTGACTCGTAGAAATGAGCCAGTAAATGGAGTTTAGATCATGAAAAGACCAGCAATGGCGACTGCGCCAGCCATGAAACCAGGGAGTTGGACAGAGGCAGCACCGGCGGTAGCAGGGACCGAAGGAGTGGCCGAGGCAGTCTCACCAGCGTGGGTGGTAGACTTGATCAGGCGAGTAGAGGAGCTGGCAATGCGGCTCACAGAAGGGGTAGCACTGGGGGAGGGAGTGCTAGTGATGACAGGAGTCCAGGTCGAGGAGGGAGTTTCAGTCGTTGCGATTGGAGTCGAGGTGGACGATGGGGGAGTGTAGCCGGAAGGCACCAGAGTGATGGTCTGGGTGATACACTCAGCTGAGGCAGCTTCAGTAGCAAATGCGACAGGCGCGAGGGCCGACAGGAAGAGAAGAGCCTTGGTGAACTGCATTGTTTTGGCAAAGGTATGATATTGAGAATTGAGGATTGAGGATTGCAAATTGCAAATTGCAAATTGAGACAAAAGCGGTTGAAAGAGTGAATATAGCTGATAAAAGAATGTGAGAACAAAAGAGTGACACTGTTTAAAACAGGAGAAGTTGCAGGTTGAGAGAGGAAAAAGGGAGACTCCAAGGCGCTTGTATCGTTGGGTCACTAGTACCCAGGCCAGGCACTCAGGCACTCAGGTATCAAGGCTATAAGGCATCAATCCACAGCAACCATTGGAATGTCACAACTCTCTCTACATTCAATGATTCACATAGATCAGATACTCTTTCTCTTCTATTGAATGTTGAATGCCTGATTTCTCATCTTTCTCTCCTACTTAAAGGTAGCTCTCGTTTCTGACAGTACAACTAGTCCAATTTAGGAATATCCTCTTCGTAGTTGTATTGTTATTCTTTAGTCTTCGTCAGGGTTGAAGGAGATAGAAATGACATTGAAGTTTGTGCTTGTGTGGCCTTACATAGAAAATCTTGATTTCAAACCCGGATCATTCAGATCTCTTAAACTAGGATTCGGGATGCTTAGGAGACTATTTGACGTTCTCGAATTCGATGTAGAATGATAATAAAGAGAAGAGATGTGCCCGATCAAGACAGTTTGGACTTGAGAAAGGGAAGGCGAGGAAAAAGAAGAAAGAACTGAATTCATTTCATTACCGTCAAGCTTGAAATGTTTCTGGTTGGCGATGCATGCCGAATGTAAAGCCTGAGACTACGTCTGATACTTTATATGCCGTTCGTTGCGCGTTGCGATGTACACTTTTCCAGTCCAGTCCAATTCAAAGTCTTCACATTATCAAAAGCAATTTGCTTATGGATATAAAGAAACACACTGTTGTACAGCCCAAGGGCAAAGTTCCCAAACCGGGGTATCAAAGTTGCAAGCAAACATCCCATCCCAATCATTTCTTATTATAGCAGTAAGGCTCATCATCAACGACAGCCAGGTTGGGCCATGAGAACCCGGGAGTCAGAAAGCAGAAAGCAAAGCAAAAAAAAAAAAAAAAATAGTCAGCCTTTAAAATCCCCAGACGGCGGCTACCACCACGGCAACGGTCACCCAGTACCCGCTGGCATGCAGGACCATCGTGACAGGCCCGGATGCCGAGGAGGTATTAGTCGAGCTTCCGTCATCGGCAGTGGTACCGTTGGGCAAGGTGCCATTAATATAGATGGTCTGAGTGCCATTCACATCGGCCACGCGCACAATACTGGAGTTTTTGGGCACGGTACCGTTGAAGAGAGACTCGTAGTAGGTGCTGTTGTTGTTGTTGTCGCAGCCACACTCAGAGTACTCTTGGCACACACAGACAACGGGAAGCGACTCGTTCTTGTGGGCATTTTGGTTGTAGTAGCTGTAGGGATGGCTGTAAGGGTAGGCGTACGCGCTGTACAGCCAAAGACCGGGAAAGACACCCAGTGCGGCTCCTCCGAGCACGTAGGGGGCAATGCCTCCCCGGGATCGGGACCCAGACTTGTAGGGAGTTCGTGCACCGCCGGCATAGTAGTTGCCACCACCGTAGGTTGCTCGAGTGCCAGAGCCGCCACTGGTTGTACCACCAACATTGCTTGAACCACTGCGACTGCCTCCGTTGGAACCGGAAGAACCGGTGCGGCCTCCGCTGCTGCCACTTGAACCGGAGCCCGAGGAACCTGAGGAACCGGAGGAGCCCGAGGAAGAACCAGTGCGGCCTCCACTGCTTCCTCCAGATGAACCACCACCGCCGCCACCTCGGCCTCCACCGCCGCCACGTCGTTTTTCGAGTGTTGCAATATCTGAGATATCCTGAGAATCCCCGGAGTCCAGGAAGCTCAGGGAGTCCACATCTCGTTCGATGAGATCAGTAGACTTTTGAGGGATGGTCAGGGATGTGACCGTGGATAGTAGCAGGAGCGCTACCCAGGTGAACTTCATAGTGAGTTGTAGAGAATATGAAGAATATCAAGTCCACAGGAAGAATCAGGGTCAAAAGGAGGAAAAAAAAAAAATTGGATGACGAAATTCTGACTACCGGACTTCGCTGGTTTCGGGGGATTCACTGCTTATATCCTCAATACGTAAAATATATGCTCTATATATTAAAATATATATAAAATATATATCATACTCAAAGGGATCACACACTAAAACATCAAAGCGATATCAGCCTCGGGCTTAAAGCGAAATACGAGAGTTGGGAGTACTTTATTGGACCTATACTACGGAGTAATAATATACTAAACTATATAAGTATCATCGGCCTATCCCCTGAAATCTCTAGAAACTTGCCACTCGCCACTTTATCAAGTGTAGATGTGTAGATCTCCATGACTTCATATGTATAATGTTGTAGGTCAAGTATACACAACCTTAACCCCTAAAACTTCGTATACGCTTCTACGCCCCGTATCCTCAGCCCCAAGCCATATGAAAACAGATGAAATGGGAGTCTGATCCTATAAGAAACCAGTTGATAGCCATGATAGTCATAGCAATTATAGTTATAGCAAGGCGAAATTCGCCTTCCAATGTTTAGATCGCAATTGAGCCGTTAGTCTACATCTCCTTTCTATTTTGTTACTTCCCTATTTTCTTTCTATTTGAAATATAATAGTCTATCAAATAGAAATAGAAAACAGTTAATGGTTCATATTAATAGTTCATATAGTTAGAGAGGATCACTCCCGGTCGGGCAGCTTTCCCCCCCAAAATCAAAGCTGCCTTTCGCTCATATCTCCCTACTCCATACTCATTTCGCTACCCGCTCATGGCACGTCAAAGAGGTCTTTCGAATGCCTCTTCAACTTCCTCGGTCTCAGACCAGGTAAATAATTCATCCCCATCCTTCATCCTCTCCCTAGAAACCGGCTAATGCAATCATAGGAACTGGGGAGCATGTATGATTACCTCGCCAAAGTCATCCTCCTAGGACCAAGTGGCGCTGGAAAGTGAGTAAAGTACTCCGTACTATATTCATATATGATACATACCAAGCTTAGATCATCTGCTGACATCGGACCCTTGAAGATCTTGTGTACTACACCGCTTCGTGAAAGACGAATGTACAACCCTCCAATCTCCTTGAGCTCTCTCTTTATTCCTCTGACTTACCGTTGATCCAGGGCGAGTACTTTCTTCTCAGACCATTGGCGTGGAATTCGCATCACGTATCGTGAAACTTGGCACGGGCTCGCGTCGGAGACGTATCAAACTCCAACTTTGGGATACAGCAGGCACAGAACGCTTCCGATCCGTTTCAAGATCATACTATCGCGGCGCAGCAGGCGCAATCCTCATCTACGATGTCGCTTCCTACGCTTCCTTTGCCTCCCTCCCGACCTTCCTCATGGACGCCCGTGCCCTCGCTTCCCCGAACTTATCCGTCATCCTGGCTGGGAATAAAGCTGACCTGACCTCCGAGGGGCAGTCCGATTTCGAAGACAACTCCCGCCCGCCTCCAACCCCATCTAGCACCACCAGCAGACAGTCGTCGATCCCGTGGGATGTAAATGGGTCGATTCGCTCGACCAGCATGATGGGGACGGGGACCAGGTTGACAGCTACCCGTGCCTCGGAAGGCAGAGAGGTTAGCTCCGAGGAGACATCCCACTGGGCTGCCAAGTCAAATATACCCGTGGCCGTAGAGATCTCGGCTCTGACGGGGGATGGCGTGGAGGAAGTCTTTAATCGATTGGCCCGTATCATTCTGACCAAGATTGAGCTCGGTGAGATCGACCCCGATGACCCGCAGAGTGGGATCCAGTATGGGGATGGAGGTCTATATGGCGGCAGCGACGCCTCGAGTATCAGAAGTCGGGCAACGTTGGACGAGAATTCCGTACCCCTCCAGCGCAGGACCCGTCGAAAGGGCAAGGCTCCCGGTACTGGACCTAATTGGAAGAGCGGGATGAGGGAATGGGAGGATGTTTTCCGCTTGGGCTCTGGAAATCACCCAAATCAAGGGTGCTGCTGAGATTATATCATCCCCCTGGATATGCTCGAGTCTTTGATTTTCTTGTTCTATTTTGATTCGGTCTTTTACTACACTGCACGATACCCCACTGTTGGCCTTGCATCATTTCTATATGTTACTTGATTTACTCAACAGCTTAGAGCTCCAAGAAGGAGAGTCATTGACATGTCAAATTTTGTTTCATCTCTCCAAAAAATCTGTTTTAAAAATAAATTACGAACGCCCCGTTTATCCCCAGTATTTCGTTTCGATAACAGAACTTACACATCAATACCAGCAATCAGGGTCTTGATGCCCTTGCCAGCCTTGACCCCGATAAAGGCCTGCTCGGCTTGGTCGAACTTGACAGTGTCGGTAATCAACTTCTTGACATCGACCTTGCCGGACGAAACCAGTCCAACGGCAAGCTTGTAGTCTCCACTGCCATACCGGAAGCTGCCCTTGATAGTCAACTCCTTGGAGCAAGCTGCCATGATAGGGAACTGAATCTCGCTGCGGCCCATGCCCCCCCTGTACGTACGTGCCCCCGTTGCGCAGTACATGGATGCCCGTGTGCACAGAGGGTTCCGCACCCGAGGCGTCAATCGCCACATCGGCACCGGCGCCGAGCTCATTCTCTTGTCTCAGGCGCTCGGCGTTCTCAGTGGCCGCAACCTTGCTGGGCATGAAGGTCGACGTCGTGGCGTAGTCCTTGGCAAAGTCAAGACGCTGTTGCTGGATATCCACGGCGATGACCTTGGAGGCACCAAAGGCAGTCGCCACGGCACAGCATAGCAAGCCCACCGGGCCGGCGCCGAATACAACCACCGACTGTCCCGGGTTGACGCTAGCTTGGCGCACGATATGGACGGCAACAGCGAGAGGCTCCATCAGAGCTCCCTCCTGCAGAGAGATGTGCTCGGGAAGCTTATAACAGAAATCCTCGGGGAGGGTGTAGTACTTGGCGAGAGTGCCGTCATAGGGTGGGGTCGCGGCGAAGCGCATGTCCTCGCACAGGTTGTATTTTCCAGCCTTGCAGGGCTCGCACCGACGGCAGCAGGTACCGGGCTCCATGGCAACCCGGTCACCCACCTTTAGGGTCTTGACGGCTGATCCGACTTGGCTGATGATGCCTGCTGACTCGTGGCCAAGAACCATAGGGTCTTTGACGACAAATGAACCGATCGAGCCATGTTCCCAGTAGTGCACCTGGTGTGGGGAGATGTCAGTCAGTGATTCATTACTGTGTTTGAAGCATAGGTACATACATCACTTCCGCAGATACCGGTATACTTGACGTTGATGATGACATCGTGGGGGTTCTTCAGCTCGGGAACCGGGCGGTCTTCAAATTTAACCTTGTGGATGCCCTGGAGGACAAATGAAAGGTTCTACATGACTGTCAGACTTGTCCTTTGCGTTATTTTCAAGAGTCGAGTCCTTACCTGAGCTGTAGTCATTATGAGTTTTGAGCGGGGAGATGGGGGGACTCCAAAAAGATTGACAATGCGAAGGGGGAAATAAAGACGAAAGCAAGGGGAAAAGCAGAGACTCTACACCGAATATATATTAAAAAAAATCCGAGAAAAGGGTGAACCGGGAGAATCCAGTGTGAATTGAACCGAGAAGAGCTCCCCGCAGGTCCAGACGAGTTCCACTGCGATGAGATGTGGATCGACTCTGACTCTTTTTTAGCCGGGAGGATATTAACCGGACTCATCTAGAGGCCATGTGACCTCTATATGACATATTTAACGGAGTACCTACTACGGAGTACCTACTATACAACTATATGTAGATAGATATATATATCTATAGCATATATGCTATATAACATCCTTTGATATGGATGTATTTGACTCGTTATACAAAATACTATACTATCTATACTTATACTACCTATACACTGATATATATATATATGTACATATTGATAGAATAGAAACATTCTCCAACACAAGAAACACAGATAACTTGTGATATAAGATACTATCCATAACACACTGCTACATATGTATTACTTCACAATCGATTCCCGTCAAAAAGTATCGGCCCGGATGCCAAGACCCCGGAATTCGGTCCGTCCTCCACCTCCCGCCTCTTTCTTTCTCTCTCTCTCTCTCTCTCTCTCCGTGATAGCTTCAAGAGCTGTACTTTGCAAGACTGGAATTATTTCACAATGGTCTTCAATACTCTCGCACTAGGGGCACGTACTCTTCGAACTCGTCCCGCACCCCGCCTCGTGCGTCATTTCGCAGGTTCGGCTAAGCAAGCCAAGGAAAACGCATCATTCAAGAGTCAACTATATGAAAGCACCCAGCAGCGTCTGAAACGCGAGCGCGCCGAACAGGAGAAATTTGCTCAATATCAAACCCAGTCCCCCGGGGGTCGTTCTGCCGCCCTGGTGTTCGGTATGCGATTCCAAGATAACCTTGCATTTACCTTCGGGTCATTGGCTAATTAAAGCTGCAATTGCGCCATAGCTTTGCTTTTCTTCTCAGCTGGTGCTTATTACCTCGGATCTATCAAGCCTGCAGCTTTGCCCTCCTCCTCTACAACCCCCCTCTCCGAGATTGATGCTCCGAAACACAACGTCTCTCCCGCCAACCTCCAGGCAGCGTGGGCCGATTTCGTCGAGATTTTGGGCAAGGAAAATGTCTCAACTGCAAGTGGCGACTTGGAATCGCATTCCGGATCCGATTGGTCCTCCTACTCGCTGAAAGAGAATGAGAAACCCTTCTTGATCCTCTACCCGTCGAGTACCGAGGAGGTCTCGCGCATCATGAAGGTCTGCCACCAGCGCGTTATTCCCGTGACCCCGTACTCCGGCGGTACGAGCTTGGAGGGTCATTTTGCGTCTACTAGAGGTGGTGTGTGCGTGGACTTTTGTCGCATGGACCGCATTTTGAAGCTCCACAAGCGTGACTTGGATGTCGTTGTCCAGCCCGCCGTTGGATGGGAAGAGTTGAACGAGGAGATCGCCAAAGATGGACTTTTCTTCCCCCGGACCCGGGTCCCGGCGCGATGATTGGCGGTATGGTCGGAACGGGATGCTCGGGAACTAATGCCTACCGGTACGGAACAATGCGTGAGTGGGTGCTGTCGCTCACTGTGGTCCTCGCCGATGGCACCATTATCAAGACCCGGCAGCGACCGAGGAAGTCTAGTGCTGGCTATGACCTGACCAAGCTCTTCATTGGCAGCGAAGGCACTCTTGGCCTGGTAACGGAGGCGACCTTGAAGCTGACGGTCAAGCCTCAGAGCGAGAACGTTGCTGTCGCAAGCTTTGGCACTATTCAGAATGCCGCAGAGTGTGTGACCAATGTGGTGGAGGCTGGTATCCCTGTCGCTGGTGTTGAGATTCTCGATGATATCCAGATGAAGTGCATCAATGCCAGCCAGTCTACCAGTCGCCAGTGGAAGGAGTCCCCCACCCTGTTTTTCAAGTTCACTGGCACCCCAAATGCGGTCAAGGAGCAGATTAGTATGGTGCAGAAAATTGTATCTAGCACTTCGGGCACTACCTTCGAATTTGCACGTGGCAAGGATGAAATGGGAGAACTCTGGAGTGCTCGCAAACAGGCGCTGTGGAGTGTCTTGGCGATGAAGAGGAACCCAAATGACCACGTCTGGACGACCGATGTCGCGGTCCCGATGAGCAAGTTGCCTGATATCATGGAGGCAACTAAGGAAGATATGACTAAGAATGGTTTGTTGGCTGGAATCTGCGGCCATGTTGGAGATGGCAACTTCCACGGTAAGCTCTTGATTTCGATCTACCTCAAAATCATTCAACATCTACTAACAGCCGGCAGCGATCATACTCTTCAGCGACAGTGAGAAGGAGGTAGCAGAGGGTGTAGTGCACCGCATGGTCAAACGCGCCGTGGAGATGGAGGGCACTGTCACCGGGGAGCACGGTGTTGGTCTCGTCAAGCGAGACTACCTCGAGCACGAGTTGGGTGAAAGTACAGTTGACGCAATGCGCCGAGTAAGTCTTGATACACATTCTCATTCAACCTGTCAATCCAAAAATATGGCTTCTCTAGGCCCATGGAGCATACCGCTAATACTCATATCTGCATCTCTAGCTGAAATTGGCTCTCGATCCACTCCGCCTGCTCAACTGCGACAAGGTTATTCGCACCGAACAACCGGCTCCTGGAGAGGTTAAGGAATGGTAAATGTCTTCGCCAGTATCCACTGCGACAGGATCTATCACTAGCCCAAAAACAATAACCGGGGTAATGCTGAGCCTACCTAATCCGAATCCGAACCAGACCGTTCATGGTGATGGTGGTGTCGGTGGTGTCGGTGTGAACGTTCCTCATCATCGCTGCTCCCACCGCGAGAGTTCGAACGGTACCTGGGGCGCTCCTCGTCCTCGTATCGTCGCTCGGGGCGGTATCCATCGCCATACTCGCGCTGACCATATCCTTCCTGGGGCCTGTAGCCGGAATTCTCATATTCATTATAGCCAGGTTGCGGTCTACCATATCCAGAGGGCTCCCTGTACATTCATGGTCAATATAATAGACTAGCCAATCACAAATAATCAAGTCAGCTTACTGTCCATATTCCTGACGGGGAGGCGGGCCTCCGTATCCATACTGCGTCTCTGTACGTTGATATTCATATTGGCCACTTTGGTAGGTCTCCCGTGTCTGCTCCTGATAATAACCCTGGCTTTCCGACTGGTATTGGTGGTGCTCCTCCCGGCCAAAATTCTCTGCTCGGGGTGCGTAGCCAGAGTATTCATCGCGACGCGCAGGAGGCTGTTCATAAACAGTTTCGCTTTGATATTCGTACCCATGGGGTCGGGGACGGTATTCTTCGCGATGAATCGGCGGCTGACTATAGCCTCCGTAACTTGGTTCGCTTGGCTGTCCATATTCACTCGGACGAGGGGGCTGCATTTGATTGTAAGAGTCCCCTCCGTATTGCTGGCTCTCATATTGGGGTCGACTCTGGTAAGAATTTCCACTGTCATAGTTCTGCGGCTCAGGGCTCTCTCGGTCAGGCTTGGAGCCGCTGTTGTTCAGAAGCATAGAGCCCATGCCTCCTACTAGTCCACCAAGTATACCTCCAAATGCGCCTCCTCCCAGGGCTTCGGAGGCAAGGTTCTCAATACCGGAGCCACCGGACCCTTGGCCCTCGCCAGAGCTCCCATGAGACTTGGGAAGAGCGAGCGGCTTGCCACATCCGTGCCCACAATCCTGCACGCCATCTTTATGGTTCTTGCCTTCTAGGACACCATCGCGGCTCAGTTGCTCGCGGAGGATGTCACGCTCCTCATCGTCCTTTTCGCTCCACCACTTCTCGACCGTGGAGAACATGATTTGGTGCATATCGGCAGCTCCATCACGTCCAGACTCACGAAGAGCCGGGTGATGGAAAACACCGGAGATGATTCTGTCAAGGGTTCGGTCGATATCGACATTCTCATCATCCCAGCATGACATGAGCTGTGGAACCGACCATTTGACAACAGCTGACGCAATACGCCCAGCTGGTTCATTCAAAATGTTGGAGAAGTGGTCCTTTGAGAGCATTGAGTGAGTTGGGTTTGAGCAGTCATCATCGTTGAACACAATATGCTGCTGCTCCCGACTGCTTTGGATCACTTCCGATGAACCGGTTTCGAGCTCGGACTTGACCTGCTTGATAATGGGAAGAACATAAGGAGCCAGAATGGAAAAGACAAAAATGGTGATTTGATCCTGAATCTGCTCGATCAGGTCGGGTAAGACTGGGATCTTTTCGATGGCCGCATTGATTTGTTTCAGTAGGTTGTCGTGCCACTCGAGGACTGGGTAGATCTGCTTCTGAACATTGTCCAGGTAGAGAGCCCAATCTTCAGGTTCCCGAGGATTGACATTCTCGCCGTCATGCTTGGCATCATCCGCCTTTGATTTGAAGTCATCCATCTTACCGGTCTGGTCGTTACTGTCACCCAGCAACCCATCAGGAATCTTGCTCAGCAGAGTTTGCAGGAAACTCTCGGAGGCATCCTGATTCTCCGATTGAGCGACGACATTCTCCAAGCCCTCAAGCTCAGACTGCATTGTCTTATCTGACAACTCTCCCAGTACGGAATGAAAGAAATCAACTCCGCCAAAGGTACCAGTCACGATTGGGTAGACTTCGTCATCGACACCTCTCACTTGCAGCTTAGTGTTGCGTCCAACGTGAGGGAAGACCTCTGTCTCTCCCATTTCAATCAGACTGAGTTCGGTGTAGTTAGAGTGAGCAGCGTAATCTTCCAGGCAGTGCAATCCCGTGCCCAACAGTCGTAGAGCTTCATATAGGTCGTCCTTGTTCCCGGATTGGCCGTAACGACGACCCAGCTGAATCGAGCGGCCGAGCACACGGCGAATCAACGCAGCCGAGGTGTCGATACCCAGATCCTCCGTTGCGATGTAGTGCTTCAAGCCTGTGTTTCGGTTGAGGTTAGCCCAATAACGATCACCGCATGATCAGATTTCATACCGGTGCGGGGATCCACTGAAAGCTCTCGCTCTTCGTCGACGGGGCCACGCAGTCGACGATCGTAGTCACGCGCATCCTCCCCGATGGCGTACCCCAAGGGATTATCAATATGCTCGGTAGGCTGATAACATCCAAGACGTTCCGTGGTGACCTCAAACTCTTTGGTTCCGTATCTTTTTCTGAGTCTCAGCGAACGTACCTATAATTCTATGCCCTGCCACAACTCACCCAAAACTCATGAAGCCCAGTACCCAGAGTAGGATACGGATGGCTTCAGCACTAACATACTTGACGGTACCCACATCGACTGCTTGGCTGTAATCACGCAACCAGTTACCGAAGTAGACCCGCTTCACGTCCAGCTTGCTGAATTTCTTACCACCAGCGACTCTTGCCATGAACAGAGTCAAAAGGGCATCCTCAATATCTCCATGCCGCCAGTTTTGACCTTCCAGGCGGGAAAGAGAGGCGATATTACCCGCACCAAATGCATATGCCTGACCGGAGAAAGCGACCAGGACCAACAAGGACAACCCCAGGTTCTGCAAGGACAGACCCATGGTTGAGAATGATATGATATCGGGTTATTTTCCTGCCAGAAATAGGAGAAGAAAAGAAAAGAGATACAAAGAAGAAGAGAAGAAAATAGAGAGAAAGAAAAAGGTCAAGTTTCCACCCCACCAATTTACACAGGTCAAACACTGGTGGGGGAAGAGTGCATCTTGGCATGTGGTCTGTACATATGCATGTACAACATGTATAACATGTAACATGTATACAAATGTACATTTAAATAGTAATGTCTATCTTTTCGGTCTTTTGTCTGGTCTTTTTTTTTTTTTTGAAGTTCTTGGTCTCGGGGTTTTTTTTTTGTTTTTTCGATGTCTCTGCTGAATGAGGTTTTGTATATTGTTTTGTCTTTTTGTTTAGATGCTCTATGTATAGATATAGCTGATAGGTTAGGAGGGATTCTTATGTCATATCGGGGTACGCAGTATGGAGTATTACCTAGCAACATATATCGTGTAGCTGGGGTCTAATGGGATTAGGGGGAAATAGGGAGGAATAATAATATAATATAGGGGAATACATTAAAATAGAACGAGAGAAACAAACTAACCAAACTAATTGAAATCGAATTAAACTAATCAAACTCAAGGGACTAGAGGGACTAGAGAAGAACTAGAAGATCCAAGAATAGGGAGAAAAAAAAAGGGGATAGGAGAGAATAGGAGTCAAAGCCGCATGCGGTCTCGATTTCCGTCTGTCTCCGGCTTCACCGCCGTCTCCTTTTTCTTGAAATATATACTCTTACACTTACTCTTCTCTATCCCACTGCGTAACTTCCTTTTTCTTCTACTCGTTCTACTCGAAATGCGAATGTCAAATCATTCATCTCTCCCGCATAAGTGCTTATCTTAGTACTTTCCCCGCTGATGCGCTGATGCGCCCCCTCACACTTGATTACCCGGCACCTCTCATCTTCCTTTCCCTTGGATTCTTCTACCTCTCCCATACTGTGGTCTCCATTCAGGTGTTCGCAATGTATCACACATCTTCTTACTAAAAAAAACAAAAACAAAAAAACACAAAAACATAAGCCGTCAAGTCCCGACCATGGCGCGCGCCGACGATTCATACTCTCGAGAGTCGGCCTTTCCAGTCATGAAAAACCGACTGGTGGGAGAATCTGGATCGCTCCAGAGTTCTAAACAGGCGAGACCGGGCATTGAGACTGGAAGGACTGCCTCCTATCATATCTTTCCGTCTCGAGATCCCAACTCTCATGATCAATTCCCCTTTCCCGATCTTGCCGACAATTCGCATTCTCCAGTCAACCTCAAAAAGCGCAACTCCATGGCTTCAAGCATGGCCATGCATGATACCACACCGGGCGAACAACCGTGGAATTCGAGACAGCAGTTGATGCATGCTTCTGAAGACAACATATCCTCCGAAGCTCTTCACTCTCGCCCTCACAAAAGCAAATCAATGAAATCCAAGGTCCATATCAAGCCCATTCTGCGGAAACTCTCTCGGGATGATCCACCGTCGACCTCAATCGATCTGTCCCGATCGTCCACTGACCAAGAAGGATTGGGGATTTACATGAATTTCGAGCGGGAGCGCCAACGCAGCGGGTCCCTCACAGGTGTGACTTTTAAAAGAACGCCTTCCGGTCTTCACAATCGATCTACAAGTGGGACCTCTCAGTTCTCAAATGGATCTAGCTCGACTGCGAGCAAGCCCGGATCCCAGTATGTGCACCCCATGCGACAGACGCCTCGAGCGTACACTCCACCACTAGGCCGATCTTACGAGGAGTCGAGCCATGATAGCGACGAACTGGCCGAAAGCCCCGAGTCGGAACCTGTGTCTATCCAAGAAACCCGTAGTCCTTCAGGCCCGGCCCTACCCCGGCTGTCATTGCAGATCCAAGATGATTCTTTTACCCGTCTCCCCGGGATTTCACAGACCAATGTGACCAGTCGACCGTCCTTTGGATACTCGCGGGAGACTGATGGTACTGCATCTCCGATGTCCAGAACCTCCCTCGACTTCGTCTTCCGATCCCGAACCCGAACTAGCACCGATCCCATATCCCGTGCAGCCACAGTTCAGGCTGCTCGCCAGGCATTTGAGGATAAAGAGGCCGCAAAAAATCGCCGGCTTGAAAAACAACAGATCAAAGCCGAAGAGAGGGGCTCCCGGCGTCGCCTGAAGCGACACGTGTCGGAAGATCCCGAGTCTCCTGTACAGTCTAGGGAAGAGATCTCCGAGAAACCCCAAAGATCCGTGCATGAGCCCCAAACCTCGGTCTCTTGGAAATCCCAATCAAAAAGCACATGGGTTCTCTTCATGACCTGGCTTCGAACTCGAGTGTTCAAATTGCGACGCAAGATCAAGAAACTTCATTGATTCTGGCATCTTGCGTCGTTTTTTTTTTTTTCCTTTGTTTTTTTCCTTTGTTTCGTCTCCTTTCTCTTTTTTTTTTTTTGTTCCAAGTTCATACTTCCAATGAGCGGGCGATTGATTGTTCCCCTGGTGTTTGATCTCGGAGTCTTCTGTTTTTTTTTTTTTTTTTTTTTTTTTTTTTTTTTGCACCTTGATGGAGATAGCGCTCCATATGAGCAAGATACACGGCGTCTGGATTGCTGTCTTTGCAACGCATGCGTTTGGCATCTCTAGGCGATTGCAGGTCGAGTGTCCTAGGGATTGGGACATAGCATTTCCAAGCGCATTTCTTTTATGCATGGATGAGAAATGTGGGATATGATTCCCCAATGGTCCCAGACCAAATTATGAAATGGATCTCATACAATTATTCACTTGTGCTCTGTAAATGTAGTGTTCAACGTCGTCAATGTTATCGAGGGATGTAGTCACGTGTCCAAACTGCGTTGTCCGCTTCTTCCCCAAATTTCCCCCAGGACTACGGCGCACAGCAGCGACAACAACCGCCTGATAAGCTCCACATCTTCCAGCTTTATCTATTTCTGCCAATAGACGCACCTCCACGGAGGGGAGCGTCTCCTTCATCATGGTGTACGATTGGTCCGGAAAGCGGGAAATCTGCTTCCAGATGTACATCCAGGAAAAGAAGGCGTTGGAAGAGATCATGGAGTACATGCGGACTGCATGTCAGTTTGCGCCCAGGTAAGTGTATACACTCGCTTTCGTCTGTTAGACACCAATTGATTTTCGTCACTTCTCTAGCAAACGTGCCTTTCAGACTCAGTTCAAACGATGGGGCTTTCCGTCGAAACAAAATCCAGCGCACAAGAATATTGAGCTCGTCGCCCGAGTTAAACAGCTTTGGGAACGGAACACAAGCCAGCGGGACATGCTTCGTATCTTGAATGATGAAGGCTTTGAGATTAAAGAGAGGGAATTAATGCGAGTGCGCGCAAAAAATCGCTGGCTGCTGCGAGTCCCCAATGGAATGAAGTCCCAGTCAAATGTCGAGGAACAAGCTGTCCCACCGGAGGATGAGGGCCTACTCGCCTTACAACAGGAAGTATACAAGGTCGAAAGTGCTCTCGACGATCCCCATCCTCCCCTTACACAAACAGATGGTGAACGCCCAACAACTGAGTCCCCGGCTCTCTCGCCAGAGGTCATCGCAAAACGCCAAGAGCGACTAGACCGCCTAAAGACTGAAAGTGCAGAACGCTGGGCATCGCGAAAACGTCGTCGTCGGACTCGAGGATGGGCCGGGCTGCCGGCTGACCCTCCGGGGCCTCCACGCTTTCCATCGGAGACAACTATCGATGAGAGCAAGCAGTACCTCAATCTAGACAACACTATGTACCGGCAGATTAGAGACCATTTCCAGCGAATCTGCGAAGAAGCAGGCTTCATCAAGAAAACCGCAGCTGGCCCTGAGAGATGGCAAGCTGCGAAAGACAAATTGATCCAAGAATCCGCGCACCTCCAACTGGTGTTTAACACAGATCCTACCCAACGTGACGCGAAGGCCCTTGCACTCGATGTTGTGTGCACCGATGTCACCAAACGAATGCGGACTCTAGAGAGACGCATGACGATCGCGGAGGCGAAAAATGCTCTGGGGATCAACCCGGAAGAAAGTCGGCAGATTCGAAATGCGTTCTATGACACCTTGAAGGTGGATCACTTCACAAGCAAGTTAGAGGCTGGCGATGAACACTGGAAAGAACTCAAAGAGCAATGGATTGCGAACTCGGAGCTGCTTCAGCAAATCCTCGCGCCTGGGCCAGCCGACCCAGATCATGGCAACAAACTAAAGGCTCTAGAAGTTCTCTGTCGTGATGTTATGAAGAGGCTTCGAGACGACCAGACGAAGCGAGACCCGGCACGTAAGAGATCATCGGCACGTGTCGAGTCTCGAAACCCAACCCCGTCCACGTCCTCTATGGGCGGCATGCTAAGCAACGAGATCAGCAATGGAATTAGTACTTTGGCCTCTCAGGCGCTGGCCAGTGCACCCATTTCGGCTACTGAAATTGGCGATATGCAAATTGACCCTTCACTACTCCAGGCTGCGAACGACCCGTCCTTCTCGGCCAATCCACACCACGACGCAGGCAATGGCTTTGAATATGTGGATCCCATGCTCAGTTCCGCATTACTACATACTCCCGTCTGGCTCCATGTTGATTCGAGGGACCAGTCACAAGAAACAACACAAAAACCCTGGCTCGAAAAACTAGCCACACGAACAGTGGAAGAGCTCCGGCAATTGATTGGCGTCAGGTATCCCTATTCAATCATCGCCCGAATCGAGGGCATTGATAGGGATGAGGAAGGGAACGAGATTCGATTCTCAATCGACGATGATCACGAATTGGATGCATACTTGACTCATATCCACGGAAGGAAGGCGTTGCTTGATTTTACCTTGGGACAGATATGAAAACTGTCTGCCCTGGTGGCAAGGCGTAGATACGGTTTAGCTAAACAGCGATTATTACCCCCATATTAAGAGAATGGACGCAATTTTATTGTCAGAAATAGAATAAATAAGACATTCTTCCGTGACTGATTACGAGATGCTCGATACCACGAGGGACTTGTGTAG